TATTAAGCCACCTTTGGATAAGTATGTCTTTAAATCACCCTTTAATTTATACCATTGCAATTTTGGGTTATTCTACAATTTCAAATTTTCGTTCAGTGGTACTGTAATCGACTGCATGATTGAATGTTTCAAATTCAAACTCCAATCATAACTTAAAAAAAAAAAAAAAGAAATTAATTTTGAGATTAATTCAATGGTAAAAATAGCAAGTTAGCTAACCATCTCTCATAATGGTAATTTTTTTCTAAAGAGTAATGTCATTTTGTTCGACATTTTGATCTTAATATACCTTTAAACCTTTTTTTATAATATTGAAATTCAACTATATTTAGTGTAAAAAGTAAATAAATATTAAAATTCACGTTAGCAAAATCAATATTATATCAACAAAGTTAACATTACATCAATAAAATTAATGAAAAATAATTTGCTTCATTAGTAATTAGATTAATATTATCAAATTCAACTTATATAAAGACAAAATTTTTATGAATTATGTAGAGGGTTAAAATTCAAAATTTATATCAGTACAATGACTATTTGTATAATTTGACATAAATTATATCATGTCTTATAGATTTTTTATCTTAGTAGGTAAATAACATTAGATCTATTAATTCAAATAAACACATATTTTGATTTTTATTAAATTAATATATAATATTTATTAAAATTTTAAATCACGTTACTTTTATATATTATCATCGTATTGTATTTAAAATTATAACATCTAAATAATATCCAACATACAACAAGAGGAGGTGTTGTCCCAATACCATAAAACAAAAAGAAACTTTGGATAAGGTTTTCTTACATTAATGATGCATCATCATAATACATTAATTTTAGGAAAAAATTTATACTCAGCATTAATGTATTTAAAAGTATCACGTTGAAACTATAAATTTAACCAGCTAACAGTTTAATAGAATTATTTAACAATAAATTTGTCAACTCATTATTATTCCCCTATTAAAAGATTTTCTTTGTCAAACTATAAATTTTTTTCAAAAATGAAACTCCAAATTCAATGTGTATAATTTATTTTCAAAACATAACATGGAGGAAGAGGGACATTTTCATCTATATATAACTTTATCTTGTTTGGGTTTTGGAAAAAAAAAAAAAGAGTAATTTGTTTCAAAGGGACATCTCAAGCTTAGAATTTGCTACTTTATTTAAGAGATTTCAAGTTTCATTAATCATCAGAAGAGTAGATTTACAGGATGTAAGAATTATTGTATAATCCAAAATGCAATGAATATTTATGTAAATAAGCATAATTTTTCAGAATAATTTTTTATGTATATATTTAAAATAAATAAATTGTTCAATCCTTAAAATTAAAATAAAATTATACCATGAAAATATGATGCATTCGAGATTAACATCAACAAAAAGCCATCATATTGAATTTTAAATTTAAAATTACTTACAACAAATTAAATGAATTGTTGATCAAACCAATATAATTTCTCAAACGAGTTAAACAACAAAGAAATTAATAAAAATGGAATTGAATTTATAATATGAGTTTATATTTAATATATTAGTATATAAACTCAATACATTATCACTAAATTAAATAATACCACTTAATTAAGGAACACATATTAATCTTTAAAATAAATATAAAAAAATTAATAACTCGTTAATAAATTGGTATTATATAATTTAATTACTTCATTAATAAGATGATATTATCTAATTTATTGATAATGTATAAAATCTATACACTGACAGTACATCAAATATAAATATAATATGAGTTTATATTTAATATACTGTCAGTGATAAACTTTATAAATGTCACTAAATTAAATGATGCCACCTAATTAATGGATAAATATCAACCGTTAAAATAAAATATATAAAAATTAATATTTTAAAAAATTAACTCATTAATAAGATGGTATTATAAAGTGACATTGCATCAAATATAAATGTAATTTTTTCTCTTTTTTTTTTTTGTTTTTAACACATGAGACAAATTGCTGTGATTTTTATCTAGACTCCAATCATGAAGCAATAAAATTTCAGGGCCGAAATGAGAGTGCAAATGCACCCGCCGCAATGGTGTGGTGCTGCAGGCGGTGAAAAAGAGCAGCCACCATATTTGTTATTTCGGTGCCAAGGCATCCCTGCCAAGCTGTCTAGTTGGCTTTAAGATCGAATAGGTACTTTAAAATATACCCAAAAAAAAAAAAAAAGAGAGAGAGAGGTTTAGTTAGAGCTGTGCAACAAAAGGGGTTTCTCCTTACTTTCTAGTAAGGCCACCAACTCTCCTTTATTTCTCTAAATTAATCGTTGTTTGAAATTAATGGGTCACTAGGAATAAATGTAACTTTCAATATTTGCAACTCAAAGTTTAAATTCACAGTTGCATGAGGCCAAAGATGAATCAATTCCTTGTACCAAAAACAGAATGAATTCCCTTAATACTTGGATTTATAACCCTTTCCCCCTCTCTTATATAATTGTCAATGTTTAAATTCTTATTTTTTTGGTAGGTCGGAAATAACAATGTAAAGATTGTTGGGCTGCACCCGTTACAAGATATATATTATCTGCTCCAAGAAGCTTGGAAGCTTGACTTTAAAAAAAAAAATGTCTCGATACGAAAGATTTATATTTTCTTGTAAAGTTATAATTCAGTATTTGATTATTAAATGTAGGATTGTTCCCCCCTCAACAAACATTAAACAAAAATGAATGTGAATATAAAGAGGAATAAATATGAAAAAAAATAAAAACATTGCAAATTAATATATAATTTTCTTTAAAATTCAAATGTATCCTTAAAAGATAACTGACCAAACCAGCAGCAGTATATATTTTCTGCAGCAGAAAATAAAAATAATAGGTGTGATGTTATTAATGTACGACTAACCATATTGAAGTCTCTTCACCTCTTTCAGCAGAGGCTGTTGATGAATTTACAACATTCTGTAAGAGTTTGGGCTTTTATCTTGGGAAGAGACCATACAGTTAGATATGGTCATCATATAACCTAGTTATTGTTTGTTTCCCTTTTTTTTTTTTTTTTTTTTTTTTTCAAAAGAGCTGCCATTTGGCTCCATTCCATGTCTTTTTAATTTTTTTTTTTTTTTTTAATTCTATATCTTGATATACATATGAAAGTAGAGTAATTAAAAAGTTGAAAGAAGTCAACTGTTCTTGTCTCTATTTGATAGGTAATTTAGGAAAAGATTTTGCAAGAATGATTAACTTTTTAATTGAAGATAAAAGAATTTTTTAAAAATATATTAAATCCTCCTCCCCACCCCCCACCCCCCCCAATCTATGAAAAACTGATGAGTTGCATATGTTTATGAGATCAATAGATCATCCTTCAATGCTGCTTTTAAAACTCTTTTAATGAACATCATATATATATATATATATATGCTTTAATTTTAGTTTTAATCTCATTTCAAAAAGTTCAAAAGCATCAAATACTCATGTTTCGATAAATTATTCCAAAGGAATTATACAGGTGATAACGATTCGATTCGATTTAAATCAAATTTAATTTAATTTGTTTAAATAATATATAAAATTATAAATTTTTAAAATTAGATATAAATTCAAATCAATTTTTATATAATTCGATCTAAATTAAATTCTCTAAATTTAGTTCATCGATTTTTAATTTAATTTTTTTTTGTTTTTAAATATTATTTTAGTGTAATTTTTAATATATTTAAATAAATTTAGATACAAAATAATTTTAATTTTATAAAAATTTAAAAATATATAAAAAACTAATAAAAATATATAATTTAATTCAATTTATTTATTTATTTTGATTTTTTATCTTTTGATCATAAATTTGAATCTAATATATACATTTAATATCTAAATTTAAATTAAAAAAAAAAAGCAAAATAATCCAAACTAAATTGAACATTATAATTTTAAATTAATTTTTAATATTTTCAATTTTATTCCTCACCCATAAGAGGAAGACTATGATTTGAAGGTTTTTAGTCCACGGTCTATAAACCATGCATTACGGGCTTCCAGCAAATGCATGTGCTAGTATGAAACTTCATCACTGGTAACAGCAATTTAAGACAGCAGTGGTCCAGCCTTCAATTGCATACTCTATACGTCTTATAAAAATAAGTAACTATATAAATGAAAAATATAACTAGTGTACCAGTTTATTTAAGGTTTTCAGATCAAATCGGCAAGTGTGCAAATTGGATAGGGCTAAGCAATGAATCTTCTTTGAAATTTTCTTCTTGGGGTTGATGCTTATGCGTAGATCGACAAATAGATAAAGATTGAATGGAGCTAGAGAGAGGGTGAGATACAAGAATGAGCTAATGCTTTGAAATGAATTAGGCAAAAATTAATTATTTTAGAATCGACAATACCGTGTTTGGCATGAAAGAAAGAGGAAGAATAGGAGCGTGTGAGGAAAAATTATTTTATTTTCTTCATTTGATAGGAGAAAAATATGAGAAAAAAATATAAGTGAATTTGCACCTTTAATCCCTTTCTTTCCTTTTATTTTTCATCCTTCAGTGAAAAAAAATTTATTTCCCCTCTTTTTTTTCCTCACTTTTTTCCCTTTCATTTTCCTTCCTACCAAACATATTGTGTGCAAGAGAAAATTTTGGAAACAAAGGGCGGCAACTTTCTTAAGGATGATATTTGATTTTGATGGGGGCTACTAGGGTTTGAAAATGCACATTAGCACATGTCCTGTTTTCATCAAGAGTCTGCCAACTAATGATATAATTGCATATGAGTAAATCTATTGAGAGGTTCATGAGATGGGTGTGAGGTTATGGCTGATGTACACAAGACATTAAGAAAATCCTACCCCTTTTCGGAATCGTAATCGACAAGTAATTACAGAATTACCACCATCCGGAACAAATTCTAGTGCTTGAATCTTCTCTTCACCAGATCAACCATTCTCCATCCTGGATTAGAAAACGAAATTTGCTCAAGTGGCAGTGACAAACGTTGAATGACAGTTACTACAATGCACAAAAAGAAAGTAAGAAAAGAGCAGCTGATCAAGCAATTCAGGTTGTAATTGATCCATGAATCGGCCCTAGTTCAGCCAATTCCTTAACATATGCTCAATCGAACTTCAACTAAAGAAAGTGAACAAGTGATCATGAATGACTGCACCATAGTATCATTAATTTATAGATAAGAGGGAAGAATAGGGAAAAAAGAGGAATCTACTTCACCGTACAATCCAGAAAGGTTAGTTGCAGGGATGGGCTCGAAATTGCACAAGTACATATTTATATAGATGCTGAAATTTTAAATTAACTCTGGCTTTAGCATTTCAGGATATGAAGAATAAACTAGTCATGGAACTTGGGAGTTGGGACCTTGGCTGAAAAGGGAGCAAAATGACTTTTAAATGCAGGGACTAGATTGTTAAGTCAGAGACCTGGTTATATATTCCAATTGCCGAGCTGTTCTAACACAAGGAAAAAGTTTGGGAGGCAATCTGTAACCATAATTTAATTTGACCACAAAAACGTTTAAATGCCCAATAACAGACTTTCCTAGTACCAACTTGTGAGAAGATGGGGATCCTTTCATTGTACAGCTGCTTGGATAAAAGTTATCACATTAAATTCACCCAATCTAAAGCAGATGAACAGATATCATTAATAAAATGCAGTTAACCAAATGGTTGGCATGAGACAGAGAGAGAGAGAGAGAGAATGGAGAAAGACTAGGGTCCCCCATCAATTGATATGAGTCATATGATGATTTACTATTTATATAAACTCTTCTAGGAGAAGGGATAGAAGGTGAAGTAGCACCAGACCATAGGTTCTCCAGGAATGGTAGAAAGATTAACAAACATAGTAACTAAATGCTGCTGCATATATTGTTCACTGAAAGTTGAAGAGCAAAACTTGTAGATATGGGAAGAATTTTGGTCACCATGAAAATGGAATAAATTGAGTGAAATTCTTAAAATTAGCACATATTATACCTGAAATCATTTATCTATTCTCAAGCATTAAAATGAATAGGAATCTTGAACACTTCGGTCCTATTCAACAGATGACTTTGAATGACCACCAATAGTTGACATATGATATTGAGCTGCTAATAATTGAGTCACTCACAATCACAAAGTCTAATGACCACAAAAATGATCAACCACCTTACAATCTATTTCTTTCCAACCATTACTTTTGATAGGACAAACTCAATAAAAAATTAAAGGCACAAGCCCAAGAAAAAGGTGTTCATGACCTAAAGTCACATTGATCCAACGGGCAAGTGGGCAGGAGTTGGAGCGCAAAAAATCTAAAACTGCAGATTCAATCAAGTAGAAGCATCTCAAGGGTGTGTGCAATTATTATTGATTATCTGTAGGATATAGGTAAAAATAATTTCTAAGGGCCAGTGTGAATATGGTAATTGATAAAGTAAGAAATCCAAAATCCCACCTCAGACAGAGGAGGTAGACAGTGAGAATATCAGGTAAAGATAAAATAGGTTTGACAACTAAATTTTAATAAAATTTTAATTTAAAAAAAAAAAAAACAATTGAAGTTACCAGCAAGGAAAGTTTCAACTCAACACAAATAAATATCTTGAAATCCAACTCAGTATAGTTTGGTGGGTATAAAAGAGATGGAGATAATTTATAGAGATTGGAAATAGAGAGACCTTATAAAAGTTGCCTACGGTTTAAGCAGCATAATTTAAGTTATGAATAAAATCATATTCCTGTAATTTAATGTTCATATTTCTCAGCAATTCTACTCTATTTTCATACTACATGCAGTATTTATTGCACATATTTCTTCCATTTGCCATCAAACAGACTTCCCTTTCTACCTCAATTCAGGACACTATCCACTAACCAGTTGTGCCATGATTTCAACCACAAAATCACCTTGAGAAGGAAACTTTATTCTAGAAGATTATAAAGCACATTAACTTACAGCATCTATGAAAAATTGATGAGATATTCAGAGTTTCATGTCATGTGTTGCAGGTCAACTGAAACAATGATCATTGTCAAGCTACAAAAAGGAGGAAAGAAAGAAATCAAGATTTATATACCAGCACATACCAAACAGTATTGATTTTATAGGCACATGACCCAACAATACTAGTCATCCAACATTGGTTGCTGCTCAAGCTCACTTGAATGTTCAGTCAAAGCAAATGCAGAACTATTGATAATCTCATTTTCAGCCTTACACTGTAGCAACTGTTCACGTAGACTCCTTACTAGCTCATTCAGTTTCTGAATATTCCTTTCTTGAGAAAGTATGATCTGCAATAGAAAATAAATCTAATCAGTCTCTTAATAGTTGGAGATGAAGATGATGTATGCCATCCCAACAAACCATGGAAATTTTAGTTCACTTCAAGCAACTACACCAGAAAAAAACAATGAATGCAGCCTGGAAGAACAAATTCAAACCGGATCAGTAAGAAGTAGAAGAATGGGTCATACTGAGGTACCTAACTGGTACAAACTATATGGAACTATTAACATCTGGTGTATATCAAGGTATTTTTAAATGAAAATTAAGACAAATTTTAAAACATAATGCAAAAGTCATACTAGATGGGGAGTTTGGGCAACAAATCTATGATAAGACAATATATCAAGGTATTTTTAAATCAAAATTAAGACAATTTTTAAAAAATAATGTAAAAGTCATATTAGATGGGGAGTTTGGGCAACAAATTTCCGACAAGACAATCATATAAAAATGTACCTGCCAAAACAAATAGTAATTCGAACGTATCACTAATTGAAGAAATAAATCCTACCTAACTTCAATTTTGATATTATGTCTAACGTTGCAACTAGGAATACTAAATATTTGACTTGCTGCTTCTCTCTCAAGTGACTAACAGAATTAGAAGGTGGAAGGGGACAAAACCTAAAGCAAAATCTTGCTACTTAAGGTTTTCACTTATGGAATTGCAATCGTGGAACTGAAATCAAGACACTAGATAAGCATGTCACACAAACTTCTGGACCAAAATAGAGATATATGTCCAAAAGTAGGATGTAACAATTCATGATTCTTGTCCACACAAAACTCATTGACCTTGGCTGAAAAGGTAGATATAAGAAACTAGGTTCATCCTCTAGCAAGCATATACTAAAAGAGATTTACCCAGTTACAACCCCACCATATTGAATTCTTCGGACGGCTAGTATAGATACAGTCCTATCCCCTAGTACTTTTGTATAATGCGGCAACCCATGCATATTTTAACCAGCGGTCACTAGCCCAATGATTTTGCTTTCCACCCAGACATTGGCTCCTGTATGAGCAAACACATTTATAACTGACGGTTAAGCAAAGGACAATCCTTTACTAGAACAATAATCATGTTTCATAACTTTTTCTTCTCCAAACAACTGTGTCTATCTGCTGGGTAACATTTTTAATACAGTTTGAACAAGCTATCTAATAGAGTTCACAGCACTTGTATTATAGCATAAATTAACAAGATAAATATAGGGTAGGAAGGAAATATTTCGATAAGCTAAAGATTAGTGAATACGTGCAAAGTCAAAACCAGATTTAGCAATGCATATATGTTGTTTGTTTTGATCATTGCAAAGCAAATTTAATAATAAGTCCTGATCACTCCAATTAGCATGGATATTCTAAGAAGTTATTCTTCAGTGAATAGACATCTGAATAAACCAAGAAACCTTCTTCTTTAACCTACATTGAAATACAACCTTGGTGAGTAGAAGTATAGGAAATGAGAAAACACTCTAGAGAATGATTAGCTTGTTAATAGTGCAACAAACTTCAAAGGACAAATTAAACGAGCGAAATCTTCATCAAAATGACCCACAGATTTGGCCATTCATGGAAATGCTTACTGTTTCATACCCTTCCTTTGGGTATACCTGATTATGCTAATTAAACTAGAAATTGTATTCACATTCTCAGAGTCTCATGCCTATATAATTCTAACCAGATCATCGCGTTGCAATCAACCATAGAATGAACTCTAACAAACAAAAGGCAAATACTATTAGAATTACCAATTCAAAGAAGCCCATTTTAAGCCTTTTTAAAGATTTTTAGGAGTAAGTAATCCACTAATAGAATTGAAGACTAGAAACAAAAAAAAAATAAAACAAAAATCACTTCAGTTTTTATCATTATACCCTTTGCAAGCCAATAAATATTGGGAAAAATTGAATAACATTGTGAATTAACAAAATTTTTCGGATTGAAAAAGACGAACTTGAATTTAAAAATTGGGAAAGGCGAAACCTTTTCTTTGACAGATTCTTGGCGTTTCGAAACGTATTGGTCTTTAAGAGAAGCAGTGGGAGTTGGCTCAATTTCTTCACCAAATTGCTGCTTCCATTCAAACTGAGAAGTGAAGACTACTAGAAATACTAGAAAAACCAGTAGCCAAGGTCTCGACATTACATTTATCTAACCCTAACTTTTTCTTGAATTTCCCTTTTTCTCTTCTGGGTATTTGAGAAAATGAATAACCTGTTAACTGCGATTTTCGGAAAGAAATTTACAAAAGAAAGAACAGTCGCAGATCGAAATGGACCAGACCGGAGAAAGGCAATTCGTTTGAAAATTTATCATAGGGGTGTATTTCCTTTTTCATTTATTAAGTTAAATTAATATTTTATATATATATATATATATATATATTTGAAACCGTAAGGATTTTTTTTAAAATTTTTTTTTAATTTTGTCATGATTTTATTTTGATGTGATTTTTTATAGTAGTTAATTTATTATAAAATATACAAAATTTTTAATTCATGTATCTAAATATATACCTTAATGATTAATATATAATTTTTATTCAAAAAAAAATTGGATTTTTTCCATCCTCAAATGAAAAAAAAAGTTTAATTATATGCTGTAAAACATTGAAAAATATATACCGAGGATTGTGGAAATTCATTATAAATTACACAATTTTAAGAATTAAATATAGTAATGCAAACTCAAATTTTTCACTAGTTAAATCACATTTTCTAAAATGAAATTTATCTAAGCAAATAAAATAAAAAAAATTATTATATATTAGTATAATTTAAAAAATTTATCAATGAAATTAAATTAAACAATTACCAAATATTTTTTTAGATATATTTTGAAAAAAGGAAATAAAAAATTAATATAATAAAATAATCAAACTTTATCAGATTATCACATACTTTTAGGATATATTAAAAAAATTAAGAACCCATTTTTTATACCTTCTCGATTAAAATTTTAAACTCTAAGAAAAATTAAGAAACTATTATATATTCTACTTTTTAAAGTAATTATATATATTTAATATATCTTTCATTGATGAAATCATTTTTAATTTATGTAATTTAAAATCTTAATTGATGATATGTAGAAAAACAAATTATGAAATATTTAGAATAATTTTTTAACCCGACTTGTGGTATTTAAAGCAGAGCAGAAAAGAAGAATGGGAAAGAGCTAGTTAAACAGTCTGTCAAATCCTCGTTTTCCTAAACAATCTGTCCTCTGAATTTCTTTTCTGAAAAACTACTTTTTATGCTGTGGGTATGATCGAACTGACTAAAATATATATGTTTTATAGATTTTACACCACAGGAACTGGAGGATCTCATATCATTGTTCCCTTCCCTTGCTGCCCAGTTACAGAGCAATGATCAATACATTTGTTCATATGCTTTTCATAAAAAAAGGGAGAAAGTTCCCCTATCAATTATCAATGATTTGGTGGTAGGAAAATTTTGGTTTGATATGGATAAAACACCTTTTATTGTCATAATATTTATTTTGTATTTCTCTGTTTTGGAATAAAATTGTTTGAACTTTCAAAATGAAAGATAAAAAAAACACAGATCCCATCTTTTACATGATGTAGTTTTGGATTTGTGTATTTTTCCTTATTTCTAAACATTATTTAAAGAGTAAAGTAGACTTGTTAACACAGGAAGGTTTATTCAGAAAGTACTGAAAGTCCCATCTTCCATGATTGATTGCTGAGGCTACACCCTCCATCAATTGCCAGGTTGACACCGCTAACGTATTTGGCCTCATCGCTAGCCAAATACAGGGCTTCGTTTGCCAAATCCTCTGGTTTCCAATATGGCCCCTCTTAATACTGCTGAAACAGAAATGACATGCTGTCCCTTCTTATCGAATAACCCGAGTGTTTTTTGGAACAAAGGGGTGGCAATTGCATGAGGGGAAATGCAATTAACTCTAATTTCATGCTTACCTAATTCCATGCTTAAGCTCTTAGTCAACCCTACCGCAGCATGCTTTGATGCCTTGTATCCATGAGGGTTGCCGTAGCGTATTTTTGAAGCAAGACTTGAAGTGAAGAGAATGCACCCTTTCTTGGCTGGAACCGTGACCCTGGCGGCATGCTTGGCACCCAAGAATCCACCAAACACATTGATGTCAAATACCTTCTTGAAGTTTTCAGTATCTGTATCTGTGACTCTTCATTGTCACCAATAATGCCAGCATTGTTCAACATGATATCAAGCTTTCCATACTTAGAAACTGCCAATTCAACAGCATTTTGGACATCAAATTCGCATGTTACATCGCAGGGGACATAGCTGATGGTTTCTGTTCCAAGCTCTTGGCTAAGGTAGTGGCCCAACTCATCTTGAATATCAGCAATGAGAACCTTGGCTCCATGTTTGACGAACAGCCTGGCTGTACTCTCTCCTAGGCCACTGGCACCACCAGTTATCAGTGCCACCTTACCTTCTAGCCTGTATCAGAGAAAAAGCAATAAGACTGTAAACTTCTTGCTAGGTCAATTTCTGATTGACAGAAACAACATTTCTTTCAATGTTCTATACTGATATGAATTTGGGAACCGTCGGCTTTACATCATGGTTACTGAAGACTCGGCACTCATTGTAGTTCTCAACAAACCAACCCTTGCCCAATATATCACCCTGCCTCTATCTGCAATACTTGGACAGTGTGTTTCACTTCATTGTTTTCTGGTCTTTATAGCTCCATGGAGTGTAACCATGTTATGAAAAATCAACAATGGCGTCGTCATCTTTCGAATGCCTTCATTATGGAAATTATATCGATATATACTAAACTTGCGTCCAAAAATTGAACTCCTCCATTTCAGTACTTTGAAGTCTCGAATGTAATAGAAAATTTCATGACTTTTAGGTATTGTCTTTCGCAATATGTAAAGAATCATTAGCACGTGGGCGGTAAAAGATTGACCAAACACTTCAAAGGATTTGTACTTGTTATACCTTAATGGCTACGCCAGTAACACTCTGGCTGCCATTTCATCAATGTCGACATTCAACTTTAAGATAAACAATCACCTGTCCAACTAGCCAGGCATGCAACACCCTACTTTACCCCTTTTCTACTTTCTCTCGCTATCTTCTTTCTCCTTTACTTGCCCATGTAAACAGTTGAGTATGAAATCATCTATTTGTTTGTTCAAAAAGTTAGGTTCAAATTAATTTCCAATTCTCCAAATAAAAAGAAATTAATTTGAGTAAAAACTTAGGTGATCATGGGATGGAGTAAAGCCCCCTCCATTTCATGACTCTGTGTTTGCTTTAAATATCTTAAATTTTTGTGGCAATGAAATTACATAAACCCAATATTAGGATAAGAATATATAGATGATTTTGAATATTGAATTTTAAATTCTAAAATGTAATTTCAAGTATATCATATGATAATGAAAAAACATAGAGCCCGACATCGTCAAATATCTGGGAGTCGAAGTAGTTGAGCAGCATTGAATACAAAATTGACCAACTTAATTGTTATCAAATAGAAATGAAAACCAGGCTTGACCTTCACCTAACCTATTAAGCATGAAAACATTTCAAACTGAATCGAGTTTCAAGCTCAGCCGGGTAGCTCTATTTATTTTTTTCACCTTTCACACAAAATAAGACACTGTAGGCAACTCATCAATGACTAGTGTGAGAGACTCCCACGCCCCCGTAGGTCTAGTCATAAAATCTGCACCGAGAGGTCCCCTGAAGGATGTGTGACAGCCTTGCTGGACTGGCTGGGTTCTTGTACCAGAGAAATTAATTAGCAGCCTAGGAAATTTCCTATACATAAGGAATGCTCCTCCCTTCAAGGAATGTCACCATCACCACCAATTACCCCTTTTTGTACTATCTTTAAATATCAAAAAATAAATGCACGAAGCTTTTTGATCGCACTCTACCTGGCCCTTGTTCTTGCAATCACGTAAAATGAGGGAAAAATCAGATAAAATTGTAAAGAAAACTGAAGAATACTAGAGACAAATTATATGCATGCACAGTTGTTTAAAAATATTTACAGCAAGATACTCATATATAATAATTTTTTATTTTATCCAAAAAAAGGCAAAGCAGTAAGTAAATATGAGTTTGGGAATCATAGAATTACTTCTTGGATGCTGAAGACTCAGTGCTCATTCAAAAAAAAAAAAGAAAACCTCCACAATGCAATATATAGTTTATTCACTGTGTGTGTTTGATTGCGATATTTACTTGTGAGTTTTACTTTCATTTTTCTCTGTTCTTTATAGCTCATGAACGTATCATACTTTGAAAAATAGTCAATGGTGGTGCATAATTTGAATAGCTTGCTGATAGCAGGCAACAATAAATCACTGTAGTAAATGACTAATTGCATAATAATAGTAACAGCAACTTTTTTGTCCTTTGATTCTATCTTCAAATCATGTCAAGATTATGTACAGCCAAAGATTGATCAAACATGAAACATGTGAAAAATTTATAAAATATACTTGATCAGAACATATATATGCTACAGTAAATTCATAATCTGCTAAAAATATTATGTCACCCTGTGTTTGTAAATCTCTCTTTTAGTTGCAATGAAACAATGTCACCCAAATATACAGAGTCAGTAGATTAATGAGCCAACGGATATAAGTTGGAAAACCCTTCTCTCAAACTTGCTTTTATTGCAACCAAGAAAAGAACTTGCTTATTTTAGTTCCTATAAATTTAAGTTTCTATCAAGTTCAAAAGGCTCATTCATTTAAGGCAATTTTGAGATGATATCTTGCTCTGTTCAAATAAAGAGACAGTTAAATTCATTTTTGAGTTATGTTAAACTTTGGAATTAAAAGGTGATTGGTTGAAATCATAAAAGGAGTAATTTCAAGCAGATTAATTCAAAGTGATTTACTGTTACTGGGAATATGCAACCATAATCTAGAGGCTAAAGCAAGGGTTATCCGGCTTGGTGTTTTCATAGTATACATCCAGAGTCTATGGTGATTGAAGGAGTTGAATATGGTTTGGAAGGACACAGCATTTTAAACCACTTTAGCACTTTTGTTTCTAGTATTAATTCAGGAAACATAGCTTTTGGTTGTAGCAGCATGAAAAGCTAAAACCTTTACTTACATTTAAAGTTAAGGGAAAAAAGCCTAAAAATCACATCATAACCAAATATTCATCAAGTTGACCATATATAAAAATCCTAAACTTATTAAAGCAAGAGGGTAGAATGGAGTATTTGATTATTCAGGAGTATAGTCTTTGAGTCCCGTTTTCCATGTTGGTTTGTAAAGACTATAACCTCCATCAACCGGTAAGTTGACACCATTCAGATACTTGGCTTCATCACTTGCTAGAAACAGCGCGGCGTGTGCAACATCATTCGTTTCCAATATGGCCCCTTTCAATACTGCTGCCGCAGATATTTTCTCCTCTCCATTTTGCATATCCAAAATCCCTGATGCACCTTGGAACAATGGGGTAACAATTGCATAAGGAGAAATGCAATTAACTCTAATCCCATATTCACCTAACTCCACTGCCAAGCTTTTAGTCAAACCTACCACAGCATGCTTTGATGTGGTATATGCATGAGGGAGACCAGTGCATATCATTGAAAGCATACTGGCCGTGAAGAGAATGCACCCTTTCTTAGCTGGAATCATCACTCTAGAAGCATGCTTGGCACCCAAGAATGCACCAAATACATTGACATCATATACCCTCTTAAAGTCTTCGATATTTGAAGCTATGGCCCTCAGTTCAGGCTCGCCTAAAATGCCAGCGTTATTGAACATGATATCAAGCTTTCCATATTTGGAGACTGCCAAGTCCACGGCATTTTGTACGTCAGATTCACGTGTTACATCACAGTGGATATAGCTGATGGTTTCCCAGCTCCCTAGCTCTTTGCAAAGGGAGTGACCTAATTCATCTTGGATATCAGCAATTAGAACTTTGGCTCCATGTTTAACAAACACCCTGGTTGTGCTCTCTCCTATGCCACTAGCACCACCTGTTATCAGTGCTACCTTACCTTCTAGCCTGCATCAAGCACACAGACAAAATTCAATGATCCAGTCCTCCCTTTTTTATTTGTAAAAATTGCATGCATGCCTTTTTTCTTTAATGGAGGATGAAGATTTTTGTTTTTGAAAACACTGTAGCAAGGGATATACAGCATTCTAAATAGGGAAAGAACCTCTGCAACAGAAAGAGAATAAGAAAAAATTGAGAAAATCAAACGGTCCATGGCATGAGTATAGTCTAAATATTTATGAGAAACAAATTTCTTGCTAACTCAATTTCAGATTGACAGAGTTTTTGTTCTTTCAATGCTGTGTAGTGACATAGGAAAACTGAATAAATTAAAGGGAATCGAAACAATTACCTCTTAGCTACCGAAGACTCAGCGCTCATCATAGATCCCGGTTAAGAAACCCTTCCCAATATGTAAATTTGTGTCTGTTTTTGTGTTTCACTTCATTGTTGTCTGGTTTTTAAGCTTACCAGGTAGCGTGAAATTTATGAAATGCGTTCATACGTTCGAAAATTCAACAACGGATTTGTCCTGTTTTGATTGCTTTCACGATCAAAATTAACAGAATGATTTCGTCCTCAAGTTAAACTACGTGCATTTCAATTTCAATTCAGTACCATGAATTCCCAATCCAAACTTAAGATATTTTGAGGAGTACTGCTAGTTGCAAAATACACCAAGATTATGTTGTCATCACGGGGGCCCAGGTTGCCCGAACTAGTGATAAGAATTTATTGATGAATTCATAATCTAGTTGAAAATTCAAGTCATGATCTGATCATCCTGTGTCAGCTATAAATTAATTTCAATCTTTTTGTCTTAATGAAAATGTTGAACTTAGCCGAAATTATATTTTAGAACAAAATTAGATCTAAACACTTGATTCAATAGTAAATATATATTCATATAAAATTTATATAAGACGCATTATCAATTTATAATCGAAGACTCAATGGCATCAATACTCATCGACTACAGCTCTCACCGAAAAATTCCTCAATATTTTGTTGCTGTTTTTTTCGTGTTTTCACTTCTTTGTCATCTTCTCATACAGCTCATGATGGAAATGAAAAATCATTTGGTTGGTGTAGGTCGTCATAATAGTTTCCAACCACAAATTCAAAACCATTTCAATGCTTGAGGATCAAACCAAAAGATATTTTCAGGACTATTTCTAGTCTTGGGATATGTCACAAGGATCAAAATTAACATGACAATATTTCTAGCCTTGCATTATTTTCAAGACTATCACATATTATTTCTGAAATCTTGACGATTAAATCTGTTAATCTTGCTATAGCTATTTTAAACTTTTAAATTAACATGGCATGATTTCTAATTGCACCATTTTTTTAATATCTAATACCACAGCATGGGAATAGGAGAAGAGTGTGAGAATAGGAGAAGGGTCGAGATTACAAGTATTAAAATTAAAATTTTAAATTTATTATATGTTATTATATGAATTAATTGAATTAAATTTCATATTCGATTAAAGAATGATTTTTTATTTTCATCTTCATAAAAATTAAGGACATTATTTGTTTAACGATTATTATCTATATAATTGCTTGCACACCACTGAAGAAAATACCCAAACAGCCAAGCTTCAACTTTCTTTCTCTTCCCTTCTAAATTGAAAAATCTCACGTACTTGAAAAACAAGCATTGCAATGCAAGAAAAAAAAAAAAAAGAGATCACTTATATTGTTGAGTAGATTAAAATGAAGGAAAGGGGAAAAACATATGTACCATCTATTTACAAGATAACTGGTAATTGTGTTTATTAACTGACAAGTGGAAAACCAAGAGGTTCATTAATATAAAAATTGATAACAAAGTAATCATCTAAATCTACTTATTTGACTGAAAAAAAACCTTAATGATATGTTTAGCAGCTAAACGAGAATTTACAGTCCAAAAAATGCAAAGCATCTATAAAAATTTTCAAAGTTAAGATAAACCATTGAGTGCCGGCCACAAAGGTTTGGTTAGATACATAGTAGGCGTTTAAAGAGCAATGTCATATTGGTTTCCATTGTGCCAACTGGCTAGGAATTAGCCAACAGTTTTTCCAATATGCTCGACCTTTTTCTTTTGGTTTCATTTTAGCTTAATTTGTTGTATTGTTCTGTAAATTTATGTTGCAATTAGGTATCTATGGCTGCTTAATTGAAAAGCCTGCTTTCTGTTTCTGTTTAATTTTTTGCATACGGAAGTATTGTAAAAGGATGTCTAGTTTACCATGGAAGTAGTCATAGCATTTCTCTGTTGCTTTAACCATTTAATATAATCCTTTCTTCCCACAAATTTATTACAGTGATCAATCAATAGTAAGGAAAATCCCAAGCCAGAAACCAATTTCCTCTGATTTTTCTGACTTCTTTTCTGCTTGATTTCAAATTTCTTTAAGGAAAATGTTTCTTGTTTGATATCACCCCTTGAAAGGTAATAAAATGCTACCGCTAGTTATAATTACAGTACTTAGCAAATTGCTCCTAAGCTAATTGATTCTTATAGCAAATGGTTTCAGAGAGGGAAATTTTGGTTTAAATTAAGGGAATATATACATGTAAAATTGAGGGATTATAATTTGCATTCAACAGGGCTCTTACTTCTTTAATTTCATTTTCTCTTGAACTTATTGCTGCATCATTCTTTGCTTTATTTTTCAATTCTTTGGCAATGGCATTCAAATTCAGGTTAGCAGGAAAAGTGGCGATTACAACCAGAGGTGCAAGCGGCATTGGAGCAAGCACAGCAAGCCTTTTCCATGAGAATGGTGCCAAGGTCGTCATTGCCCATATCCAAGACAACAAAGGAGAAGCCCTAGCCAATAAGCTCGGGGGAAGTGCTAGCTACATTCATTGTGATGTCACAAATGAAGATGATATCCGCAACCTCACCGACACCACAATCACCAGACATGGAAAACTTGATATAATGTATAACAATGCAGGCGTTAATATGGACCGCACCTTAACCAGCATTTTGGATACCACAAAGACAGATAGAACAAGCTATTGGGGTAAACCTGGTTGGTGGTCTCCTAGGAGCCAAACATGCTGCCAGGGTGATGATGCCTCAGGGTAAAGGCTGTATACTTTTTACTGCTAGTGCTTGTACAGCAATTGCAGGGCTGCTATCGGGTCATGGCTATGCAGTGTCTAAATATGGAGTGATGGGTCTGACCAAGAACTTGGCAGCCGAGCTGGGCCAATATGGTATAAGAGTAAATTGTATATCACCTTCTGGGGTTGCGGCTCCATTGATTGTAGCAAATGAAGCTGAGGTGACGAACATGGAATTAACACTGGCAGCAATGGGCAATCTCAAAGGGGAAATTCTCAAAGAGGGTGTGGCACATGCAGCTTTGTATTTGGCTAGCGATGAATCAAGCTATGTGAGTGGGCTCAACCTTGTTGTGGATGGAGGCTTCAGCATAGTCAATCCTACCATTATGAAGGTTTATAACCTTACTCAGTAAATTATATAGAAAACATGGTGTGGGCAAATCTTAATCCTTTCTATTAGAGTTAATATGTTTTTTCTGACTTTTTTATAAATAAAATTATTTAATTATCCTTCTCATAAATTTTTGAAGTTTTATAACTTTTCAAAAATGAATTTTTAAAAAATTATATAATTTTTCGAAAATTCATTTTAAAAAAGATTTAGAATCTTCCAAAAATTCCTTTAACTAAGACTGAATGTTCCTTGAACACGTTAACTGTGGTGAACCTTGACTCCAGCATGCTACTTGCTCTTGGCCTGGTTGGGCATCCCTCATTCACCATGGATAGCCAAACCAAAAAAAAAAAAACCGTATTTAAGGAATAGGAACCATGACTTTGACATCAAAAAACAAATAATGGGTAACTCGTGTCATGATTAATGATTTTGCATTTCATTCGAGCATTTCCCTATATGATCTTTGGATCTAATGTAAGAAAGTCGCTTTGAATAAAATATCAAAAGCGACGTTTTGCTTTGTTTTGTTTGGCTGGCCGGTCAATTAAGGTATCAATTTCGTGTAACCTTTTTAAGGAATTTGATAAATAAATAATTATTGCAAAAATTCGAGGTGCTTTATAATTATAATAAATAAAATTATAAATGAAATGCTTCTGCTATTAAAACTTAAAATAAAAAAAATAACAACATCGAGACCAACATCTTCTGCTTTTCTCTCAATTTTCTCCCTCTATCAATGGCATGGATTTGTTTGTTCACCATCATTTCAATTTCAACGCTTGCATATTCTTCGAAAGGGGATACTGAGTATCATTCAAGATTGGATCTGGATTCGCTGACACGTGACCTGTTGGACTCTGCCAAGGAACCTGAGTTTTTTGATTGGTTAAAGAGGGTTCGGAGGAGGCTCCACCAGTACCCAGAGTTGGCTTTCGAAGAACATGAGACAAGTCAGCTCATCAGATCAGAGTTGGACTCGCTTGGGATCGACTACAAGTTCCCTGTAGCCAAGACAGGGGTTGTAGCCTCTGTCGGGTCTGGGGTGGAACCCTCGTTTGGCCTCAGAGCTGACATGGACGCCCTTCCTATCCAGGTTTTGTTTTGTCTGTCTCTTTTTTTTATTCATCTTTTGATTAGCAACTAACAAAACTCTGAAAAGTACCCTGTTGTCAGATGAAGCTAATCAATACAATCGCTTAATTATTGATAGGCAAAAAGTTTTATTCCAATTAAACATTGAAACCAATGAAAATATAATCAAACGATAGAATAATCATATAAAATATAATAATTTAATATAATTTGGTCTAATTTACTTATGTTTAGAGATGAAAAAAATTTATTAATTTTAAAGAAGTATACATATACAATCTCAATCAATCACTCATAATTAATATCTATACATTTTTTCATTTTTTCTCTAATCCTATTAAATATTATTAATCTAAATAAATATATACAAATGTATACTTATGTATATATATATATATATAAACTCTATTAATTTCCTTTAATACACTCAAACATACACTTTTATAAAGAAATTAATCCTATAAAGAAGTTAATCTTTTATAGTATTATGGAGTGTTTATCTTATAAAATTCTGTAACTCTTTTATTATTTTTTTATATCTAATTCTATAAAGATACAATTTTTTATAATCATACAAACTTACTTATTAAGAATTTATTTTCTTTTAGAATTCTTCTTCTGTAATTTTTCTTATTCATCAAGTAATTTTTAGTCAATCTCAAGTAAACTTCTTATAAAATTTTAATAACTATTTTTAATAATTTTCATATTGATTCAAATTCTATCAAATCATCAATTTTTGCTTAACTCTACTTGCAATGAAAGTCTTATAATAATCTTTTTTTATGTGTCTCTAAACTTCACGCAAACTGATCTTAACTTGAACTCTTCTATTAAATAGAGCTTTTCTAATCTTGCTTATTCACATTTTTAGAATATTTAACTCTAATATCACTTATTAAGCAAAAAAATCCTAATCTAATTAAACATCAAAGTCAACAAAAACATAATTAAATGATCAAATAAAAGACAACAATTTAACATATTTCGGTCTAACCAATTTATGTCCATAAATGAGAGAAAAGATTCACTAGTTATAGAAAATTACAAATATACAATCTCAATCAATCAATCACTCGCAATCAATACTATAGACTTTTTTATTTTCCTCTAGTCCTATAAACTATTCTCAACCTAAATAAATATATACTCAATATATATATACACCATATTTATGTAGACCTTCTCATTTTTTTTAATCCACTTAAATACACATTCTCATAAACGTTAATTTCTTATAGTTCTATAGGTGTTTATTCTATAAAATCTTACAACCTTTTATAATTTTTTTTTCATATTTAATTCATTAGAGATATCATATTTATAATCATATAAATTTGTCTATCAAAAATTTATTTTTTTTAAAATTCTTTTTCTATGAATCTTCTAATCATTAAGTAATATTTAATCAATTTCAAGCAAATCATGAAATTTGAGTTATTATTCATAATAATTATGAACGTTCATTTATTTTTGGAGAATTGATTAATACACAAAAATTAGGTCAAAGTGATTTTTTGATAAATTAAACAAATTAAACATGAAGAAATTAAATGCTGAATTGTTAGTTTTGAAAATTTTAAGTAATAAAATGATATGAAAGTTCTTTGATATGTTAGTAAAAATTAAAGGTTTACTAGATATTTTATTAATTTTTTGTAAAAAAAAAAAAAAACAAAAATATCTTCATGCTTCATCATTGAAACTATATAATAATCTTCCTCTATGTCAATGTTATGAAGGAATTGGTTGAGTGGGAGCATAAGAGCAAGAACAATGGGAAGATGCATGCTTGTGGCCACGATGTTCACGTGACAATGCTGCTTGGAGCAGCCAAATTACTTCAGCGCAGGAGAGATGAATTGAAGGGTACTGTTAAGCTTGTTTTTCAACCTGGAGAAGAGGGTCATGCTGGTGCTTATCACATGATAAAAGAGGGTTCTGTTGATAATGTCCAAGCCATGTTTGGATTACATGTTTCACCAGAAATGCCCACCGGAACTGTTGGGTCGAGACCTGGTCCTGTGCTTGCTGGCTCAGCCAGGTTTCTAGTCAAAATTCAAGGGGAAGGTGGGCATGCTGCTTCGCCTCATTTGACTAGGGATCCAGTACTCGCAGCATCTTTGGCCATCCTTGCACTCCAACAGATCGTTTCTCGAGAGACAGATCCTCTTGAGTCCAGGGTAAATTTCTAGCTATGGATAAGCAAATCCATTACAAGCTCAACATCATGGATGAGTTCAGACTTTAGTACTGTTGTTCTTCTCCTGAAACTGTCTTTACTTATAAAAATGAAGTGGATGAAACCCATATCTGAAAGTGGCCCATTTTCACCAAACCACAGGTTGTCTCAGTTGGATTCATTCAAGCTGGTCAAGCAGCCAATGTTATCCCAGAGACGGTAAGCTTTGGAGGCACTTTTCGAAGCATGACCACAGAAGGCTTGTCTTATCTGCAGCAAAGGATCAAACAGGTATCTTTTCACAGCATCAAGGGAAAAAATGTCTTATTTACTAACATGTTTTATTTACAGGTAATTGAGACTCAAGCAATAGTACATCAATGTACTGCTACCATAGATTTTTTGGAGGAAAAACTGAAACCTTACCCTGCAACTGTCAATGATGAATCAATGTATGAACATGCGAAAAAGGTTGGAGAATCTGTGTTTGGGAAATCTAATATACTCCTTATTCCAATGACTATGGGAGCAGAGGATTTCAGCTTCTATTCAAAGAAGATGCCAGCTGCCTTCTTCATGATAGGGACAAAAAACGAAACACAAAAACAAACCCTTCGATTGCACTCACCCTACTTGATTATTGATGAGGAGGTTCTCCCCCTGGGAGCTGCCTTCCATGCTGCGGTAGCACTATCTTATTTGGAGAATCCTGCTGTACTTAAAGCTCGGTAACTTTCTATTCTTGGAATGAAGATTCATAGAAAAGTAGACATATTAAAATTGCTCACGAAACATCATAAACTTACATTTAAAAAACAATTTGAGCTCATGCAACCCAAACCCAAACCCAAACTTGTGTTTTGTGAAGCAACATTCATATTGGAGAGAACCCAACAGGATATAAAGAAACATTCGTTTCTTTAAAGAACATTAGTTTGAAGCACCTTATCCATGTGTGAATTTTTTTATGGGAATTGAGTTGGGACTTGGGAGGGGACTAAAAACAGAAAGCTAATGCAAAGATAAAGGCATCCTACTTCTTGCACAAGTCTGATCCAAGGTAGATACCCCAAGCAAAACAGATTTTTTGAGTGGATGATATTTGAAACTCCTAGACAACCTGAGTTTTTTGAGTGGTGATAGGGATTAGGAGGAGAAATCACCAGCACTCAGAGCTGGGATTTGAAGAGCACAATACCAGTGAACTTATCAGTAATGAGTTCATTTACCAGGTAGTTTTTCAGCCGTTTGAGAGAGCTTGAAAAGTGCTAGGCCCAGTTTAAGATACAAAATTTTAAGCAAAGTCCTACCATTTAACATTTTTACACGGTTAAACCTCATCTTAACTTGACCCGGTAAAAACCAAAAAGTCAAAAAGACGGAGCAAAACAAAACCAAAGCCCCTCAAGTGAAAGTGAAAAAGTGAACAGAAAAATAAACCAGACCAAAAAACCAAAAATGGTGCTGCGTTTATACTCGCCAAAAGCAAAGCAACTAGTAGTAACAATCAGTTTTTGCCTCACCGGGGCTTCACTCATAGCCGCCGCAACTTACCTGTCCCTTGTCAACATTGCTCCAGAGATCTTTTTATATCAACCAGTTATTTCCTGCACTTGTGATTGTTCCAATGCCCAAGGAAAAAAAAAGGTTATGCAAAAGTGAACTTCCCTTTTTTTTTTCACGTAGAGCAGGTTTTCCCTCAATGTAGAAGCCTTGTAAGTTCCCTAGGTACTCACCAGATCGCGAGTACTGATAGATTAGTCACCACCCAAAAAAAAGAAGACCCAAGGGAAAGTAGGAAAGTAGGAATCCATTTAGACTTTTTATTCATGGCTTGGTTCTGGACCTCATCAGCTAATTATCAGATCATTCAAATACTTAAATGACATAGAGCTAACTGATAAAAGTAAAAACAGAAGAAGAAGCGCATATAACAGGCAAATTTTGAAAACTTTCTGGCATATTTTACATTTCAGTTATACTAAGATTTTGTACAAGGTAAAACTGGTTCAATTAGCACAGGCTCCTTAAGAAGGGGACAAAAAAAAAGGCTCTACAAAAGATGCTCAATCCTATCGATGAACTAGATGCTGGTGAATATCAAGCAGCGATCGTTGCAATTAGAGCACCTCTAGAGGCATCACACAAAGCATTAATGAACAAAAAATGGGAAACTCGTTTCCATCCAAATCTTCTTGCAGTAGGCATCTAACAAGCTTGATCTGAAACTACTTCCACGCATCCAGAGTTTACTCTTGCTAGTTGAGAGGCGCTAGAGAATAGTGAAAGAACCCATACTTAATCTTACCATCTTGATTTTCTAGCATTATTGGCTTCACCCCTGGATTCTGCCAACCTTGACTTCAGAACACTACCAGGCACCAAAGGGGGCCTCTCTTGAGCTACATTGCCGAGATCTCTTGAAGAGCGTGTCGAACTAGCATAAACTCTACCTGCCCTAGAACCGGATAAAAGATGTTCCCTAAGACCCTTTACAGCTTTATATCCATGCACTTCATCTCCATAACTTTTTGCTTCTACTTGCTTCTCCAGTTGAGCAAATCTACCCCACTCTAGATCATCACCAGAATTTTGAAGCCTTCCATTTGGCATGCCCCAATCAACTCCATCTGATATGCTCCTTTGTAGAGAACTCCTCCTTGGTAATCTGCTGGAGGTTGATTTTCTACCTGTAATGTCTTCTTCATTTATTAGCGGATCTCTTGAATCACAAGCAGCATCAGGAGCATAAGCCCACTTGTAGCTCTTGTTGTTGTTGTCCATATTTAATTCTATGGAATGAAGGTCACTTTCAGCTGAGTCTTCTTCGCATACTACAACATCTTCAACTTCTCCATCCTGTTCATTTTCCTCACTAGGATGGGAACAAAAATGGGCTCTGTTTAAATAGGCAGAAATCTCCTCACTGATAGGTTCATTTAGAGAACCACGCCCTGTTTCTTTAACTCTTTTTGTACCTAGAAAATTTTCAAGTTGGTTCCTCATTTTATCAACAGCTGTATTTTTCTCCTCAAGATGATATTTGGCTTCTGAGCGTTTCATTTGAACTCTCTGTTCACACAACACATCAGCCAACTGCATCATCTCTCTTTCCTTTTCGATCTCTTCACGAACTTTTGCAGACTCTCTCTTCAGCTCTTCCTTTTCAGCTTTATCTTCACTGATATCCCTGGCTAGTTCATCACATACTTGCTCAATTACTACCCTTGTCCTTTTCTCACTCTCAAGTTCTTTCACTGATTTCAGAAGAGATGTCTTTGTCTCAGCTAGTTCTTTCCCAAGCTTCTTGTTTAAGCTTTCAAAGCGTCTCCTAAGCTTTCTCTCCACCTCAAGTTCAACTGCAATTGACTCAATAGCAGCCTCAACAACTTTCTGCTCCTTGTTTTTCCATGCTGCCTTTTCTTCGGCAAAGCACTTCATCAAATAGTTGATGTCATACCGATCAGAGCGTTGCTCTTGGATCAGCTGATTGACTAGCAGACGAGCTCTCTCTAACTCAGCATGTAAGGCTGAAATAAGGGACATACTTGATGAGGGACGATCTTCATGACCCCACATGCGGTTGATAATTTTTAATAGTTCTTTGGATGTTGTCAAGGCATTACTAACATCCTTCAAACGAGTCTTAACACCAACAGTTGATCCCATGGGAGTCTGGGCATGAGATCTAGTTTCAATCTGCAACATAGAGGAAGATGATTAAACTCCTTTGTGCTCACTAAATACTCAAGTGTACTGCAGCTCAACACACTGTAAAAGCCCGAAAAAGTTATTTTATTTCAGATATTTGAAATTTTGCCCTCGGAATTTGAATAAAAAACTGTTATACTATGAATTGTTTACAAAATTGAGTAACAGAGAGGCTCAACAAAAGTTACCAATTCTGACCTGAAATAATAACAACCACAAGAAGATTAAAAATACATAAACCATTCATAAAATATTCAAAATAAAACAAAGGATTTCTCTTCTACCTTGTATTAAATAATTACAAAATAAAATAAAAAACAGAAAAATAATTCATTATTTCCATGAACCAACAGGAATACCTCCATTAAACTGGCGTTACTAATAGAATCCAATACCCAACCATTATGGTCTGTAAGCCTAAGCTTGTGGGAAACAGAGGATGCTCTTCTCTGGCGACTACAAGTTCCAGATCTATCCATTCTCTGAAGAAGAATGAATATAACATCTTAATCATTTATCCAAAAAAAAGGTATAATGTGCAAAGTCAATAGTTTAGATTATCAAAAACCCACTGACAATGGAATAATAGTAGGAGTTGACTGCAATTTTTGAGGCTTAGCAGTTGGAAGCTCAAAACATCAATTGCATTCATTGGTTACTTTATAATCAGTTCATGATCAAGTAAGTTGAAATCATGTTCCATAAACCGTGATCTATAAAAAGCAATTCATAGAAAACCAAAATTTTTCAATTACACAAAATTGAGATCAGAGTGGAAAACATTTAGCTCCAAACAATTTCCAATATCACAAACTAAAACCAATATCATCAAGATACCGAATTCGAGTAGCGTTGGGTTTCTACAAAAATACATCATATGCTCATAACATTAAAATCTAAACTCCATATTAATTATCAACAGAACAAGCCTCAAAATAGAACAAAGAGTACCCATTAAAGTAAACCCACCTCTACTATTACTCGTTTCTGAAAACCCCTACCATAATATTCCACAATTTTGCCCCAAGAACCTAAATTTACAAAAATTCTAAAAAATAAGATCATGTCTAGTCATCCTCCCCAAAACCCCACTAACCAAGTAATAACTCTTTTCATTGAAACATTCATTCCTATCGTAAAAACTACCAAATACAAAAAGCAACTAAGCAAGAAAATAAACTAATTCTAAATATCAAAGGTTGAACCAAACTCGTGCACAACCTAATAAACAATATGAAATTCTGGCAGAAACCAAATCCTTAAATCACAAACTGCTGATTCTAAACACCATTTGCTTATTGAGAAATGTACCATTTAAAAGTAATACTTAAACCTGGTTAGATAATTTTCACTGAGAATCAGAGTGTTTTGATGAGTATCTGGTTACTTAATCATTTTTAGTAGTACAAGTTTCTAATAAGTACTTTAACCAAAAGCAGAATCGTTAGTACTTTTTTAAGAAGAAGATCCAAGTAGAGAATTTCATGAGTTTTTAAAAGCTAAAAATAAAAACTGCAACCAGTACTCTTGATCACACAATGATTCGCTCAAAATTGTGACAAAATTCAATGGATTAGACAACAAAAGCAAACACCTTCTAAACCAAACCTACCCAACTATTTGCTCATTCCTTAAAAACAAATAAAAAAACAAACCATAATATTCCAAAAAAAATAATCTCCTGAGAGCGACCACTTTCTTGGTAATGACTTTTTTCCTGAATTTACCTTGTCATACCAAAAACTAACGTAAAAAACAATTCCATTTTAAAGGAAAAAATAATAAAAAAAAAACCCACCTCAGAAACAGGGCTATGAGAAGGATCAGACAAGTGACGAGGCAAAGAACCCGAATGAACCGACCTAGCAGCCCCTCTTTCTCTCCTTTCTTTCCTCCTCCGACTCTCCTCGCCCCCTTCCTTTATTCTAGGCGACGGTATCTCATTCATTTCCCACAGCGTCGCCGCCAGCTTCCTCGCCGAAACCGGCTGCTGCTGCTGTCCCTGCCCTTGCCCTTTTAATTTGCTCCTACTTTGTGATCCCGCATTCCTAGGAGACTCTGCAGCTCTCAGCATTGACGCCGTTGATGGCGATCTCATCATCAGCTTCCACGTAGGCACGGGCGTAGTGGATCCACCCCTTTTGCTACCAACTAAAATCGCTCTCTTGAATCTGTAGTTTTGGATTATGGATGACGACGACGAAGCTGAAGATGAGCACCCTCGTTTCCTGATTTTTCCAGGGAGTAAATTTTCCATGTCAATGTTGCCCAGGTTTTGCCTTGGCATCATCACTTTTCCTTTGACTCACCGAGCTAACTCGGCCTTCCTTTTTTAGTGCTTATATTTTCTTATTAGATCTTACAGATCTGTCAACAAAACAATGAAGATTAAAATCATTAATTATAAAAAAATCAAACTTTTTTTCCAAAATTGACTCGTTTTTATTTTCTATGTTACGCATTATATATTTACTTTTGTTAGGTCTGCATCTCATAAGTTTGTGTTTGGCGGCTCAGAAAATAAGGAAAAAGAAAGGACATTAAAATGACAGATTAAACCAAGACAGATTCGAGCTTGAAGTTGTATGTTTGCTATTCAGACAACGGAAAAAATCAAAATGTCGAAAACTGAGTAAGAAAAAAAAACAAAAAAATGTTAATTTTTGTTTTACTGCATTGAAAACGAAAAAAGATTTCTTTTTTCCCTGAAACTTACTGTTAACTTCATGGCTCGCTTTAGAATTATACTTAGGAGTGTTTGGAAGCCAAGAAAACGAAAGGGAAAAGAAAAGGGAGAAAAGTTAGAGATTTCAGATTCAAAAGCAAAACCTAGAAAAAGAGCGAGCTTCTTTTTTATGGCTTTCGCTTTGCAGCACTACGACGAGAACTGTAAGTATTTTTCTGATGAAATACAGACTGTAAAGTGCAAAAAAGAGAAGAAGATATCTTGTACGGTCAAACAAAATAAACATACGTGTCGATTTATGATTGGATTGAAGATGGTATTGGTTTGACTTTGGTCAATCGTGCGGTGACGTGGGTGGGAGTAAAGGTTATGTGAGTGGAAGGTGAATGTGAGAGATTAGCCGCAATTGGAAATATTAGCGAAATTTTGGTGGATTTTAGGATTTGGCCTTTTGGGGCCCCTTTGATTTCGTTTTAGAACAAGAAAATTCCCAGAATAATTTTCGGAGAATTTGGGATTTTTTTTAAAAGAATCATTTTTTAACTAAATTTTAGCAATTCTTTTTTAAAAAAGGAAAGTACGGGTGCTTATAATTACGGTTAAGGGCATATAAAGTTTTTATTTTAAAAATAAAATTTGCATTTTGTACAGTGTTTTTTACATAATTCAAAAACAGACTGTTTATTAATTATAATTTTTTAAAATATCATTTTAATCAATGTTAACATTTTAAAAAAATGATTAATCTTTTTCAGTAATTTTGCGCAATTTTTTATTTAAAACCGAGGAATCCGAATGTTTATCAAATTAATTAATTAGTAAGATCTTCTACTCCCTTTAAAAAAGGCCTAAATTTTAATAATTATGATCCCAAGATCTTTTTAAAATCTTTTATTATCATACATCTTCATTTGAGTACTGGTAAAATTGGATTTGAAAGAATACATAATCTTTTCAGGAAGTAAAATTCTAAAGCTTTGAATTCAGGAAATAAGGAATGATAGAGAAGACAATGCCTAAAGTATAATCCAATTTTCCAGTAATTTAAAAAATTCTATAAACAAGTCAATGAGGTCTTGATTTAGTAATAAAAAAAAGATTTTAAAATTTTAAGTTTAAATTTTACTGTATGTAAATTTGATTGTTTAATTAAATTATAATTTATCATTTGATTATTTAGTAATTAATTGATTATATGAATGTAATTTTAAATATATATATATAAAATTTTCAAAAGGAAAAGAAGGGAAAGAACAAAAAAAAAAAACCATAAAAGAAATATATAAATACTTGAAACATACCTAAACATTTTTTTCTCGAGAACCAAACAAATAGATGAATTTCCATCCATTTCTAGAGTTTTATTTTTGAACTATATGCTGGTTTAATATTTCCATCATCGTAAAGAGTTAGTTATGTTATTAATTCTGCATTGATTGATAAATGTGGTTCTTGATATGGTACTATATACACAGGAAAATTAATAGAATTTGGTTTTGGAAAGAAAAGTAAGCCTTATACCTAATCTTTGGAGTTTTAAACATCTATTATCAAAATGAAATAATGATACGTCGCTAGAGTTGATTCAATGCAGAAACAAAATTAGTGAACCCAAATTTTACAAGTGAATCAATCGAAATTTATTTTAATTGATTTATATAATTATTTTTAAAAAATTATATTTAATAATTTTAAATTTTTTATTCTCGATTTATGATTTTTTTATATAAGAAAACAAATTATATTATGATTTGCTCAATAATAATATTTTGTTTTTAACAAAATGATGTAGTCTGTTACCATATATTCTGGCAAGATTAATGCTTGGATTGTTGGAAGGTAATCAAGTGGTGCAAGAAACTATAGCTTTTTGGATGGCATTTTTCAACTTAAAAGGTAATTAATCTTCTACATAGAAATTAAAAAGGTCTCATTTGGTATATATTAAGCTTTGGTGTGGAAAATTATTATGATAAAAAAAAAATCAGCCTAAGAGCCCAAAATATCTTTGAATCTCTCATTTCTCATCTCACAATCTGCAAGGTCAGGGACATATATGGAAATTTATGGGAATATTGCATTACTGGTCAATTCACACATGAAAAATCTAAAATATATTTTAATTTATCATGATTTTACTTGTTATATACTTGAACAAAATGCTTTAACCCTGACAAACACCCCAAACATCCCGTTGAAAACTAGTTCCATTCCATGTGTAACATCTTGTTTTGTTGTTTCTTACAACATGACCCTTATAAAAAGGAAAGGAGAAAAATTTTTGACTCGAAATTAAGATTTTTACATTTTCATAAAAGTTTCTTTAACCATTGATCAAGAGGTGAAGGACAAATGATCCCTAATTTAGTTGGCTGAACAGAGGACGTTATTTATATGGTAGGACCATGGTATTATTAGCTAATTAATTTTGCTGGCATATTGATCCCACCGACTCTAATCCTTTAGGAGAAGTAGGTATATACTAAAAATAGAGATGTGACAGAAAGATAAGACTAATCTTATTTTCTCCCAAAAATAAATGAAAGGTAAAAAAAATACTCAATTTTAGCTTTGTATCATCTGAAAAGTTTCGTGAAAATGTAGTTAATTTAGAAATAAATGTAAATTATACACAACATCGGCATCAAAATCCCAGTCATAGTTAATTGCATACTCATCAGCAAATTACTAAAGGGATGGGCAACCATTGACCTCGGAAACGTCCCCCGGCTTTTCGGCCATACACAGGGAACAAGCTGGCGTAGAAAACAACCCACCATTCTCCTTGGAATTACATCAATCTTTGTTATTAACTCCATAACAGCTAAAATGAAAATCTTGGGATTAACATCCTTTTTTTTCGTTTGGTGAATTTTAGAGTTTGATAACTACCGGAATATTTTTGGATTTAGAAGGTAAATTAAGTTTTTTTATTAAAAATTATCAGTATATAATTAAAGATATTTTTAAAATTTTGATTTATTTAATACATATAATATCATATCACATAATATTTTATAAATTCAACTATATTATTATTTTATTTAATAATTTTTTATTTTTCGCTTATAAATAAAGTCATCCAAATAATATCTAATTTAATCTAATTTTCTTTTTTTTTTTTTTTCTTTCTAACCTCTTCTAGTTAACTTCTAACTTAAGCATCCACTATTTTTTTTCTCGTAATTTTAAGATTTTACTCTTATTTTGAAATTCGGCACAAACGATAACTCACCTAGTCAGCATCAAAATTTTAGCTTTTTTCTATGCTTTATATAATTATATGGGTGTTAAAATGTCAATTAACCTATGCATTAAATTGAAATTAATGGATGAAAATTGCCGACCAAATTGAAAGAAAATGATAGACAAAAACTTTGACAAGGAAAAAACAGGCCAGCCCACGAAATGTCCTTTCTTTCTCGTCCTTGTTACGGCTACGTATAGCAAATCAAAACCATTTCTCCAGCAGCCCAACGACCTCGACCGGTTGCTTTATTCAACAGAAGTTAATCTCCACTTTCCACTATTTCACCTGCTGAAGATAGAAACCAGATAAGTTGATCAGAAGCATGAGGATAATAGCAATTGGAATCTTATTTCTCTGGTTTTTCTCTATCTTCTCTTGTTTGTTTTCAACTGTCTCTTTTGCTGAAATTACTCCTAGATTTCCTTCTTCAGTCATTATAGGAGCAGAGCAGCTCTCCCTTGTTAAACAAAGTAGTAATAAGCTTTACAGAGAGAATTACTTCACCCAAATACTAGATCATTTCAACTTCAATCCGAAGAGCTATCAAAGGTTTCAGCATAGATATCTAATCAATGACACCTTTTGGGGTGGCCCAAAGAAGAATGCTCCAATCTTTGTTTATACAGGAAATGAAGGAGTCATTGAATGGTTTGCTCAAAACACTGGATTTATGTTCGACATTGCACCATACTTCAAAGCCCTTCTTGTTTTCATTGAGGTAATCCCCCTCCCCTTCTTTTTCTTTTCCTTCGTTTTCTTATTATTTTCTTGCTGACCAAACAAAAGGGTATTTGTAATGTGAATTGCAGCATCGGTTCTATGGAAAATCAATTCCATTCGGTGGTGACAAAGACATTGCTTACAGCAATGCTAGTACTCTTGGATATCTAACCTCGACACAGGCCTTGGCGGATTATGCCACTCTGATTATTGATCTGAAGAAGAACCTGACGGCGGTTGACTCCCCTGTGGTGGTTTTCGGAGGTTCCTATGGAGGAAGTATGACTTAAAAAAAGACCCAAAAAAAAAAAAGCATCAATCTAATTTCTTTCTGTCAAAGTTGTTTCTAAAAAGATTTATTCATTGCAAAGCTGAAAGATCCCTGTTTTTTTTTTTTTTTTTGCAGTGCTGGCAGCTTGGTTTAGACTGAAGTATCCGCATATCGCCATTGGAGCTTTGGCATCTTCTGCTCCAATCCTCAACTTTGAGAACATAACTTCTCCATATAGCTTCAACAACATCGTAACTCAAGATTTCAGGGTTCTTTCTCTAACTCTGATCTTACTGTTTTGCTGTTTTTTCATCCTGGAGATAATAGATATTAGGATGAGATAACATACAAATCATATAATTCAACTCTCGCAATGGTCCACTAATCATATACTTGTAATTAAAATATAACATTAATTTTATATTTGTGATCCAATAAAATACTCCGCAATTATGTTTAGATTCAAGTTCACGTGCATTGACCATGTGATACATTACAATCACAATTAACACTATTTCATAATCAAATTGACAAGCACATATAATGAATTTATTAAGATATTCAATACATATATAAATGTATCCATGTATGTACGTATATTTATATGTGTTTTGAATGTTAAAAACTTTAAAAAATACATATATAAATGTGATGAAATCCGAAATGGGATTGAATTCAAGAGATGAGATTTATAAGACGAAAAACAATTTCAAGTGTTTATATTATATATATATATATTTATATTGCTTGAGTCTTAATTTATTAGCATGTAGATCTCATTGTTTGTATATCTGAAAAATTAGAGTGAAAGCGAAAATTGTTACAAGGTGATAAAGGGGTCATGGAAACAAATTGAAGACACTGGAAAGGAATCCGGGGGGCTTGAACTTCTCCGAAAATCATTCAGAATATGCAAGTAATTCGCAAAGTTTAACCCAAATATTTGAAATTATTAATCTTTCTCTAACTTTTCCTAATTCATAATTTTTCTTAATTAATTTTTTCCTTGTTTAGAAACTATATTGGTGCAGGCGCTTTGGAGGGTTGGCTTCGTACAGCATTTGTCTACACTGCCATGACAGATTATCCTACTGTTACAAACTTTTTAAATCCCTTGCCAGCTTACCCAGTGAAACAGGTAATAAAATTAGAATCCCTTTTTTTTTTTAAAAATAAATTTTTAGCTTATTTTTTTAATTTCATAAATAAAATTAAAATTTTTATTTTTTTATTTTTTTTAATTAATTTTAATATACCTTAAAGTCTTTGTCATCCTGTTAATTTCACTTCTTTGTTAATTATTTTTAATATATATTAAAAACTCCTTTGACATTTTTTAAAAAATTAATTCATCTTATGAGTGAAAATTTATCTTATTGATATATTACAACTAAAATTTTAAACTTTACAAAAAAAAAATTGATTTTTTTTTTTATTTTTGAAGAAATTATTATAATTAATAAATGATTGATGCATGTTTTATAATCTACATTTAGAACATAGATTCAATGTATATGCAAATACAGTATATGATATATTTATTTTTGTTTCAAAAAAAAATTTGTTATTTGATGATAAAAATTTCTTATTGTCGGGAGCAGATGTGCAAGGCAATCGATGATCCGACGACAGGGAATGATACATTTGCGAAGTTGTACGGTGCAGCTAACGTTTACTATAACTACACTGGAACTGCCACGTGTTTCAATCTGGCTTCTTCCCTTGATCCTCACGGCCTAGACTTGTGGGGCTGGCAGGTACCAGAATATTCTTTTTTTTTTTTTTTTTTCAATTTAAGATTTCATTTAGAAATATCAACGAATCAGGAGGGTATTCAAATCGGCGTCTTCATTTTTGTTTTTTAAAATATCTTTAATTCCATATTTTATCCATTTTGGATAAAAATTTATATTCATCTCTATCTTTATTGGGATTTAACAGATACGAAAAATCTCAATTATTCGTGGTTTTAAAAAAATTAATAATAAATATTAAAATATTTAGAATTTGTTAAAACTAAGAAAAATTTACCAAAAATGCATGCACATTAACACAATAAATTAAAGTTAAAACCCTAAAAAAATCTTTTTTAATATTATTGGATATGACTCAACTTTTCTATAATCTTTAGCCAAAATTATATATATATCCATGACCTCTATCAATTGCAGCCATGGTGCTAAAATCAATGAGATAATCTCGTAATCAAACCTAGGTGAAGTGCACATTTATGATTTATCCCTTGTTAATTCCCTAATCCCTAATAAAAAAAAAAAACTATGATTAAAACATTGTTGTTAGTAATGCTTTTAGTGAAGATCCATTTCAAAACTTGAAAACTTAGAAGATTAATATTGATAGAAATGTGTGGAAAAGTTCCTTTTTTAATTCTCTAGAAAGTCAAACGTGTCGTAAGTGAATTGACACTAATTCAATTAGGGATTTTATAATAATATAAATAATTCAAAATGATAACAAAAAAAGTAGCACATAAGAAAAAAAAATTGTAATACATAATATAAATTGGTGATTCAGAACAAAAATTAATAATACATAAGAAAAAGCGATAATTTATTAAAAAAAAGAGAGAAAGTAATAATTCATTACTAAAATTGGTAATACATGAAAAATATAAAAGATATAGTTAGGGACCTGTTAGTATTTTAATTTTACTTAAAAATAAGAAGTAAATTTAAATATTTTTAAATTTCCTGTAATGCCCTTTTTTCCTCACTTCTAAATACTAATAATCTTATTCTTTTCTCTTTAATATTTAAATAACTCTAATTGTTTAATTTTTTATAATTTTAGTAGATGTGCATAAATCTAGTTAATTAGTTGAATAATTATTGCAGTCAAAAAAGGAGTGCTTAGGTACTTTGAAGTCTTGTCATTGAACTTTGGCCGGGGTAGCATTTTCCAAACTACTTAAAGGAGTAGGAAAATTGGAAGATGTGGTTAAATTTTGGAATAGAGATGATCATGTGGCAGCAGGCTACCATTGTCAAGAAAAAAAAATGGAATAAATGAACACCAAGAACTTGTTCATTGAATAAGGGTAGGGCAAATCCGGAAAAACCGGCTTCCAGTCTTCAGAATCATTGGGCTAACGCCCAATATAGGGAAAGTGAAGAATAACAAGATCCAAGAAGCAATTCTTCTAAATTTTCACTTGAGGGATACACGAAATTCACAGGGAATAAGCTGCATGCTATTACAAATTTTACAATTCTGTTATCTGAGGTTGGAAAATTTGTGCATGGCAGGCATGTACAGAAATGATAATGCCAACAGATGGAAACAATAAGGAGAGCATATTTCCAGAGTCTCAATGGAACTATTCTCAGAGAGCAGCTGACTGCAAAGGTTTCTATGGCGTTGAACCTAGACCCAACTGGATTAGCACCGAGTTTGGCGGTCATGTGAGTATCCAGTTTTGCACCCTTTATCATAATTTTCCTGTTACATACTTCTCCCATGAAACTAAAACAAGTAAAAAGTCGTGGTAACGAGTATTCTAAAAGCATTTGTTCAAGTTATTACAAGAAATAATATTATTAATTTTCGTCCAATGCATTGAAAATTATGAAATTTTCTATGTAAATTACTGCATTTGCTACAATAATATCTCTTAAAATAGTGTCTGAAAGTGACGGATGCAAAATTTCTTCGGAGGTGTCGATGGACACCTTAACTCTATATGTGAATCGGCTTCAGGATACTCTCTTGTTAAACAAAACCTCAAAATAGAATAAAGAGAGACTCTTGATTGCAATCCCCCGGTTTTCAATACTAATAATATATCTTGCCCGTTGGGAGACAGGATATTTACAGGGTTTTGAAGAGGTTTGGGAGCAATATGATCTTCTTTAATGGCTTAAGAGACCCTTGGAGCGGTGGAGGGTGGGTAACATCTCTTTTCTAAGTATATTTTTAAGGATTTGTCAGCTGCCAGGCAGATAGGGACTCAGGCTACAATATCTGCTGATCATGGTTGTTCTCATATCTTGGACAGGGTATTGAAGAATATATCCAAAACCATAGTTGCAATCGTTGCTGAAGAAGGTTAGTGAAAAAAACATATTATACTCTTTATTTTTCATCGATTGGGTCCTTTGATACTTTGAATATGTGCCAAATTTTGTGTCGTGAATGATTGCATGCTGCCATTTTTTCTTTGTTTTCCAAAAGGGGCTCACCATGTAGATCTGAGGTTTGCAACCAGTGAAGACCCCAAATGGCTTCAAGACGTGCGGGAAAGGGAGGTCAACATCATTTCCAGTTGGATCTCTCAATATTATCATGATCTTGCACGTGATTCCTAACCAATTTTTTTCTGCATTTTACACTGTATAAGCAATTGAGCATCGCTCTGCATCTTAATTTGTAAATGACCAAATGAGAAAATAAAAAAATTGAAGGTTCATTATTTGGTTTAACGAGAATTTGACATTTCCAAATTGTTTGTTTCAAAGAATTCGTCTTGGTCCAAAAGTTTATTTGTTACCAAACAAATGAAGACGTGATGGATTAAATAGATAAAAAAAATGAAAATCCACATTATTCCAATATAAGTAGGAATGTCTTATTAATAAAGACACAATTAAGATCTTATTCAGGTTGACTTTTCTTTCAAAGTTACGTCTCAGAAAAGAGATAGGCGGGTCCATTATTGCTACAATTTCCCTTCTGTCTTAGGGCCTAAGAGACAGAACCTTGCATCATAAGATTTAACTCCCAAAAACCAATCTTAGAAACCTGTCGTTTAGTAGGTTTTGAGAAGCTAAAACAAATCTTGACTCAAAGTTTGCTCACAGCAAAGCATTCTTCGGGTAGGATCAATAATTCAGTTTGGTTAAAAGCAGAAAGGAACATGACAAAATGTTCACAAAGGTCCTTAGTGCATGCTCTCACGGTGCAAAAGCCTATAAAAGGGACAAGTCAATGGAATCCTTTTGGAAACCAGGGCAAGCTTTGTCCACTTTGTCAACAAATTGGGGTCGATTGGTCCCTAGGACCATGCTATCAGTCTTCCTCCTCAAACCCTAATATCTGGTCCCGATCTCCCCCACCACCGTACTCACTACTCAAACTCCCAGCTCTACTTTTACACCCCCCATGCAGCCATGCCACGTTTCCTCAACCCAATTGCATCATCCCTTCATCACCTCTCATTTTGTTCTCTAACCCACTTTCCTTGCAATTTTTTCCACACAAAGGTAAAAAAGAAACCATGCTAGCACAAGCAGTGACAGCAGCAATCGTAAAGGTTTGGACTGAAACTGAGGTCAGGTCATGATCTGGTAGGGTCCATTTCCAAGAAGAAACAATACTACTACTATATATGTCGAAAGTAGCAGTTTTTTATCTGATGGGACCCGTCTAAATAGAGCCCACGCACGCCTTCTGATGAATGGGAAATTGATTTCATGACCCATTTCCAGGCAGGCCACAACGGACAGCCAGGAAAAAAAGAAAAAAGAGACGTGGCTGTAAACGAGATGTTTCCTTCCGAGTCATATCCTAGACAATTAGACACCGGCAATTTGGCATTGCCTCGGGTAATTGTTACCATTTTGTTTCTTTTTGTGTAAATCAAATTCAATGTATTAAATGATTGGTTTACCCCTTTTTTTGGTTGCATTGGCAGTTTTCCTGGTAGTCCATTTGTTGCATTTACTATTTAAAGGGTGAGTGATTGGTTGCCAGATATCGGTTTGTTTAAATGCTGATCAGTTGAAACTTTTGTGGTTGGCTACTCAGATTTTTAAATTCTTTGGTCTGCAATCCAATTTAATTTACAATATTCTTTTGGTTGGAATTTTGTTGGTGTCAGATTTGTCAGCTGAAATTTGGTGAATTTTGGAAGGAAATGAATCTACACCTATAGTTTTCATGATTTGCTGATCAGTAGTTGCACAAAAAAGTGTCCAATTATGAATAGTCAAGTTCTTTTTCCCATGTTCAAGTTAACTGAACTTCATGGATTTCACTACTTACAGGCCTTAATATATAATTATTTCATGAACTTTGCAGCCTTCAAGAATTTCAATAATGGTTCTGCCCAACAGAAAATGTTTTCAATTATAAAATTTTGTATTTATGGAGAAGCCAATTGTTGGTGAGGCTCCTACAAAAGCTTTGAACTTATCATAAAAACAAAAAAAAATACTACCCCAAAATTTAGGATATGAGTGGTTCCATATGGTCAAAGTTTTATTCTAAGGTCAGTGCAATTACAAAGAATAATTAAAAGCATCCCCTTATTATCACAAGAGAATGAAACAACTGAGAATAAATACTTTCTAATTTTAATACACATTATTACAATTTAAATTTATGACCTAAGTTTCATCCTATTATTAAGATTTAAAAATTATTTTAAAACACCGTGTTGGAGTATTGTTTTAACATTAAATAATAAGAATTAAAAATATTATCTTACTGCAAATGTGAAAATGAAACTATATAATACTTGGGGATTAAGGAAAGGGTTAAAGTTAAAATTTAAACATTAAAATTGTTAGATATTATTTTTTTATCATTAATTGCACAAATTAATTAAATTAAAATTTAAATTCAAGTTAATTAAATACTTTCACAACTTTCTTTAAAGATTATTAAAGTATGATACTAATATATTAATGGTAGATGTTTTTTAAAAAAAAAACGAAAGTGAAGAGCTAAACCCTAATCTACATAAAAGAAAAGACATCAAACAAATATTGTCCAAGCAAATGTAAGTCGATTTTTCTCTATAATTTGGATGAGTGACCTGTCCTACAACAAGCCATGCCAAATAACACCGTCTAGCCAATGAGCTAGCCAACATGTTATACTCTAACGAGTTTGTTTTATCCACAAACTCTTTTCTAATTAAATACGAACCCTCCTGGCGACTCAATGTGTGGATAGCGGTGATGGTTAAAGTCCAAACAAAACAAAAAGTTTTGCTGTAAAATTCAGACCATCCCATCTAAACCCTAGTCCAAGTTATCGGCTCCATAAATCTGTGTTTCAACTCTATTTTAACGCCCTTGCTCCATTGAAATATGGTCCCCACTTTTGTAGCATTGAAATTTTGAAAAGATTTCAATGCAATCAGGGCGAATTGCATTTTTTTTTTAATTTTGTCTACCAATTGCAGTTTATCAAAATGTGGCTGTGAAAAAACCAGTCAGGATAACAAGATTTGACTCGTTTTCATTGTTTTTTATATACTTTTTTGTCGCCCTTCGTAAATATAAACTGTGTTTGAACACACAAATGAAAAAATAATATTTGACAATTTCTATTGCAATAAAAAAAAAAGGACTTTTCTTAAAATCTTTCAAGCCAAATGCGTGTGTAAACCATGTTTATAGGGTTTTCATCATACTGTTCTACTAAGTGTAAGAAGAGAAGCATTAAGATGCCAATGTTAATTAATTTCGTGATTAACAGGAGTTGTTAACCAACCGACCTAAATTTTCATTTTTACGAAGCGAGTGAATGGATTACAGATATAGTCTAAATAATTACTTTTAGGTTATGGCAGAAAGAGAGTTATGGACTTGTGTGAGTAAAATATCAGGGTTTGATCTTGCAAATCCAGGTGGTCTTGCTTGGGAATTGAGGAAACTCCCAGATATGGAAATATTTTATTTTGTTTTTTTATTAAAATAGATATTAGCCTCCAGTATAGCATGTGAAGGTTAACGAATTACATGGCAGATTCCTTCCAAAACCTGATTTTAATTTCTTTAAAATCAAGAAATATATCCTGTTATTAAACAATATATTTAACAAAATTTGAGGCTTTGGTTTACAATATTTGAGCAGAATTTTACACCAACTTCATTAAAAAATTATCAGAGTGTATAATCGACCTATGATTAAGACAAAAATTTTCATGGCTGACATATTATAAACCTGTTTCATGATTGGAGTAAGTAGACAGTGAATAAGATGACATAACCATGCTGGATGTACTAGACAAAATATATAGTATATGTCAGCACACAGCAAAACAACCTGTATTATTTGTGTTCCCAACATGTACTTAAGTTAACAACCAGCACTGCCCTTTTCTAGGGGTGAAAAGGGTGTCTGAATCTACCTGGAAATTGAGGTGGGTTTTGTCTCAAACAGGAAAAAAACACATAGGCAACTGTATAAATAAATGAATAAATAATTTAAAAGAAAAAAAGAAAGAAATGAGAGAAAGACATCCAAATGAGAGAGAAAATTTTAATTAGATTTAATTATTTATGTACTTATATCATATTTATTTTATATAAAATAAAAAAATTATTATATTAGAATCGATTTCAATCATCAAACAATTTTTTTTAGTCTATATTATTTTTATTTTTTATTATATTATTGTATTATTTTTAAAATTTATTGATCTAGTTATTATAACGAGAGTAAAGAAGAGAGATTGGAATTGGGGGGGGGGGGGGGGAGGGGTTGCAACACGACTGATCGAAAAGGGAGAGAAAGGGTTGTTCCAGTTGGACAATCTTATCTAATCCATCTCTCTGTTCATTGGAAAGGGAATGGATCGGTGGATTTTTAGTCCCGCCCCCCCAATCGTTTCCTTGATCCTTTTTGTAAACTAGGAATGGCCAAACATCAATGATGCTGTCATGCACGTGAAAAAGAAAAAAAATACTATTCTCTTCATATTCATGGGAGAAACCCCCCTGCAAAAAAAAAACTTATTCACCTAATTAATATACCACAACAAAGGACGGACAGGACCACTCCTGGCTTAGGTCAGGTCCTCCTAATCCTTTCAGTACTTTGTAACAAAACAAACTTCCTTTCCTGTCCTTTCACAGATTTTTACTGTTCTTTCCTTTTAACTGAGAATATAAACCTAACAAGCATGTTCATCTCTGTCAGTTTTACAAGTATGAGATTTTTCACTGTTTAAAATGATGCAAAATCCTTTTTTACAGGCAAGGGAAAAAAGATCAACATGTGCCCCGATTACCAAAGATCTGCCCCACCTGCTCCTTGGGCTGCCGTTGGATGCCAATCCTAGTAATTTCCCATATTGCGTCAGGGCTGGCATGGGCCCTCCCTTTTGATTTGCTTGCCAATGTAGTAGCATGGGGTGTTTTCTAAATTGCACAAAAGTTATTCACCTTACCCCTGTTAGAATCTCTTCACTTTCCCAAGATTCATCCTGGATACATGTCCTGCCGAATTCAGTATTGCTTATTACCATATATCATATTTGATATCCCAGAGTCAGAGAATTGGAAATGTGAATTTTAGAAACTAGTAGTTTTTTTTTAGGCAAAGTACGTGAAAGGAAATCAAGTGCAACTGCTCCAATCCCAACAATATTTATGTTTATGATCTAAACATTAATATCCTATTACAAAGATTTCTTTTTTTCATTGAATGATGATGATATGAATATACATATATATATTATATAACATTTGCTAAATTTAGGTAACTCTGAATCTAAAATGTGTACTTTATCTTACTCTTCTAGCATATTCTACAGGGGGATTACTTCATTGCTTACTTGTAACCAAACCCAATTCACAGAATTGATGGTTAAAAATGGAAGAAAGAAATTCAATGATAGATCCAAAATTTTTTTAAATGTTCATTTATAACATATATATATATATATTTATTGATAAATTTATTAATTTTATCAGTGAAAAAATATATAAAAAACTTAGAAGTGTTCAAAAAATTTTAAATTTTTTGTTTTTCAATATTTTGAGATATTTATAAACACTTGATTCTATCATTTGGATCCATTTCCGGAGAAATTCATATAATCAACCAAAATAGTCTGTAATCACTCAAAGTTAAAATTCAATTTAAAATTTTTAAATTTTGTGTAGAATCAAAATTAGATGCTGTATATGACAAAGAAAGAGTAGTATAAAGCAGTAACAGTCCTCGCAACTAGTAAGTAGGAGAGTAGAATTAAAAAAAAAATTCCTCATCAAATTACACTGAATGTAATGATTGAAGAAAAAAATTTCATCATGAAAATTTTAGGTTATGTTTATATAAAATAATATAATAATTATTTTTTATTATGTTCGTTTTGTATATTTGATTGAAAGAAATATATTTTAAAAAATATTATCATTCTTTTGAAATAAGATAATTTGATCTTTTTAAAATTAAAAAAATTATTTTTAATATATACGATTAAATTTATATATCTTATTATTCTTTTAAAAATTATATTAATAATTTAAATTATATAAATTTTTTTAAAAAATTTTTGATTAATAAATAAATTATTTTATTTTAATCCTTACTCATATTAAAATTATTTTATTTTATTTTATTTTATTTATAATAATATTTTATCTTATCCAATTATAATTTTATATATCTAATGCTACCTTAAAATACTCTCGTTCTTATAATTCCCTTTTTCTTTTTTTCTTCTCTCTCGTTGTCATATCTTTTTAGCTACATCAAATAGTTTCCACATCAAACCCATAATCATCACGCCTCTTTCAGCCCACTCCTTCATCGCCTTCCTCTCTTTTTTCTACAGTTTATCTGCTGTACTAAACCCCCACCCAACTCCTCTCTCTCTCTCTTTCTTTCTTTGTCTCTCAAATGTTCATAAACCAATTTGAGTAGAAACAATCAGACGACAACAACATCAACTCAAACAACAAAAGAGAAAGAGCCCTTCATGGAACCAACCCAAAACTCCCCTTCTTCAAAGCTTCACAAGCCTTCAATTCCCCTTGAAAACTCCCCTTGGACCTCTCATTTCTACCCTCACCAATCTTGGGTAAACTCGTACAACAATCCCCAAGACCACCTTCACCATCCCTCCATGTTCTTCTCTTCGAGCCAACCTTCCCACAACTTCAACCTTAACCAAGACGAAGATGAAGAACTCGACGACCAAACCTCCATTGACAACACCGAAAACCCTAACCAATACCCTCACGAGAACCCGCTAGACCATGATAGGGAACCCATGTTTGAAAAACCCTTAACCCCGAGTGACGTAGGCAAGCTGAACAGGCTTGTTATCCCCAAACAACATGCGGAGAAATACTTGCCCCTCGGCGGTGACTCGGGTGATAAAGGGTTGCTGCTGAGTTTCGAAGACGAGTCGGGCAAGTGTTGGCGTTTTCGTTACTCGTATTGGAACAGCAGTCAAAGCTACGTATTAACAAAAGGGTGGAGCAGATATGTCAAAGAGAAGCAACTTGATGCTGGTGACATTATCTTATTCGAACGACACCGTACGGATGGCGATAGGTTGTTTATAGGGTGTAGGAGGCGCGGTGCAGCAGTGGCCGCAGCAGCTGCAGCGGCTGATGGCGGTAACACCGTGATGGGGAATTATAGCGGTGGTGGTGGCGGTCGCAATGAAGGGTGGGGTAGGGGATTGCATCAAGGACATCCTTATCTTGGGCACATTCAAGGCCATGGGGCTAATGTGCTTTACCAACCCGACTCTCTTCATGCAGGTATATTTTTTTGTCACATTGTAAACTCTATCGATTTATCCTTGTTCCTTTTTTTTTTTACAAAAAAAAAAAAGTTTATTATAATTAACTACTTATTTTTGGGAATTTATTTGCACATTGAAGTGCGTGAGAGACACTTTCCAATTACATGGGAGCAATGTGCTTGTCTAAGGCTGATTTTTGTAACTAGTTTTATTTCACATGCTACCAATTTCAATTTAGATTCATTTGAAAACTCCATCAAAGGATTTTAACCGTTTGTGTTTTATGATCTTATAGTACTTTTGTTTTAGAAATTTACTATTTTTCCTTTTCATTTTAATTGGTAAACCTTTTCTTACAATCATTTCAAAGCAATGAAAAGCATTTAGATTCTTGTCTCTCTGTCTCATTCTTTTTAAAGGATTTTCATTGGAATAATAAAAAAAGAAAAATTGTCAAATTTAGTAAGTGGCTGATAGAAATTTTTTTGTTTTATTTGAAGGCTGAGATGAGATAAGACTTCACATGGGAGCATGTGTTTTTAATTTGTGGTAATAATATTTGCAGGAAGCATCGTTCAAAATCAAGCACCAGCTGGGAACCCAAAGAGGCTGCTGAGGCTATTTGGGGTGAACGTAGAGTGCCAGCTCGATGAACCCGAGCCATCCACACCCGATAGCTCGTCGGTTTCCAGCCAGGGTCCAACCACCCAACACTTCTACTCCCAGTCCTACATGGTAACTTCATCCTCGTATTTCATAATCATCATCATTGTTATCATTATCATAAATCATAATCTTATTAAATACAATTAAAATGAATCATAAATCATAAATCATGATTGATTAAAAATAAAAATAAAAATAAGCCTTAGTAAAATATTGAGGTTGTGCCCCTTTGCTTGCTACTTTGATTTTGCTGCTGCTTCAAATGAGACAGATGAACAAACGATTGATAAATAGTGAGTTGATGAAGGTTGACCACTTGGCAGGTGGCCTATTTGCATTAATTTAATTACTAAATTACGATTATGTTGCGACGTGGTTTCCTTTAGTCCCAACCATTTTTTTCTTCTTTAAAACAATTTTTTAAACCAGACATTAATTGATGAAATATGCCCCATCCAAGCTGTCGAATACAGTGTGATTCAGGATCATTAAGATAATGGGCCCTGAGTGGGCAGTTCATAACTTCTAATCTAGTGCACGATTATAATCAATTTTTTACATTAATCATATGCTTATAAATACCCTTTAATCGAATTTTTTAATAAAAGAATTAATAGTAACTAATCTCCTTTACAAAGTAGATTTTTTGAGGTTTTCCATGATTTTTCTTGGGAAAGCCCAATCCGACCTACCCGAATAGTGGTCGGTATTGTTTGAAATGGCTTTAAAATTCCAAGTAGCAATGGTGGAAATGCGAAGTGAACAGAGACCACAAAAGCCAGATTGTTAGTTAAATTCAAAGTCAAGAAGATCTTGTTGCTAAAGGGTAGCCAATACAAATATTTTTTTGTGTGGGATGGAATTGATGGAGATCGCAATAATTAAGATGCCCTCCAAAGAATAGAATGGTCAACTCAAGAGGGGCTCTGGTCATAATAGTTAGGCACATATTCTGATTCTACAGATATTTACTGCAAAAAAAAAAAAAGAAAGCTGTTCATTATAGCATTGTTGATTACAATGTAATTTCCTATTGTATTTTTTTTTAATTATTTTGGTGTTTGTGATTGTAGCAGGATATCACTTTCTGTCGAGATATCAACCAGATGAGAAATCGTCGAGGATGAGATCGGAAGATGTGACATCCAAGATTTGACTTAGTTGAAACCCCACTAGGAGGTCGAAAGAAAAGCAAAAAAATATATGATATTTTTTAAAATTTATTCGTCTTGAAAGAGGAAGAAGTTTAGAAGAAGAAGAAGAAGAAGAAGAAGAAGAAAAAGATGTTAGAATTAGGCAACTTTACAAGGCAGGGAAAGGGAGAGGGGAGGGAATTGAGAGTTGGGAGAGAGAAAGGTTTTTGGATGGGATGGGTGGGGGGATTGGGTTGGGGACCTAGGCAGGGAGGAGTGGGGATCAATGGTGGTGATGGAAGCGAATGCCAAATGGGGAAAACTGGGTCGTTTTGGAATCTATCTGGGGGACTGTTGAGATTCTGCATGAAGATTTTTCATACAGGCTAATAATAATAATCATAATAATGGAGGGGTATGGTGGTGGTGGTGGTGGGTGGGTGGAAGTTCTTGAATAGATTGATGATAGCCCTGTAGTACCAGTAGCCCACTCCTCTCTCTCTCTCTCTCTCTCTCTCTCTCTCTCTCTTTTGCAATAGTATCTGTCAAAGTCCCATGTAACCAAAGCTGTTCTTTATGCTCTACTACTACTGTAAGTTGCAGAAATCAGAATCAGAAAGCATTAGAAATAGATAGCATTTTTCATATTCTTCTCTCTCTCTCTCTTTTGGACTCCATTCTCTGCAATTCTTTGTTGCAGTCCAAAAGGAACAGATGAATGATGATGACGATGATGATCTTTGATAGTCATGGAGTCAAATGAAAAACCCAAAAAGTAATTCTAAAAAGACAAATAGAAGATATAAACAAAGTGGTGCTCTGAATAGTTTTTTTGTCAAAAACAAAAAGTGGTCCCCTGAATAGATAATGCAAAGATTGCAACTTGCAGGAAATGTTTAAGTTAAATTAGAGAATGTGTCATATACTATTAAGTATAGGGTTCCATTCTTACCGGAGCCTTTTTTTTCTTTTCCAGTTTGCCTCAATCTGAGTTTCACTCCTGAATAGGATGATGGAGAAAATGATTCACAAAGCCACTCCAATTGCTTGCTAAAAGCCAATCCAGTCCAAATGTTAACTCAAACTGACACACTACCATGAATGTTGCATTCTTGTTTGCCTCCTATGTCCAGCAAAAGGCAGGAAATATCGGAGTTACGCTTTGGAATTTTTACACCCTTTGAATCTTCGAAAATTTCACAAAGCAGAAATTATTCCATATAATGCAGTAAACCTACCAGAAGATTTAGATTTTTATTTTTTATAGGATATATGACAAGATACTCTATCCTAATTATCTTTTTCTTCCTATTACCATCAGCTTTCTATTTGTGCCCCAGCCTGTCACTTGATTATTCTTGCTATTAAACCTTAAAAGGATCAATCTAGATTGCTAAGAACCAAGCTCAGCTCATGATCAGCATCTTAATGATTTAAGACCTTAGTGTTAAGGGTAGCTCCAAAATTAGAGTCAAATATCTTGCTCAGTTGTCTGGTGACAGAAGCCAAGCTGACAAACAGAAATGGGAAGCATAACCAGCAATGAACAAGGAACATATCATAAACGGAAAGGTTAGATAGAAACGAGAAACACGAATAACACCTGAATGCTGATAAGAAGCTATACCAATATTTTTCTTTTTACGAACAAGGGCATGAAATAGTAATAATTTTGAATGTTATCTTCAAGGTCAAGGAACAACCTTTTCATCGTGCCAAGCTCATCTTCTAGACAAAATATAAAAAATTTATGAAAAAGTAAACCTAAGAAATGCAAAATTGAATGGGTTATATATATGATCTGGATTTTCAAAAATGTTTGCAATTTTTCAGCTACTTAGAAATAATTGAATAACAGAAATATTTAGAAAATGATAGTTGGGGCGTGATTTCTCAAGAAAAAAGGGACCACAATTAGCTAGATTCTTACAACCGTAGCAAGTTGCACGCAATCAAATACACTGGCAGACAGGGATCACATTTCTTTATTGGCCTTGACCTTCATGCATTCAGATTAAGAAGTTCTGGTCTACCATTTATTTCTACATTTTGTGGTTTTTCATCCTCTATATCCATCTTTCAATATCTTAACAGTTTTCTGAAATAGACACCTTGTGCCACCATAAACGGCAACAGAGCCTCAAACTGGCAACACTACAATTTATAATTACTGGTCAATGCCACCTGAATCCACAAGCAGGATAACAGATCAGGTTCTTACCAATTGTATCTTAGCTAATCAGTAAACCTCGTAAGGCCTAGCACCTAAGCTTTAGACCACTCATACTTAACCATTGAATCAAAAACATTTAATGGATGTTCTTAATCATGCAATCATGCAAATAGCTCAAAGCAAGCTGATGGATAAGTATCGTTTTATGATTAAAACCATTAAGGCCAATAGTGTTAGTAAACTCACTAATTGTCAAATGAGTTTGACATGGGGCATTCCAATGACAAAAAGAGATAACGTGACCCTTGAATGAATGGTTTTGATTAGGCATGCAGTGCAATAATTAGACAAAGCTTTTCATGGCCTAGGTACTTAAGTAAAGCTTGGACCACATATCATGTGTATGGAATAATGGCTACAGGGTTCTAGCTTGCACACACATGTTTGAAAGACCTTCCAGGTTAACTAAGATTTACTAATACAGGCAGATAGATTTGAGGACAAGACACACAGATATCTTTACATTGCTTATGTGACCAATCAGATAAAGTGTCAATTGATCATCGGGGTCCATAAGGATTCAGACAAGAGAGTTACCCATTGACCTCCATTGGAAATGGGCTTTAAAGTTTTAGTGGCTCTGCAAGTGGAAGGATCACCAGATATTGTTATCATTGGCCTCAGGGTGGTGGCCAATCAAGAGATTGAAGGGACTCCTCCTGTATAATGGGTTTGTCCAGCAAGAATAATTCAATCATGCATGAATAAGTACTGTATAAACATGAGAATATTTCTTTGTCCCACCTAGCTTTTCCTCATATCAGACCTTTTGCTTTTGGATCTAGGTTAACCTCATCTTCAACTCTATTAACATCTGCCGCTGAAAAACGAGCTAATTTTCTCTTACTTAAAGCCCAAGGAACAAAAACTAATCAATGGTAGTGAAAGCAACATTGCGGCGGCAAGATACCAAGAGGTCAATGGATTTTGTAATAATTGTAAGCTTAAAATTTTAAGAAACTAAAAAAAATGTACGTTGGAAATTACATATCTTAAAAACAATAGAACCATCACAAGCATACTAAAATGCCAATCCATGTGCTTATAAGGTTTCAAAGCAAAACAATTCACTAGGCAATGACTGGTGTACAATAGCCCCACCAATGGTATCACTTGACAGAGTAACAGATTTCTTGCACAAAGTATCAAGAACAACTGGTATCTCACAGTAATGTTCCATCCAATTATTAGTGCAAGCTTAACTGGAATTTCAACTCTGCACCAACCACCAATTCTGGAGCCCCCCTTTCCATTCAGCCATTTATATTATGCAAGTCATTTTCAAACCTCTCTTCCCTCTCTACGATATGCAATGTACTTCAGACATTTGCTATTACAAATTTGACACAAAAACTGTTTTCCACATACAAGCCTTTTCAGCAAAGCTAAAAGCACAATCCAGCAGTATCTGCTTAATTCTTAAACAGATTATACACTGATTATTTCAGCCCAGCAGATTTCTAAGAATCCTTTGGAGAGGCCCAGAAAAGATCCCCACATCAGAGGAGCAAAAACTAAAGCATCAATCCATATGAAGAAACAATGCCCCACTCTCATTCCAAAAAAAAGACAAAGAAGTTATAATAGTAAAATACAAACTTTTTTTTTTTTTTGGGTGGGGGAGAAGGGGGATACATCCCTACACGATGCATCTTCATTAATGCTTTTGCTATTTTTGCAATATAAATGACTAAAAAGCAAAATGCAAAACATAAAAAATGAATAAAAATACAAAAGGCAAACTGAAAAACATCAACCAAACGAAGCCTTATTTATAATGACTTGCAATAAGACTAGAACAACACTTTTTCTTTCACAGCCAAGACACATATCTGGTTTGTTTTTGGTGTGAGAGCAGCTCATTCAAAATTGCTTCTCTAATGGAAACGCCTAAGTCAAGTATTGCATGCAAACTACCACTTTTAAGCAGCTGGCAGCAGTTATCCAGTAATTCTTGGGTTGCACTTAACAAGAGATCATGCATGATGGTTCATTTACATTTATCCAACCACAAGAATGTAGAATACTAAACTAAACCAAAAGCCTACATGCGTGAAATATCAAAAAATCCTACATTCCAATTTGTTAGCCTCAATCAGAAGAAAGAAAAAGCTCCAGCACTCTGAATGGAGATTCCCGTTATATTCATAGTTTTTAAAGTTTACTTTCACAATACAGGAAAATTCTCAGGATATGGATCAATGATCATGCTTGTGATTTCACGACAACCCGGCTTCATCAAAGCTCTAAGCTTGATTCGACAATAGGTATGCCAGAGAAGTACTCACATGCATTGCCTTTTATGCACTCATCAGTAGTCAAGTTGAAGTTTTTTGGGTATTGCCTTCTTGTTGGGCATTAGAATCTTCCTTCTCCATGACCTGCTGGATACCTTATTGATATCCCTCTATAAAACTCTTCAGAGCGTCTCTATACACAGAAGCCCTTGTCATGTATAACCTCTGTAAAGCAGGCCTCAAAGTCTCCATCCCTCTTGCAGCAACCACTATTAAACCATTTCCATAAACAACATCAAAACAGTGTAAAATTAACATGACAAACTACAATACTGTGAAAATAAAAAAGCAAGGGAGAAAGGAGAGAAATTTGGCCTCAAAATATGTTAGTCAAACAAGAGCAGCTGTAATCAAAAGGTCAATGATGACAGAATAAGTAGAAATTTATCAACGGTTGAATTAAAAAAAACAATATATGAAATATATATATTAGGATGTTCAAGAAAGAAAATCTTCGCAGATGTTACATCATGCTTTCTTCAGAATGATTAATTTCATTTACAAAAATAAATATCTAGGTACCATAAGATATTGGGTATCATTGTCACAATGATGGCTCTAGGCATTGAAACCCATATAACTGAAACCACCTAGGAGATAAACCTCCATAAGATGTCACAAGCATAAAGAAGAGACAATGGTCTATTCATAACTAAAAACTGCAACCAGATATTTAAAAATTTTAAGGAATAATGGTTTATTGTGTATAATGGCTATGTCACAAGTCATTACAAAATATTTCTTGATTCATTATGGACAACTTATACATCAGATACATTTCATGATATGAAACCACATAGTTTCTTACCAGTATCTTCCAAATGTTGAAGGTTCTGCCTCTTTAGTCCTATTCTCATCTTTCCTAGGTTTATCATCATTCCCTTCATCCTTCTTATGATCCATTGGTCAAAGATCAGGATCAATATCCCTTACCCAACTTGCAGCATAAAGATTAGATCCTTTAAGACCTAAAGAACAAATACAGGTATTTACTACTTATCTCCTCAAAAAAATGCCTACCATTTCTAGAGCATGTGCAAATAGTAGGTTCATGAGCATTATTAGACATTGAAGTAAGTCATTAAAGCCACCATAAAAAAACCAGAATGGTACTTCAAAGTTATTTAATCAAACTAAATATCTCCATCATCCAACCCACCCTGAACACCAGCTTGTGAGTTTTCTACAATAAATTGAGGTCATTGATACTATCATCCGGGTTTTTTACTTTTTTTTTTGCTTCTTTAAAACTGTTAAAAGGAACAAAAGCCAAAAGTTAAAAAGGGAGTGCAAAATCATCATATTTTGCTAACAATTAACAAATAGTTCAAATGTAAAGCACTTTCAAACATATGTATTTGATATAAAAATAAAAACCATGCATTTTTCATAAAAATCAAATTTTTTATCATTCAGCAATATTATACTAGTGTTTACCTTGACAATAAAAACCCTTTCTACTTTTTTTTTTCTGGAAACAAAAAGCAAATAGCAATAGCAACAATGGAAAAGGGGCTAATTTGCAAACCAAATTCACTATTTTTACTATAATGGAGAAATGATAGCACCGTACTCTTTAAACTGGGCAGCAATATCTAAACCAAAATCCAATAGTACAATAGTTTCTCCACTATATAAACCGCCTACAATTATATGAAAACAGGAAAAGAAAGAAAGAAAAAAAAAAAGCCCAGAAACCCAACAGCATTCATCATTAAAACCCAGAAACTGATTGCAAATCTAAACTCCAAAAGTGGAAGAGAAATGGAATTTCCTTACCAAAAAACGCTCGTGCCAAGTCAATTTGCGACGCTTTCTGAGGTGGGGAGGATCAGGCAATGAAGAACGGAAAGCTATTTCTTTAAGATCGTATAGGATGTGGTCATAAACTTCCCTGCACACCACTTTCACATTCATTTTAGCTTGATATAGGAGAGACCCAATTTGATTAAGCAAATGAAGAACTCATCTTTAATATTTCCCTCTCCAAAAATTTAGGGCAGCAGCTGTTAACTGGATTCCACAATACTGAGGCATTTTGATTTTACGTATTTCCTTTTTTCAGGTTTTTAACTATTAAGGAGAAGGCGAAGATTTAAATAAAATTTAGTTGGTGAATTTTGTGAAATTTTTAATTAAAAATGAGTAAATTAAAATTAAAATTAAAAATTAAAAAATTTTGTTACGTATATTAAGTGTGTAAAAATTTAAAATTTTTTAATAAATTTACATATATATTTTTAGATAAATATTTTTAATAAAAATATTGATAAAATTTTTATCATTAAATAAATATCAATCAAATTTAAATTATAAATAATATTTTTAATTATTTTTTATATATTATTGATTTTTATATTAAATTTTATTAATTTATCAATTTAAATATTTTATTAAAATTTTTATTAAATCATTTTAAAAACAAAATTTTACAAATGTTATTTAAAAAATTTTACGAGAGTGCAATATGGATGGGAAGCTATTAGCCTTCGGGAGAAAAAAGTTTATGAAAAAGGCAAATTGGAATTTCTTTGAGTAAGGTGTACAACACAATTTTATTTTTGACCGTAGGGTACTACAGAATGGGGAAAAAGTTTATGAAAGAATTTTAAAAATTTAAATTTGAATTTAATATTAAATTAATTTGATTAATTTCAAATTTAATAATTTAAATTTCAAACATAAACACGAAATGATCTGACTCTTTTGATTATCAACACTAATTATATACATACAATTACCTTAAATACTAGGCAAATATAATAGTTTTAGAGCAACAAAGTTCACTTTAAATCAAGAGATAATTATATCCATTAATTGTTATATATTTGGTGGGTTTATTTTTATTTTATTTTGATAGAAATGTTGTGTTGGGTTCTCAATGCTTGAAATAGTTATAAACAATAATGATACGGATAACATCAGTAATCTAAAGAGACTTGGGACATTTTGTGCAAGGTACGAATATTCTATAAACAAACTAAGAAAGAGTTTAGGATTTCCCGTTAACAGTTTGAAAACAATTCATAGTATACGTTTTTTTTTCTGAAAACAATGCATATAGCAATACATTTTTAGGCCAACTTCGCATTGTCTTCGCCAACTAATTATATATATATATATATATATATATAAATTGTAATAATCGATATATGCCTGAATTAAAAGATTTAATTTAAATTTGATAATTCGTATATTTATATTATATTTTATATAAAAATTATATATTAAAATTATACATATAAAATATAAAATATTTATTTTTAATTTTATTAAAATTATTTATGATTTTTATTAAAATATTAAATTATATCATTTTTTATTCATATATCTTATTGTATCGTATTTGAGATTATATATCCAGCAAAATCCGGGAGACGTAAGATTGAGATGATTCTCTCTGACAAATTTGCGTTTGATAAGGAAAAGACAATGTAAACATGCAGAGGGCAAACTAACGAGGAAAGAGACGTGCGGTGGGCACGTTTTCTTCAACAACATAAGAATCAGTTTAATTAGCAGCGAAATCTCCTATAATTACCATTTTTCTGTACAACAATTGACTCCATCAGAGTGAAACTCCTTTTTTCTTCTTCTTCTTCGTATGGATCAACTCACGAACCATACAAGTCACCAACTTCCCTCTATCCCCGTCATAATCAAGAGACAACTTTACTGCACTCTTTCTTTTATCTTCATCTTAATCTGTTCTGTCATTGTTTCCAACCTTGGTGGCTCTTCAGAACAACTCGCTTTTTTCCGTTCTGGTTTCTTCCCCGCTCAGAAACTCATACCAAACCAAAAACGACCATCGTTAGGAGCTTGTGATTATTCCCATGGAAGATGGGTTCGGGACGAGAATTTTCCAATTCAGTTGTACGATGAATACTGCCCGTTTCTTGATCCTGGTTTTAGGTGTGCTCAGAACGGGAGAAAAGACGTTGAGTTTCTGAAATGGAGATGGCAACCCGATGGCTGTGATCTTCCTAGGTATGAGGATGCTTCTTCATGCATAATTCTCTCTTTTCGTTCTTGGTATTTGGCTATCTTTTCATTCAACCTCTGTTCTTTTCATTCAACCTCAGATTCAATGCTACCGACTTTTTGGAAAGAAGTCGAAACGGACGGATAGTGTTTGCAGGAGATTCAATCGGAAGAAACCAGTGGGAGTCTCTGATATGCATGCTAGCTCAGGCAGTTTCCAACCGGTCTACAATTTTCGAAGAAAATGGAAGCCCCATTACGAAACATAAAGGATTTCTTTCCATGAAGTTCCAGGAGTACAACCTCACCGTCGAATACTACAGAGCACCATTCCTAGTTATCATCAATCGCCCACCAAAAGATTCGCCAGCCCAAGTCAAACTAACTATTAGGGTGGACGAGTTTCATTGGTATTCCAATCGTTGGATAGGAGCAAATGTTCTAGTCTTCAATACAGGGCATTGGTGGAACAAGGAGAAAACTGTTAAGATGTATGGATTGCTATCTTTCTCTCTCTTCATGGCCTCCATTTCTTGAGAGCAGCTGCTTCCTTAAGTCTGGCATAAGATGAAAATTACAAGACATCTTGCATTTTTCAGGGGCTGCTACTTTCAGAAAGGAGGGAAATTGAAAATGACAATGGATGTGATGGAAGCGTTTCGAAGGTCCCTGCAAACATTGAAGTTTTGGACAACCAAGAATTTAAACCCAGATAGGAGCCATGTTTTTCTCCGCAGCTATTCACCAGTTCATTACAGGTGAGCAAATTTCTGGTCGTGGGAAAAACTTCAGAACCTCCTGGAACCACAGTTTTGTTTTGTTTTGTTTTGTTTTCACTAAAATGACCGCCTTTGGTTGACAAATAAATAGAATAAGAATCAATGTGCTGAGGGATTACTTTCCCTAGTAACAATGAGCATATTCAGTCTATTTCTTGGAAAACAACAGCTTTGATTGCAGCAAAGATTGATGAGTGTTTTATGTGTGAAAATTGCAGCAATGGCACATGGAACGATGGAGGCCTGTGTGATGCAGAAATGGAACCAGAAAAAGACTACTCAAAGCTTAAAGCTGAGCCATGGAATAATCAATACATTGCTGATGTAATCAAACAAATGACATACGGGAACTGGAAGGTCCAGTTGTTAAATGTTACATATCTGACGGAGTTCAGGAAAGATGGTCACCCGTCAAGGTACCGTGACCCAGGAACTCCAGGTAATGTTACACAAGACTGCAGCCATTGGTGCCTACCTGGGATACCAGACACATGGAATGAACTTCTCTATGCTCACCTGCTGTTAATGGAATTTAGAACCAAGTAATCGCCTAACTGGGAAAAGACCAACAGAAGAAGCAAAAAATGGAAACAATCTGTTATGAGGAGAATTGTTTCGATTTTAAAGGCTGTACAGGTTCTCCACTGCTATTCATGCTAATTCCTCCACATTTTCTTCAGAGTCCACTTCGCTGGTTTCTCAAGCTGCCTCAAGAGATCTAATCTTTCAGATCCATATGTGGCTGGTATCTGCCATGAAACAAATTGTTATCCATTGAGAAATAGAGGTTCAACACTTAAACAAGACAAACAAAAAGGATGACACACCGAAGCTGGACCATATCTTTGAATGGCAGCCAAAATGGCTGCATGCCCAACAGCAGTAACCTGCAGGACATCATTTATCCATTCGATTAAGACACACTAGATAGATGATAAATTGAATTGTAAATAAAAGATGATTGAAAATGTTGCAAAAAGCTGTTATTTTTCTCTGGTCATATACAGGTGATTGAGAATTTTCCTCAATTCTCTTTTAATTTAAGGCTCATTCAACAGTACTTACCTGATATACCCTACATGCTAGATATCTGCGCTATACTTCAGTATTTTGAATAGTTAGAAAAGAGAAAAAAAAAAAAAAAACGGAAAAACTTACTTTAGAGAAACTTGGAAGCAGTAAAGATAAGTTACGTGAACAAAGACTTCCAGATAAAACTATGGGAAGAGTATTCCCTCTGAACTCAATTTTCAACCCCCAACTTGTGCAGTCAAGTTATTAGCAAAAGTTTTGTTCTTTTATTGACCCGAGGTGATTATTTAAGCAGAGGTTCCATGATGGAGTTGTTATGTGGGTAAGAAAGACAAAGTGATTGATCGACAATGCATTGGCAGGCCGTGCTGACAGAATGATGTATTTTAACTTATAGAAAGAAGCATCAAAACACCAATTGGAACAACTGATGCTAAGTCAGAGTTCTCCAGAGGGCTTCCTTTTCTTTCTCCGACAATTCATTCCCTGTCAGGACCTTTCTAAGCAACTCCATTGCAGCAGAAACATCAATGGCTAGAAGCTGAGTTCCTTGCAACTTGCAAGACATCCTGCTCATTGATAAATGACTCAGACGACAGCATTCACGAGAAAATCACAGATGAGTTCTCAACCTGAAACAGTAATCGCATACACCACAAAGTAGTCAGATCATTAAATATTGATGAAGAATTTGAAACAATTAATACAAATATTTAACAGAAATACAGAATGGCGTTATCAGGGTATCAGAAAAATCTAGGCTCATAACTCTTATCAGATTTCATCAAAAAAGAGGAAAAAAATTACAATTTCAATCCAAAAAGTTATTTTCTATATAGATGTATAACCTATTTCAACATGTTTCATATACACATATCAACTTGATATGGTGATACAAAAAGAATTAAGCACCCTCACTACTATTAGAAAAGTTGATATCAACATGTTTCAGTGACTAATTTTGTACGGAATTCCCATAAATAAAAACCTAAATTACTCGGCCAAAACCAAAATTAAACAATCCTTAAGTGAAAGCAATAAATTTAAGGGGAAAAAAGGGAAGAATCTTAAGTACCTTGAAGATAAGAAGCTGTGATGATGAAATTTAATCGACATGTACAAATTGCGAGTTAGCCGGACGGAAAACTTTTGGCGTTTGGGTTGCAGGGAAAATGGTGGGAAAGAAAGGAAGTGATTGTTTGGGGTGAAACGTAACAGATGCTGACGTGGCAGAGAGGCGAGGACTGTTTTCATCCGAAACGTGGAGAAACGAGTTGTCAGAGAAGGGGATTGTCTCCAAAATTGAAAAATCCAAACTGAGCGTCCGATCGAGGCAGGATTTCAAACTTTAGGCGCTTGGTTTGGTTTGGGCCTCTTCCATTTTTCATAAGCCACCAGCCCACTATCACTTTTGGGCCTTTTTATTCGCAAGAAAGGAACAACTTAAAACAAACAAACTGATTTACTCAAATACATGCACAATTTTATTATTAGGTTTTTTTTTTTTTTTTTGAGCTAAGAAAGACTCTAAATTTTTTTTGCAATTACTATTAAATAAAATTTAAGTGCATTTTTATAATTAATTAAACTCAATTCAATTTATTAAAATTTCATTTGTTTCACGAAAATCAATTTGCAAAAATTGCATTTTAAAAAATATTTATATTTTCTGGAAAATTTCTCCCCCACGTGGTGCGTCCAGCTCAGTCACTGCCCTCACCAACAAGAAAATTTTGGACAAAAATGGGGCTCTTGCATATATTTCTCAAGGTGATAAATAGTAAATTTTTTGCAGTAAAGCCACATTAGCAGAGTCTTTGACAAATAGTAGCATAATCCTAAACACCGGAGGAGCTTAAATCATACGTATTAAACATTGAAGAGAAAGAAAAGAAACGTTCTATTCCTAGAATTGCACCCACCGAAGCAAAGATACAAAGATGTTAAACCAAACTTGAAACTTCCAGTGCTTGCGAGAGATGGAAAGAGCAGACAGTAGCAACTTCTCATATAAGTTGACAGGACAGAAAGGTCATACTATATAACAGAATTAATTTTACAATCATCAAGGGAAAGACCATTACTGCTTTAAGACAAAAAATACACGAAATTGAACCTCAAATTCTGTTTCAATGTCTGTTGCACACCTTCAGACATTTACTTTGTTGAAAACAATTCCGGATCCCATTCGTTAAAGATATCTATTCTTAGTTTAGATTTTTTCAGATTTTTCAGAACCTTTTATTTTTTTAGATTTACTTATAATAAATAATAAATTATAACAGATAATAGAATAAGTAATAAAGTAATCGAATAACTAGTAAGGATAATATAATAAGTATAAAATAAATATAATATAATAAGTAATGAACAACAAAAAAAAAAAAAGAAGGAATCCTTTTTTTTTATAAAATAGAAGCAAGGCGATGAACTTATAAAAAAATTTCAAACTTTGATGACATACTAAAATAAATAGAGTAAGGTTCTGTTTCAGTATGGTAAGGATACATATGTATCCGTGTTTAAAAATTCGTCAATGATACATTTTTTTATATATTATGATTGAAAATTGGATTGATTAATTTTATTTGAAAACATTATAAAATTTATAACGAACTTAAATCATTGTGCATACATATGTATCTGTGTTTGAAAATTCGTCAATGATACATTTTTTCATATATTATGATTGAAAATTAGATTGATTAATTTTATTTGAAAACATTATAAAATTTATAACGAACTTAAAATCATTGTGCATATTACAATGACTGGTATTATTATTATTACTGATCAATAAAATTCACATTAAAGAAAAAGGGAAAGAAATTTTTGTTTTATGATAAAAAATTCATTCATCTTAATTATTTTTCAAGAAAAAAAAGAAGAAAACAAGAGGTCCGTTGAATTTCAAATAGTCAATTTCATCAATAAAATACGAAGACTTACTTCACATTTGGAATTGCACAAAAAAGACTATTTATCTTAGGGAGGTTTACATAAAATTTTAGGAAAACGTCTACAACTTCTGTCTTATTTATTAAAGAAAAATAACATATGTTATAAAGAATTAATTAATGAGTTGGATATTCGAGAATCAAAAAATCATTAATTTGATTGAATTAATTAATTTATTATATTTTTCATTTTGACGTATTTTTTTTCATTTTCAATAATTCATGTAAGAATGAATAAAGGAAAAACTTATGAATCTATTAACTACAAAAAAAAACCTTATGATAGTCAATATGGGACCTCACCACCCATCAATGCACGGTGTTTTTCGTTTCATTGTTACTCTAGACGATTAAGATATCGTTGATTGTGAACCAATATTAGGTTATTTACATAGAAAAATGAAAAAAATTACAAAAAATCAAATAATTATACAATATTTGTCTTATGTAACACGTTGGGATTATTTAGCCACTATGCTCACGGAAGCAATAACTGTAAATGCACTAGAACAATTGGGCAATATTTAAATCCCTAAAAGAACTAGCTATATCATAGTAATTATGTTGGAGTTGAGTCGTATAGCTTCTTATCTATTATGGCTTGGACCTTTTATGGGCGATATTGGTGCATAGACCCTCTTTTTTTATATTTTCAGATAAAGAAAATTAGTATATAATATTTTTAAAACTACCACCGGTATGAGAATGATGCATAATTATTTTCGTATCGGAAGAGTAACGGTCAATCTACCCAATGGCTAGATAAATAAATATTTGGATTTCTTTGATTATTTTTTAACAAGAATTGTTGAATATCAAAAACTTATTATGCGAAATCTTACTTTTTTAGAGCGAGTTAAAGGGGTAGGGGTTATTGGTAGAGAAAAAGTAATAAGTTGGGGTTTATCCAACCCAATGCTACGAGCCCCTGAAATTAAATGCGATTTTCGTAAAATTGATCATTATAAGTGTTACGACTAATTTGATTGGGAAATCCAGTGACACAAAAAAAAGAGATTCATTAGCTCCTTATTTAGTCCGAATCAGTGAAATGACAGAATCCATAAAAATAATTCAATAAGCCCTAAAGGAATTCCAAGGGTCCCTATGAAAATTTAGAAATCCGATGTTTTGATCGAGAAAGGGATCCAGAATGGAATGATTTTGAATATCGATTCATTAGTAAAAAGCCTTCTCCTACATTTGAATATAACTGATTCGATCAACTAAAATCATGGTAGATTAGAATCCACAGAAACACATGCCTGAAAGTCCCGAACAGAAACTACCATAATAATTATTCACGCATCCTCCACTCACCACAGCTGCCGCAATCCACCACCCTCATATAATGCACATCTCTGAAAGTGGACAAAAAACACTCTCCAGATCTTTTCCTCCTGAAAGTGAGATCGACAGTGCAGAGAGAAAATGGCGATAAGAGCGGAAAGCACAGGTGAATCTTGATGTGGATGGAGCAATGGTGGTTGGAGGAAAAAAAAGGTGATTATTGTTTTCTCTTTCTTCTATCAACCCTAAAATTTCATTTTTGTTGTAGCATGTTGAAAACTCTATGTTTGTTTCTATGTAGCTACAGCTTTTTTGCCACATCAGCAAACTTGAGTCACATTTTAATTTTATGCATCAACTCCAGCTACACAAGCTTGAATGCCAACAGAGTATGTTTTCACACATTGTCCTCCATTAACAATTAGAATAAGATCAAATCAAGTGTCAAAGTTGAGATACCTGACTGAAGAAAATAAAAGTACAAGGTGCACATGGAACATTGAAATCAAGTTTTGAGGATCAACTTTAAAATGCTCAGGAGTGATGCACCTTTTGCAATGCCTGGTAGAACATGTCAATGAATTGATCATCCTGGCATAAGAACAAAACAATGAGTCAATAACCAGAAGTCTTCACCATGGGGAGGCTCAAATTATGTCTACACGGGTATGCAACCAAGAATTTATTGGTGGCCTCCCATGTATACCACACCTAGTTCAGTCATCAAAATCCTAGAAGAATTCTCATCAATACTATTTCACAGGTGCAAAGATATTCACATTTGCACAATACTACTTTTAGCATCTCTCTTTTATCAGGGGCATTTGCATTTTCTACTCATAGTATGAAGAACAATAAGCTTTTTTCTTTATATAAGTTCTTTATACACACACACACACACACATATTAATCTTCTGGCTGAACGCTAATTAGCCATCATACTCAAGCCCATATTAGCTGCTATTAATTAGCATTCTAAGTTAAAAACATGAACCAATAGGTGGATATGATATAAATACCTGAACAAGCATTAGTAGTGCATTGCGAACTTTATCCCTGCTAATAAGAGATCCGTCATGCAAAGTAGGTGGTGCACCAGGAGTGAGAGATGCAGGTGGACTAGGAGGTGGAAAGGGTTGAAGCATTGGAGTGCCATAAGGACGTTGCAAATTGAGGGGTGGATGTAGAGCAGAAGCAGTTGGAGTTGATGAAGAGGAAGGTGGCATCATCAATGAGGATGAGGAAGGCGGAGTAAAAAATGAAGAAGGCTTAACGAGATTAGTCACTAGGTTGCTGCTACTTACTGAATCAAGGGAAGGTGGAGCAGAAAAAGGAAGGGATGACACAGATGGAGCAAATGTAGGAGTGGAGATGGCAGGTGGTGAATGAGAAGACAGAGGGGTGGTTGAGATATAATGGTAAGGCTGTACTGGTTTTGTACCATTTGGAGCATTAGTTCCAAGATTCATAGCAGCCTGAAATTAGTTAGCCAAATAAGTTTGAGATCAGAGACATTGGATAAATATTAGGTCTTGAAAAGGCCAAGGTAAGTATCAGCAGTGGACATACACTAAAGAAGTTAACAAACGATGAATCTTCAGGAGCATCATTAGTAGGAGAGGCAGTTGCTGGTGGCTCCAAGGGGCCTTCTATTATAGACATGCTAGGAACTGCTTCTAGTTCCTCAAATTCACTACATTATAATAACACATAAGCATGGAAAACTTGGACACCATAGGAAGACAAAGAAATTAAGCATGTGTTACCAGTAGATACTGCCAGGAGGAGCAAGATAATCAAGTACAAGGATCATGGACTTCCAAGGATCAACATTAAAATCATCAAATTCCGTGATAATAATTTATATTAGACCACATGGATGCCTTTTTTTGGCTAATCATAACATTAGAAATTTACCCTCATAACTTAGCATGTCTTGCAAGTATTATCTATTGAATTACATTGTGGGAGCACCTTATAACCTATAGATAAGGTTAATGTCGTAAATAGCCCCTAAACTATAGTCTAATATTCAATGTGGTACCTGCACTTTAAAAATTTCTAATGTGAAACTTGAATTATGAATCTATTAACTAATGTGGTCCTCACCCTTAATGTGGTCAGCTTCAAATGATGACACGTAACAGCTAAACAACCTTTCAAGTACTACATTAGTTAACAGATTCATAGTTCAAGTATCACATTAAAGATTTTTAAAGTTCAAGTACCACATTGAACATTGATCAGTTCATTATAGTTTAGGAGTCATTCAAAACATTTCACTATAGATATGACAGTTTAGGCTAATTGTTATAACAATAAACTTTGCACATAGAGCTCTTGTCTCACTCACCTACTTCCAGCATATACTACCAATTCCAATTCTTAATTCTATGTCCTACCTGTTCTCTGTTCTCCAGTTCCTACTTCGTATTCCCTCCACTCCCTACCTTTTATTTTCTTAACCTGTCACAACATTTGGCACCCCACAGTCCACTCCAGTCCAACTCTCTACCACCTTTGACCAAATCCTTCACTTGTTTGCAATTGGCACCTCAACCCACACCCAAAGAACCCACTACACACGCAACATGGACAATTGCAAAGACTGTTTTGTTCAAAATGGCATATCGTATGTAAAATAAATGGAGACATCCCACAAGCTGCAGGGGCAAATTTAATAGTTAACTATATTCTAAGGCTTCAAAAAAGAAATAACTTCTTTATAGATGCTTCATAAAAGTCATTACCTTTTGCTTGAAGATACTTTTGGCTTTGCAGGAACTTTTGAGTATGCATTAAGTATTCTGCGAAGAAGGCAACAAATATAATGTTAGAATTTAAACCACCTTAAGAAACAAAGAGAACTTCTCTTATTGAAATCATATCTCAAAAAGCACACTGATATAAATCTTATTGAGAGTTTTCATGGTTTTTTCTTAACTTATGAGAGTTTAAAGGTTGACATAATGCAAGGGAACTTTTGTTTGTGATCTATTATCAAATTAGATGCACATACCATAAACATATCATTAACAAGTCTACCACTTAATAGTTATGGAGCTAAATACAAATATATTTTCTGTTCAACATATTAGAGTGCATTGACCCCACTTATCTATAGTCACCACATTTATGAATACTGAAAATTCAATAACCAGAAGAATGTCCTAAAATCAAAACCACACATCAAAGGAATGCCTTCCACTACTAAACCCTTCCTTTGGGGGAAAAATAATAAGTAACAAATAAGGCACACATATAAGATATGAAAAACCTAAACCTCCATGTTAGAATTCCCTTTGGATATCCAGGCTCAAAGTAGATTAATATAAGTTAGATAAATTGACAAAAGAAGAAAGGCGCTATACCTACTAAAGAGGTTTGCAACATCCTCACATTCACGCGGATTATAGAACCAAATGCCATTAACTTCTTGTGCCGCATTTCGATACAATAAGTATGGAACTTGAACCTCGTACTCAAAATCTCCCAGTAGATTCTCCACTAAATTATCTGTTTGTCAAAACAGCTTTCATATCAAATCCGGCAAAAGAAAAAAAAAAGTCCATGCTCTTTCATTAAGATTAAGAATTTCGACCTGTGTTACGCCGATTCATTACAATGAACTGGAACCGAGGTTGAGTATTCCTTAAAACCCAGAAAAATCATCAATCATTTCTATGAGCTAAATCAATTCCCCAAGTTAATGACTTGCTTCTAACAAAGTTAATGGTAAAAAAAAGCTCAAAAATATTAACTTATTTACCTCTTAATAACAAAGAGAGATCCTTCAACATCTTTTCGACTCTAAATATATAAACAAAAAACAAAAATTATTAAAAACACAAAAGAGAGAGGATCTAAAACTGAAAAGTGAATAACTTTAAACCAAATCAAAAATAAAAGTCTAAGATTCCAAAGACTTAAAAGATAGATTTGTGAGAAAACGAACCCATTGATTACTATCGATGTTGAATTCGTAAAAGGTGACATGAGCAGCAGTGATCAAAATCTCTTCTATGAAAGGATCGATTCGTTGGAGAACAGTGAGATTGAGCATCTTCGTGCTCTGTTGATCGAGATTCGGCATCAGTTTCCCAGTCTGAGACATTTTCCAATTCAATCAATTTGAATCCCTAAACCCTAAATTCGATTTTCTTGATGAGTTTCCCGGGATTTTTTTTTTTTTTTTGGTTGTCGTAACGTAAACAAGGTACGGAGTTGAACACCCGTCCATCGATTCGCCAGATGTTCGGCCGTTGACAGTTTACTTTACTGATTTCTTAAATGACCAAAATAGCCTTTCATGCCTCTAGAATTTTACACAAAAATGAAATTGAAAAAAAAAAATTAATTCAATCAGATAAATTCATATGAATTATGAAATTACTATTTTTTTTCCTCTTAATCATTATTAGTATTAAATTAAATATACAACCCAATTTTATTTATTATGTCTTGATTATTTTCATTAAAATGCATTATCTACAAGTTATTTTAAGTAAATAAATTAATGAATAATAAATTAATGGATAATTGACTCAATTGATAAAAAAAAAAACTCATTTGTTATCTAAATTTAAATTCATTAAAAAATAATTAAATAAAATAATTTTTCATTAATTTATTAAGCACGATATGCTTGTGTCACGGGTCGAGACTTAAGCTCTGAACCTGCGCGGCTCCAGGACCTGGGCATTCACCCTTCCGGCATTCTCGATCAATCTACTTGTCACGGTTCACATCTTTATAAGGTATTATCCACTCTGGTTCCCCTGACCGCACGATTTTGTCCTCCAAAAGGCGTCTCACAAGAAAAAGATGGTGTTAGCCCTTATATACCCCAATGAGCTTTCTATTATGTTCGATGTGAGATTCAAGACTCTTTTTTAGGTCCGTGACATCGTCACAGAGGCTGACCATCCTGCCTACCTCTCTCGAGGTGCTCGGCGTGGATCAAACAGTTTAGGACTGACTCTGATACCACTTGTAACGGGTCGAGACTCAAGCTCTAAACCTATGCGATTCCCTCGTCACGGAGGTGGCCACCCTGCCTACCTCCCTCAAGGCGCTCGACGTGGATCAAACGGTTTAGGGCTGGTTCTGATACCACTTGTCATGGGTCGAGACTCAAGCTCCGAACCTACGCTACTCCGGGATCCGAAAATTCACCCTTCCGGCATCTTATATCAGCATTCCTGTTATGGTTCACACTCTAGTGAGGTATTGTCCGCTCTGACCCTCTTTGACCTCACGATTTTGTCCTACAAAAAGCCCCTTACAAAGAGGAGATAGTGTGAATCCTTATATACCCTAATGACCTTCCTATTATGTTTGATATGTGATTCAAGACTCTTCCATAAGACCGTGACACTTGAATTAACTTAAAATAAAAGATATAATAAATAAAATAAAATCTTAATGCTAAAAAAAAAATGTTAAATATTTTTCCATTAATTGCAAATTCCTCGTATACAACAGAATTACAAAGTTATCTTAATTTTTCTGAGGCAGCAAAACAGTAATAATTTTAACAATTATAAACACACTTAACGGGAAAAAAAAAACATAGGAAATTAAGACACGTAATTATCAAGTTGTAAGAAATGTCAATGTCTCATGCTTGCTCTGATCTTCAGCAATCCTTTTTTTATTGCTTTTTCAGAGCAAAACCAGATAGTAAAATCAACAACATGAGGACCACAACATTCACGAAAGATGCCACCACAGCTCCGCTCACTTTCTGGCAAAAATCTCCAAATTGTTGGCAGATGGCTAGCCAGTTTGTGTTAGGGTTGCCAGTGTGAGCCAAATAGACTATGGCTGCTGCCGCCGCCGCTGCAGCCGTGGCCAGAGTCAGTGCTACCTGCCATACACCAAAACGTTAATGCTTTTCTCGATTTAATTCATGTGAATTTTCTAACAATGAGTGGTAAAAGTTATTTTAATGGATGGAGTGCGCACAATGTCCAAAATGAAAAGGAGGAGTCTTGGTGCAACTGCACGAGGGCGGACGATGGTGATTATGGAGCAAGGGAGTGAAAGGACGAGGTAGCCGGCAACTAGTGCCATTGCAATGACAAAAAACCTGCAAACAAGTTGAATATACAAGTCTCAGTCCATTCTTCAGGTAGCTATAGCTATCATAAATAATCTTGCCGGCCGTTAGCCAGATTCCTAGTTCTAGACAGAAAAAAGTATGTACTATAATCACGTACATGAATGTGGGAAGATCATCATAACTAGCTTCGAATTGGAAGAATTGGGTGAAGAAAGGAAGAGTCTCATCACTGGTTCCCATGGTGGCAGCAGCAGCTAGAGCTGCAATTATGGCTGCTAGTCTCAGAAGAAAGTCGAAAATGCCCATTCCTTTCTTCAATCCGCTCTTTTGCTCCTTGGGAGTAGCAATGAGAGGTGCTTCGCCTTTTGCTGCAGTGCTGGACTCTGGAACATCAATGGTTGCATGATCACCGCTCTTCATTCTCTTTTTTTTTTTTTTGGGGGGGGGGGGGTGGTGGAGGAGAGAAAAAGAGAGAAATTTAGAGCTTAGCTAGCTGAACAATGAGAGAAGAGAAGAGAAGTTGAAGCTTTGTTTGTGATGGAAAATGGCTTAATGGATGAAGTTTTTATAGAGGGTTTCAGGTGAGAAAGAATAGTTGGTTACGAAAGCATGGATGTAGTAAATTGGAGTAGGGGAATTCTTTGCCTACTTTACAGCATTGAAGTCGGTAGAGAAAAATTATACTCAGTAAAAAATGATAAGATTATATAATAATATGAAAATAATACCAAAAATATATATAATTAATTTAATTTAATTTTGATAAAAATTATATTTTATATTTAACGTGTTAATATAAATTATAAATTAATATTTTTTATATTTTATATGTATTTAATATAAATACATAAATTATTAGTCTAAGAAAAATTTAAGTGGATAGACATAATAGACATGGATTAATAGATTTGGATCAGTATTTTTTAAGTAATTGTCATGATGAAATGAATATGAAATAAAGACTTTTTCCTACCAATTTTGTTTGGGATAATGGTTGTTTCCCTTCCATCTTTTTATTTTTTATTTCAAATTCTCACAACGTCCAATGAACATATATGTAAGCAGCAAATTTCACTGATTTTTTTTTTCTTTTGATAAGACTACGAGAGCAAAGAAATTCAAAGTCAAATTTAGTTTGTTTATGATAATTTTACATAAAGCTGAGAGGTTCCAAACCAAAGTTTTTGGTCAATTACAACTATAGCTTTGACTCGATACCACATAAATAGAAATGGCGTAGGAATTTTGTAATTAAGTCAAACAAAAATATGACAAATCAATACCAACTCACAAAAGTGTGTTTAACTGGTCAATTAAAACCCACTTGACCTCCCTAATCCAACAATACCAAAATGGATCATTGCCTAAATCAGGTACACTTTAGGTATGGCATGTTGTCATAGAAAATACACCATCAATACATTGTTTAAGGTTGTCTGCAAGCTTGTTTTCCATTTATGTCATGTTTGGATTATGCAACATAATTTTCTCACAAATACCAAGTGAGAGAACTGTGAGGTTTTAAGATCAACTTTCAAGCATGCTTTAATTCATGCCAAACAAAATAATGCTGATGGTAAAAGTGGCTTCAATTAGAGAGGTCCTGGAAGCTGGTTTTTTAAGTTGTTAGAATGCCGCAAATTTAACTTGATTTTCAGGCTTCGGCCAAAGCCCAAATTACTTATCAAATCTGAATAAAATCTGTTTTGGATGGCTGCTGTATTCCGAAGTGGTTCAGAGGGTCTGATTTCATCCCATACTTGGTCTATCGAGGGGAGAGAAGGGAAGCCAAGTTTAATTATTAATCTATTGTACAATTGTAAACACAAAACACTTTTTTTTTCTCAATTTCAGATACAATTTTTGTTTAATTTTATACTACCGCTTCTGTATTATTTTTTAACATTTTCATATCATGTTATCATGTTATTTTTAAAATGATCAAATATCAAGTGATTCGATCACCTGGCTAGCAGCCTCAGCAGCGTTATTTATCGGTTGATAGCTCCAGCACTCAGAAATCTGTAAAACAAAGACATAAGCAGGCACTCATTCTCATTGTTACCTCGCAGAATGCTTATTACATTCAAATGTTTTTTTGATGATGTATTCTGAAAAGAAAGCAGGGGCAATTGCACTTGCAAGAGAAAAATTGAGGCTTTATTTAATAAATCAGCAGGAAGAAACATTACATGCACAAGATCACTTGCATCCTCTGTGCAGGTGACATTGATATAAGAATCACATAAATGCCTAAAGATTAGGTTGTTCTATTTCATCAAATTTTGTGAGTTTATAGGATGACATTAATACATGAAACTAGAATATATAGCCACCTTCCAGCAAGCAAACTAACAATGCCACAATCAGAACCACTAAAACACAAGCCATGCTAAAACAAAACAAAAACTGCCCTCATAATATACAAACCAGGGCTAAATTTCAACAGTTACTCTACTTCAGAGTTGGGGGGGGGGGGGGGGGGGGGGGGTGCATGCGACAGCAATTCAGGTATATCTATACCAGTAGCCAATAGCATCATCTCTTCCAAATCCGCTATTCTTCTGAAAGGATCCGATAAAGTCATATTTTACCGACTTCCACCAGCATTCTTTCTCCCAAAAAATTGGAATACTATTTAAGGTAATATGCAGTCGCGACCATAGTTATCGAACAGCCTCAATTCATGCGGATATGATCATAATAGTTGTATCTAACAGGAGGATTGTCCCCCAAAAAGGTAATGACTTCATTTCCCAGTTCAATAAACCACCAAAGTTCAGCATAGCACCAAAAATTTAGAAGTCAGCTCAGCTTGCCTCAATTTGTAGTCTGGTTCAAATGACTTCCATTCTCTTCAGAAGTAGTGAGATTCAGCATAGGCAATGGAACTTGATTAAATCCATTAGACTTGACTGATCCAGGGGAGGTGTCTCTTGAGATTGTGATCCTTTCTTGTTCGAAAGTTTTTAAAGTTAGCTCTTCAGGAGCACCTTGTTTTTGTAGCATTTCCATATTACGCAAAGATGGGACGTCTCCCTTACAGTACCTACGCCACATGTTTCGATAAGTTGCCTCCAAACCAGTGATAAAGTTCTTTCCATCACAGACAGGTGATTTAGACATGAGGTCTCGAAGACTTGTTCTCAGGTTCTGGAGTGCAGTGACATCTGAGGCCAGTTGTAGTGCCAACTGGACATATTCATCTTCATTTTTGGCTATCAGATGTCGTAACCCTACATTGCAAGTACCCAGAATGCTACATCATTTAGCCAGTGGTATGAAAATCACAAAAGAATAAAATAAAAACCTCCTCAACAAACATTAAGAGACAAGTCCCGAGTGGGATGTTTAAATCATTTGAATGCTAGGTACATTAAAGTGAAAAACCAACAGGAAAAATAACGAAAAGGCCAAAGGACATTAAGAGAAGCCAGACAAAATCCAAGTAAACTGATAACAGATATTAACATGAAAAAGTGAAGCTCCTTACCAACTTTGCTGAGAAGACTAACACCAACATTGTGAGCATGTACCGAACCAGCCATGGTAACACATGGCACTCCCATGTATAGAGACTCACAAGTTGTCGTTGTTCCAGCATATGGAAAAGTGTCCAAACTACGTAAGATATGTAACAAAAATTAGAAAGTCTAAAAAGGATGTAACTAGAAACCACTTACCAACAGAAAATTGAACTTATTTCCTAGGTAAAACACTAGGTAAACTCAACCAAAAGGACAAGTCATACATAACCTTGGTAAACACTGGCTAGTGACTTGTTAAAATTGATGGGTCACACATCTAGAGTCCATACAATACTCAAACTTTTAAGATAAAAACGAGAAGCATCCAAGTCTTAGTATATGCAGAGCTATCACTCAAAGGCCAAGACCTAAAACCAGTTTTCCTCGGAACCACTAATTGTTAACATCTTACCAGTACCAACTGTAATGGCCTGCAAACTCCAGATTTTAACCAACCCCATATCTTCAGTTCCCTAATGCCCCATGTGCTAATCAGCATCGGCCAATTTTTATTGTACAGGGCTATTTCGAATGTACCATACAAAATTGAGTGTTTTGCTTGCTATAATATCATGCTTCCCAACAGAAATAGTGGTACCACAACAGGGAAAGGGAGACAAGGATAGGAAAAAAAAAAGGAAAACTTAGCATTACCAATAACACAAAGAATGCAATTCGATTTTACCTGATGTCCATCAGAGAATAAGCTTGCATATGGTCATGATTAAGAAGAATTAGAGGGAGAAGATCAACACGGAGTGATTCTAAACCCAGCTGCTCTAGTGTCGTAAGAAATTTCTGCCTAACACTGTCACAACAAAATGGCTTGCATTTTACCACTAGACGGGAGTTTGGAACAGCACATAATATCCTTGCCCAAACTTGCAATACCTTGGGTGTTATCTGATAAAGGTTCCAATAATAGGTTAAAAACGAATGCTATAACTAATAAGAAACACATGATTTAACTTCTACAGTTACCAAACAGTACCTTTGCCAGATTATTAAAGCTACCAAATGTAATGAACCCATTGGAAAGAGCAGGAGTTGGTGAAACAGGTCCAGCCTCTGGGGAAGGAGTATAACAAAGGAAGCATTCTGGTAGTCGAACTAACTCTTCAACATGCCTGCCATTGGGTAGCATTATTGTCCAAGTAGAACCATTTTGCATATCTCATTTAACACAATAGCTCTAATTGAAAATGTGATCAGGTAAAGTAAAAACAGAACCTACTTCTGCTTTGTATCAGGAGGATCTGCAAATGAATCAGTGATTCGGTAATCAATGGTGGGCAAACCAGTAGTATTGGGATAACCAATCCAAGTTACCTACAGTAAAAAACATGACAGAAATCAGAGAGATCTAGAAAATGCCTAGTCTACCAAATCAAGCTTACCAAAAGTGCAAAATCACCCTGCATAAATCAGACACACCAGAAATCAACTCAAGTTCCACTCAAAAAGATTTCTTCCAAACGAAAATTCTTTTAGTACCGTTGATGACAGAAGAACTTCAACAGGAAATAGTTAAAACAAAACTGAAAATATGGTACCTTAAGCATACCTGAACAGGAGCTGGTCGACATGCCATTGTTCCCAATTTGTTGTTGGCTGTATGACCAGTAAGCTCTACTAAGATGTCAATTTTATCATCTCTAACCATGCTTGCAACCTTCTTTTCATCAATACCATATATATCTCTCCATACCCCACCCTTTTTCATGACTTTTTCCCTAAATCTATTAGTCTTTGCATCAGCCTGGAAAATCATAAGAATGTGAGCTCAGAAAGAGACACATAGTCCGCCATAAAAACAAAGAGGATACTACCTTAACTAAGTTGTTCTGTAATAGCAATAGAATATCAAGAGTCAATAGTTCCAGATTTTTTAAGCGACTTATACACAGATTACACCTTTTTTGGGACAGGTAACTGGATATTGAATACATCACAATTATTTTTTGAACAAATTCTTCACATAATAAATTATTGTTCAGGACAACATAATGACAAGAACAGAACTGCATAGAGGATCACATTTTTTGGAAGACAATCAAAAAGTTAGTCAGGAAAATAATTCTAATGAAGTTAAGGGCTTTGCACAGGCAAATTGACATTGGGTGTAATCGTGGAGATTACTTTCAATGAATGGTGAGAACAGAGATAAATTAAGGGAGTAACAATAATCCTAATGCATCCACGATGCCATAGATGGTATTGAAATATCATTTAAATTCGTCTGAGCTTTAAAGGGGAAGATAAAGCAAAGCTGGCCATATTCAACTAAACATGCAAACAAATACTCCCATATCCGTAGGATTACAGATGATGGGTGCTGAAGAAATCACTAAGCAATTGACATAAATATATCTGTAGTTTTAGTACCTTCACTACTGCTGAATAAACAACCACCTGGTAGTTCCCATAGTCATGATAAATAAGAGGTGCTTCAATGAAATAAGACACAGAATGAGTAAAATAATCTGGTGAAATATATCCAATCACAAGAGGTCGTTCTGGATCTTTTGGGTTGTCCCATGAATTGCATTGTGGATATAACCTCATAAATCGCCTTCCCCAGTCCCTGTTTTTGAGAAATCAAATTATGAAAGCTAAGTTTAAGATTAGTCAAAGATAATCTAAATTTTACCCAGTTTTAAGAAGATGCTAATACTTGTATGCATATATAAATTGTCAAATATTCAGCCAAGAAAGTATAAATTGTCAAACAGGCCATAGAATCAAAACACAGGTTTGAGAAGGAAAGTAAGATTATCCAAATCTTTTCTTTTGGCATCTGTTTAGAGCGTACATAGCAGGGTATTGTAGATATCATCACTACACTTAAGATCAAATTCTCAATGTAGCTATTGCTTTCATCATCCACTTCTTTCTAAAATTTCGGATCTGTTTAGACCTTTCACGATACATTTTACTAGTCAGGACTTGTATGATGCACAGGAAACAACTGTGTCAGACAAAAGGCTTCAACAGTATAGTTCACATCACAAAGCAAAAGTGCATTTCTGAAACAAACAATTATGACAAAGAAGCCATTGCTCAAAGCAGGATTATGGCATGGCTGGTAGAATATGGTTCAATATTTAACAGTTTTGCACTACAAATTGGCTCATACCTATATAAAATCCATGACTAAATAAGAAATAAACTAACTAAAAATAATAATCCAATAATAGCAAGAAGAATATTTGTAGTGATGCAGCCAATACAAAGACATGAAATGAGTTCATATGATCATTCTTAGATGATCCCACAAAGGCCACAAATTATTTGCAATGACACCAAATATTAAAATGATGCTAATAGAAAATTGACATTAAATGCAAGTTAGGTGATATAAATTCAATCAAACCTGTGAGCCTCAAAAAGTTTATCATCATCTCCTTCATTTATGTAGTTCATTGCCAATAGACGATTCTGCAAAAAATGTGAAATATGATACAAACAAAAGGAATCAATCAGAACACAAGGAGAGCCAGAACACCAGTATGGAACCAGCATAGGCATCCAGTTGCTAACATAAACCATCTTCTATCATGCACCAACAGCAAAAATATCTAAGATGCACTAAAAAGTGTCATCTATGAACAATAAATCAGAAATATTATTTCCATTTTCAAAGCATGGATGCTAAAACCTTCTTTTTTCCGGTTTTATGTCCAATTTAATCAGGGATATAGAGACAGTCAACTAGTCACAAAAGAACCAAAGATACTCCAGGGTAACTAAACCTGCAAAGTATCACACCAAATAACATGTATGGGGTGGAGAAAAAGATTTTGAGGTGAATAGACATTTAGTGACAGAACTTATTTCTCTAGTTCATTTTCATTTTAATTGAACAAATTTAGTCTCCCAGCAAGCAATTACAAGTTAAACTACACAAGATTCATGTAATGATACCTGCCCAGCATTACGAGAATCGGGATCTATCTTAAGGCATTGCTCATAAGCTGTAATTGCCATGGATATATTGCCAGCATCTCTGTAAAGAACCCCTGAACAAAAAGGACAGGAAAATAAATTAAAAAATTATACCAAAAAATGAAATTGTTTCCCAAAATATTTGCTGTAAGATCGTGTATCTGTAAAAGTAAGGAACCGATGGCATGTACAAGGTGCCCAGGCAACAATTATAGATTTTGAAACAACATAAGAAGCAAGAGAAAAACCTAAGTTATTATATGCTTCAGCATATGTGGGATTGGCAATGATAGCTTTCTCGATCATGCTAGCAGCAGCATCCATTTTACCCTGCCAATAGTAAGCACATAGTCAATCACTGTTTGAGACAAAGTCAAATCTAATAGTTAGACCTTAATTCCACTTCAAACCTGAACTGTGTAGACAACACCTAGGTTGTTCAATGACTGAGAGAAGTTTGGTTTGATTGACAAAGCCAACTGCAAGAAGAAATTATAACAAATAATGAAGATCAAGGAAGGCAGGAGAGAATGAAGGCTTAAAATGTTACACAAGTGTCAAAAATTACCTGATAACACTCTACAGCTTTATCAAGGTTGTCTCTATCTTTGTATATTACTCCTAAATTGTTGCATGCCTCGGCACAATGGGGGTTCAAGTGGAAAGCAAGTTCATAGAACACAATTGCCTGCACAAAAGTTGATGGCTAGATTGTTATCTGATGCAAGCATTGCAGAAACTACCTATAAAGTATGTATATAAAAAAATTTTACCATCAATTACAAACACAGAATTTCAGTTCCCCAAAGAGAAATACACTTCCAAGGAAATACATCTTAAGTAATTACTTACCATATCAAACTTCAGCATTTCACCATAAGCAACCCCAAGATTATACATAGCATCTGCATAGTGCCAATTATAATACAAAGCCTTCTTATAATATGCCACACCTTGGTTAATGTCTCCCTCCAACTTAACCTGAACAGACAGATCACTGAAAGCAAAATCAGGGATAGATAAACCAAGAAGTTACTTATTAGAAAGAAAGCACAAAGTGACTTCCACAAACAAGTCAACAAGAGTTGCCCATGATGCAAGAAAGCATTTTCATCTAATGCAACTGCTGATGTTAGTTAAAGAATTAAGCAAATAAAATAAAAGATTCTGCAAACAATTATGTAAGCCAAAACCAATTGTATTGTGTCACAAGCAAATAGTACATTAAGATAATTGTGTTTGTTGATCGTAGATGCAGATGCCAATCAGTAGAAGGGCTCTATTGAAATATTTTGACATATAGTCCCTCTATTTTTCTGTTACAAGTTGTCTCCATGTATAGGGCCACCGTTTAAATACTTCTAGTTCTCAGAATATCCAATAAGAAAGAAAAGACTAAAGATAGTCTAATTGGCATCTAGTCAAGGCTAAGACCACTTATTTCACATCAACAGAAAAAAGATTGGCATCTGAAAGAGCAAGTTTGAAACAACAGAAACACAACATATAACAGAGCATCTCCATTCTAAGCTCTAAGAAGTATGATGTACATCTACATGTATTTGATGCCTTGCTAGTCACAAAGCTAAAAACATGGTTTTACATTCTATCACAAGCAGCTATTCTACCACAAGCTATAATCCCCAGACATAAAAAGCTTCTGGCTAGACACCTGCACCACGTGTCGACAGCAACCTATAAAAATCTAGACTACAGACACTATATTATCAAACTAAATCTTATCATGTTAAAAACAGGCATTCAGCAACCACAAAATGTCCATCTTGCTTTTATCCAAACCATAGATGATGATAAAATTAGCAAAAACAATAATATTATACAACTTTCTTCTAGAAAATGCAATGGCCTCCTACAGAATTTATCTAGCCTTTTCATAGAAAAGAGCTAAATTCTTTCTATAAATGTATGTACAAGTGTAGGACACAGGTGTGCACAACCACAGAGTCCTCGAGTGTTGAACAGGCCAATTTTCAACAAAATAGTATCCTGCAAACTATGTGGTAAAGGTCATGAAAAAATGTCAGAAGCAAAAGTAGGAAAGGAAATGAAAAAACTCAATGGATGATAACAAAGGGGAGAAAGCACCTTTGTTCCCAAATCTGTTAAGGCAATCGCCATATTATTTTTGGCAATCTCAAAGTTAGGGGACACAGCTAGGCACCTGGTAATAAAATAGCGAAGCAAAAAGAGCATCAGTAGAGATGGAGACACCACTCAAATACATCAACTACATGTGAGGATAGCAGACAGCAAGGTTAAATAACTAACTGCGTACTACCTTTCATAACAGGCAATGGCAGATTCCAAGTCACCACGGTTTTTATAAATGACACCCATGTTGCAATATGCTTCAGCATACATAGGTCTCTCTAGTGCAGCCTTCTCATAGCAACTAAGGGCTGTGTCATATTGCATCATCTCAGAATAGACAACACCAAGGTTATAGTATGCAGGCTGTATAAATGAGGTACAAGGATATAAATATATATACTCAATGTAAAAAGGAAGACTACATAACAGCACAAGTTAGAAAATGGGAATTTAAAAGGCCAAGACTGCATGTACAGAATTTTAATTACAACAACGTTTAACAATGGAGGAAGGAAAGAGAACAGATTACAGCATAGTGCGGATCTATTTTTAGAGCTTCATAGTACTTCTGAATTCCCTCCTGTGTATTGCCAGCAAGCTTTAAGCTAGTTCCCAGATCAGTTAGAACAATGGCTAGGCATTCTGCAGCCGGTTTGTATGAAGATTCTGCTCGTAGAGCTTTTTGATAAGACTGCACAAGTAAACAGGTATAGAGTCAAATTATAGAAACTCACAAATGAACCACTAATCAATGAGCCAAACACAATTACCAGTTTAAAACCTCATAAGCATACCTCAGCAGCATCTACCAGACGACCTTCATCTTTGTACAGTATACCACAGTGAGTTAGAGCACAAGCATTCTGAGGATCCAACTTGATGGCTTCAGCAAAGCTCTCAAAAGCAGGCCTTCCCATGTTCTGCATCTGCAGGCATATCCCTTTTCCAATGTGGGCTTCAACACACCTACTATCTTTCTCCAAGACACTGTCATATAGGGCAAGCGCATCAGCAAACTTGTTCCTGGACCGAAGGATGTTAGCATAGGAAAGAGCATCTTTCTCTGCAAATGCCTTTTGTGGTGGAGTCACATCAGCTGTTGAAATACTTGGACCAGAAGAAGACTGTGGTTCCTTTAAGAAACCATTTTCTGTAATCATGTTTCTCTCTCTCCCATTTACATCTTTCTCAGTCCAAGCCATCTAGGTAGAACTATATTCTCACGTTTCTGTACAAATATAATCAAAGATAGCAAAAATTATTAATCTTCAAAAGGTGACATCTTTTAGTTTCAAACTTCAAACCAGTAATATAATACTTCTCCTTTCATTGGATATAGTATTATAATGCTTACTCTGAAGTCTGAAGCTGATCAAACAAGTGTAACAAGAACAAGTTTTGTACAAGCAAGGTTTATAATAATTTCAGACACGATTAAACAATTAATTATAAACAAATTTCCAAAAATTACAAGTGACAAGTCAGAGTCTCCTACATTGATTACTTTAACCCAAAATCTATTTTTAAGGTTTCAAACACATTTGAATGCTTTTCTCAGCACATGATATCGTAAATCAATTCAATAATGAATAACAAATATTCTAAAATTTTGATCCAGCAATTGGTTGCATACTTGCATGTGAACTATACACCAGCAACATAAGTAATTTAACCAATTTGGCTGAAAATATAAACCTTTTTCAGGTTCAACCAGAAATAATAGCACTTACTTCACTACATGAACAATTTGATCAGACAATTGACAAAAATTGGAAATGAAAAGTAAGGTTTTGAAATTTACTTAGCAATGAGCCAAACCAAACTAAATCTCTACCAAGAACTTTTCCAGCTCAACAAAACAATACCCATTAAAGAAAAATTGACTTTGCATCATTTTAATCACTTCAAGAACATAAATTAAAACCCTAGATAAAGCAAAATGATCCAAGTAGCCACTCCATTTTAGCAAACTGATCAAAGCGCATAAAACCTTAAAGCCCTAATAAATAATCAAAATAAAAATTCCACTTTAAAACCTAAAAAAGCTTGAACCTTTAATCAACCAAAAAAAAAAAAAGATTTTAGGGTTTTTCTGATTAAAAAATGAACTTTTTAACCCAACAAGCAAAACCAAAACAAAACAAAAAGATTAGGGATTTAGCACTTACTTCTGAAGCAACCAAACTTTGCCCCAAACTAACACCGCATAGCTAATGTCAAAAATTACTCAAAATGAAAAAGGAGAGATGGGTGTAGGATAAGAGAAAAAAGTGGGTGTAGCTTAAGAATAAGACTGAGTTAGTCGAGTTTAAAGAGCAGAGAAAACAAAGTTCTAGATTAAGAAAATAGGGTTTTTTCTTGGTGCAATGAAAAAAATAAAAATGGGAACTTTAAAGGGAGGGCACCCTCTCGTTTCTCAGCCAGAGAAGTGCGGAGGTGGTGTATGGGTTAAGGGTGTTCGACGTTTCCCAAACTGAGAGAGAGAAGAGAGAGCCCTGTGGTTCTGTCTGTTCGTTAATTACAACATTTTTTGGGCATAATAGGGACAGGGGACTTTGTTTCTTAGCCCTTGCTTTTCCTTTGTATTTGCATCTTCTACCACTATACTTCATAATGGCTCATGGCTGCTGCTTTATTCGCCTTGGTGGTTTCCAAATTTTATGGGTCACTGTCGGTTTGGGACGTTAGGAAAAAAAAGAGTTTTAACATAAACATAGTATAACTGTAAGATTTTTAACTTTTTAATTAAAATTAAAAAATATATTCGAAAATAATGAAAATAATCTAATAATTCAAAATATTTATATTTGATATATTATCAATATATAAATTTTATATATTATTAATAAATTAAATAATAACACTTTGTTAATAATAAATTTTTAAAAAAATAATAATTTTTTATATATTTATTCATTAATAAAATAATATTATTTAATTTATTAATAACATATAAAATTCATATATTGTCGTCATTAAATATAAACTCGAAATCAAATTACATATTTATTTGAGAAAAAAAGTACTTTAAGCTTATATTTAAATTAAAACCTTATAAACTTTCTCATAAAAACCTTAATTGAATCAATTGTTTATACAATCATTAAATTATGTTGACCTAATAAAATGTGTAAAGGTCATACATAAATAAATATTATTAAATTATTTAAACTTGTACATGTCTTATATTAAAACAGATTTATCATCTCACTTTATTAAACTTTAAAAAGAGGAATTAATGTGCAATAAAAGAAGAGTTTTTCTGATACTGCCAAGGCTGCTAATACTTCATTTTTTGGCAAAGGGAGAGCACTTTATACATGTTGGTTTCTTGTTTGTTTTCTTGAAAGTGATATGGTGAGATCAAGTTGGAAAATAATGAGCTCTTAGATTTGATGGCTACCCAATTTCAGGCTTTAATAATGTCAACGTTTTTAACATGCTTGCATCACTTTGTCTAAAAGAGAGAAAACCACCATTTTTCAAACTTTTGTTCTACTTAGTTGTTTAATAAGAAAATTAAAATTTATTTAATATTTTTTTATAAAAAAAGTAGTAATTTAAAATAAAAAATAATTATTACTGAATTTCATACATGTTTTTAAATTAAATTATAATATTTATTAGGAAAATATTATATATATTTATCAAATATACAAATTTTACGCATTCATGCAAAATTTTTTATCTTATAAGTTTTCAAAATTATATTATACTTTATTGGTTTTTTTTATTTATGATGTTTCAAAATTATGTCTTCTTTTTTAAATATTTTAAACTTTTTTATTTTTAATTTTTTTTTTTACTTTTCAATATTAAAAGCCATGAAACTTTAATTTTATAAAAAAAATTTAATTTAATATTGAATACATTAAGATTAAAAAAATATTCTTAAAACTCCATAAATATTAATATCATCCAAATAATTTGAGACAAAAGATGTAATCTATAAATAATTTTAGTAATTTTTTACTTAAATCTTTAAAATAAAAGTAGATACGCTAGTGCATCATTTGAATACAAAATTTAATGCATTGTGATGTTGATTGGCATCTTCAGCTCCGTTTATTTTGGAAAAAAAAAATCAAAAAATAATTTTTATATTTTTAGATGTTTGTTTGATAAAAAACTAATTAATCAATGAAAAATGATTTACTGGTTAATGAAAAATTAGATAATTTTTAAAAAAATAATCTTACGGATTTAAATATATATATATATTTTTTTCAAAAAAAATTATCTATAAGTAGAATTATTTATCAATACTTTTGATAATAATTTTACTTATAAATAATATTATATTATAATTTATTAATAAATAATATATTAATACATATTATTATAAATAATTATTCAAATTAATAAATAAAATATTATATCAATAAATAATATTATAATATATTAATAAATAATATACTATTAATATAATATATTAATAAATAACATAATAATAAATATTGTTAATGTAATTAATAAATATTATAATAATATATTAATAAATAATATTATAAATATTAATAAATAATATAATGAATAATAATTAGTTTTATTTTAAGTATTTTTTATATTAACATAATATTATAATATTAAATATTATTATTATATAATAATTAATTTTAATATTAATAATTTTAGTATGTTTTAATAATATATAATTGTTAATATTTTAATAGTTATATTAATATTATTTTTTAAAAAATTTTCAAAAAACAATCAAACAATGAAAAATATTTTTTATTAGCTCATCCAAATAACAAAAAAAATTTTACAATTCAAAAAATATAAATATTTTTTAAATTTTATTTTTTGTGAAACAAATGAAGCCTTTTTAGTAAAAAATTCTCTCATGTTCACTCATAGATACAAAGATAGCTGAACCATCGAGATGTGGTCCCAAGCCCGACGACCAATATCGCTCCAAATATTAGTCGTGTTCCAAATTTGCATGCATTTTAGATAAACATTTGTTATATTTTTTAAATTAGTTTATGATTCATGCAATGCATGAATTATTTTATTTATTTAAATATATGTTTATATTATAAAATTTATGTTTTTCTTACAATTATATTTAAATTTAAAATTTTATGATAAATATAAATATATATATATTCAATTAACATGTCATAAAAAAATTAAACTTTACTATTATTATCTTGATCAAAATATTAAAAATAAATGTGAAAAATATAAGATATTAGATATAGATCAAAAAGTAAAAAGAATTGAATATAAATATAATATTAGTTTTTTAGGATAACATAAATATTGAATGATCAATTAAATAATAAAATAAGTGTTGACATATCTTTATTCAATTATGATTTTGATCAAATACTAAAAAAAAATCAACGAAGAAATGTGCAACAAATAAAAAATAATTGAATAAAAATAATGTCATAAGAAGAAATCATCTAAATAAAATAAATAATAAAATTACAAAAATAATATAAATCTTAAAGGAAACTTGAATACTAAAAAAAAATGATGTAGCACATATTATTAATTATTAATAGACTTTAAAGTGATATGTGTTTTTTGAATTTAAAAATAAATTAATAATTAAGTATTTGAAAATAAAGGAAATATATAGAAGAAATATATGTGATTTAAATTTAGGGAGAGTATTTTTGTTTTAATTATTTCTTTTTGCATATTTATAGTAAAAAAATCAATAATTTAATTTGTTTTTAAATTTATCAATATTTTAATTAAAAATTAATTACTTGGTTAATGAATGTTTTGTCATATATTATTATCTTTTTATCTATGAAATTTCAGTCTTACCCCACACCAAAGTTTAAATTCACCATCTATATAAAAAATAAATTTTCATCTATTTTAGTCTTAATTATTTTCTAAAGGAATTTTATATATCATAGGACATATGAAAACATTCAAAAAATTTTATTGTAATGCAAATAAAAAATAACCATAAGTATTATAAGTTATCGTTGACCTATAATCTTATTTAACTTATTAAAAAAGGTATTTTTTTTATAACACTTAACTTAATTTATATACTAAAAAATAATTTAAAGTGAAAGTTGGTTATACATTTAATATACATGACGAAATTATAATAACACACATATTTCATGCATGCATTTAGTTTTATTGATTATTATATAAAAATCAATTAATTTAAAATAAAAAATATTGAAAACTTATATTAAAAATATAATAAAAAATGCAATATTTAAATTTATCCATGCTTTACATAACATGTAATAGTATTAAATAAATAAATAAATAAAATCTAAAACTTCAAAATTGTTTTACAAGGTGCTTATATAGTTTAAATGCAATATAAAGAATATGTAGATGTTTTATATAAAAAATAACCGAGTTAATTTTAAATCAGATTTGGTTTTTATTGGAATAGTTTCATTTAAATGAAGATAAAGATTATAAATTATTTAACATAAAAATTTTGGATAAATTTGATTCTTTTAAGATTTGAAATATCTTATAAATTTAAATAATAAGGTTATTTAATAGTTAACTACAAGCAAATAACTATATCATGTGTCAATAATATAGATTATCCTTATAAGATTACACGTAAGTAAAACTTATCATGTACATATGTATGCTTTAATATAATATATGATATGATATATGATTATTTTAATAATTTAATCATTAAAATAATTTTATTTTAAAAGTAATTTTATCACTAATGATTTAGGATTATTTTATTTGATTAAAAATTATTAATTTTTAGTAATTAAAGATTATTATATTTAATATTACTAAATATCAAATATTATTTGCAAGAAAAAATCAAATATTATTTTGTTTGAAAAAAATCAAAATAACAATGTGCATTATAAGAGTTAAATAAATTAATGATTTTAATTTTATTTAAAGATAATAATTTGTAAAGTATTAGTCATTTTTTGTTTACTTCATAGTAAAATATAATTAAATTATTGTTAAAAATATATATTTATTAATAGGTGTACTAGTTTTTATAGTATAAATTATGTAAAAAATATATGAATTAAAAAAATCTATGAAAATAAAAAATTATATTATATATAATTTAAAAAAGCATACAAATTATTTTTGAACTTGTTATATGAGTATTAGTGTAAAAATATAAAAATTTATAATATAAAAAATCTACAATTAAAGTTGAAAATAAATAAAATTTTAATTCACACATTAAATAAGTAATATTGACTATTATTAATTTTAAATATTATTTTTCCTCAACAATAAAAGTTTTTCACTCATTTATATGAGAATAAAATCACCTTTCATAAAATAGTGATTTAATCAATCTCAATGATCCACAATTACCATAAAATAAATAGAAGTGATAATGGTTCGGATTTGATTTAGTTTGATTTTTTTCTGATAATATTATAAAATTTTAAAATCTGATCTGAATCCAAACTGAAAATTTTTTGAAGCCTATTCGATCTGAATCAAATTATACTGATTCAATTCAATTCATAAATTTTTAAAATTTAAAATTTTATATTATTTTAATAATTTTTAACTTATTTAAATAGGTTTATATATAATAATTATTTTTATTTTATAAAATTTTTAAAAATATATATAACAATTAATAAAAATATATAATTTAGTTAGATTTGAACAATTTTTTACTTCTTAATATAAAAATCGATTTAAATTTAATATATATATTTAATATCTGATAATGATCAAAAAATTAAAAAACTTAACCGAACTTAATACTAAAATTTTAAATTAAATTTTTTATTTTTTTCTCACCTCTCTAAAATTGAGAACAATAAATAATCATTATAATTATCATATATATAAATCATCATTATTTTTTTGAATAATCACCTTATGTTAAACACCAATTTACCAACGTAGAACATGACACCCACTTGTCAATTCGATATTTCAATGCATGATTAATTGGTTTTCTTCTTTTACAGACAAAGGCCATTGAATCTGTCGTTTCTTTATTCATGCCCCTAAAGTGGAACATCATGCTGCAATTTTAACATTTTACTAAACAAATTCCAAAGGCTTATGCCTTATTTTTACAACCCTGTAGTACTTTTGCTTTCGTTATAGCCAGTGTCAATTTCTTTGTCAGCAAATGCTACTAATTAAGCATGTTGATTTGTTGATAAATGACGATTTTTTTTTTTTTTTACAAAAGAGATTGCGGTCATGTGAGTTAAATTTCAGATTTATTTTACAAAACTACAAACAATAAATAGTTATTTATTCATGAAAACAATATAAAACTTGATCACTTATATCCTTATTATGCTATGAAGTACTTTATTATTCGCTTCCACTGTTTTTTTGCTCACTGCTCCTATGATTTTCCAAAAAAGGGGTTGGGCTATAGTTCAAGGGCAATCCAGCAGCAGCCCACAGTAAACCAGCTTCAAATTGCAAAAAAATCATGCAAAATAAGGTGGATTTTACTGCTAGGTTCTGACCTGTTAACTTATTCAGGTTCGGTCCAAAACTTTTGAGGGATTAACAGTAAACTTAATTTCGATGAGATTAAAAATAATAATTATTATTATTATAAATATAATTAAAAAATTTTAATAAAAATTTTATGTTAAATAAATTTTATTTAAATTAAATTAATAATGTAATAAATTCAATCATAATACATAGAAAATATGATAAAATTTAAATATAAACTAAATAACGTAGGCGACTGGCGAGCGAGTAACCCTCTGCAACTGTTCCTAGTGGGAAAGTGGGGGACCGGTACTACTCACTAGGAGAAATGGGGGATTTTAAATATTGCAATGCAACAACCAACAGTCATTAAATCTTGACTTGCAAAACCTTAATTTAACGGCCAGAACAGTCCAACAACCGTTTAACTTGGGGTCTCTAAAGATTATGAAATTAACCATGTCGGCAGCTACATATCTTTGCTAAAATACTGCTCTATGTACATTGCAACATTTTATTTTTTCTCATGGACTAAAAGACAAAAAAAAATTGGGTACTTGACGGTCTTTAGAGCTCTTGGTTTAGAAAAACTTAGGCCTCCTAAAATCATGCCCTCTAAGGGGAACTCATGAGCCATGAAAGCGAACCTGGTGGCTATTAATCCCTGATTCGGTCAATGCCAAATCGATCAATCAATGAACCATGGCTGGTTGGAGAAAATATGAAAGGGTCTGTTCTTGGAGAGATTTCGGGGCTTGAAAATGGTTAGCAACATCTCAAGGAAAAACTTTTTGCCAAGAAAGAACTTTTTGCCAAGAAAATGGGACGCGGCTGCACTTGATTTGCTTACAATTTCAAGTCTTTAGTGTTTTCTAAGCACAAAAATTCACTTATTTCAAAGACTCTACAGAACCAATACGAGAAGAAAGTGATGGTCGCATGCTCGGTCCAACAATAACAGCTAACCGGAAGATGAGCTGCAACTTTGCTATTGGCTTGAGGAAATGACACAGAAAACTAAAACCCTGAAAAGCTGAAACTGTGTTTCAACTTTTGACATCATGAAGTACTAAAAAAAATAAAAAAACAAGTGGATACGGAAAGAAGAATACTAGGCTGACGGTAATGATGCTGTACGAGAGTTTAAAAAGTTGGAAAAAGACACAAACAATTCAAGCTTCATTGACTTGACAATTTTTTCCATAACCCTAACCACTCTTATTCACTTGAAACCTAACTCCTTTTTGGTTGGCAACCAAAGTGTTGATGTATCTATCCAATTTGGTTATTGATTCACAAAGATATGAAGCATTGTCCCTCATTATTTTCCCTGTGAATTCATCTGCTAAAAACCTATAAAAGGCCATTCCATTAATGGTAAGATCTTCGAAGGTCTTCATGTGGAACAAGGCTGACCCCGGGTTCATGGCCACAGTAGGAATGGACAGGAATAAAATTGTAATAGTTGGCATTCGTTTTCCAACTACAGCTTTGATGGAACTATGTAGCCATAAAGAGAGTGTGAATGCCATTTCATGGGCTCCATTAATTGGAAAGCAGCTGTGTTCTGGTGGGGATGATTCAAGGGCTCTAATATGGGAGGTGGTGGGCTCAAATTTTCGATCAGAAAATGGAGGAGACATGGAACCGTAGATGTGGTATGGATCAGCGGCTGAGATCAATCATACTCGGCAGTGGTCTCCAGTTGAGTTGGACTGGATTGCTATTGCTTTTCTGACTAAATTGCAATTCTAAAAGGTTTAGAGAAATTCTAACTTAGGCTTACCATATATATGTAACTTGAATCATTATGATTTAAGATCCCAGCTAGTAAATTTTTTTTTATTAATCATGGTTTTTCTACCACAAAAAAAAAGAAAAAGAAAAAGAAAGAGCCAAATGCAAAGGAGTGTAGATTGAGTTTATAAATATTTTTATTAAAGAAATAAAATTTCAATTTGGTGAACTTTATTTTCAATTTTATATTATTATGGAAAAAAAGGAAGATTGGGATGTAAATATATAAAACTGCATGGAGGGATCAAATTTATTATTCTACTAAATTAAGATATCATATTTTTATTTTACTTTTTTATAATTTTATAATATTTTTAATACAAATTTTAACATAATGATAGATTTCATCTTAGTCTCCTAGCCATCCAATCATTAATCAAATCATATGAAAAAAAATTATTACCTACATAAAATTTTCAATGATGGATTTGATGTTTAAATCAATTAATTCATATAATTATTTTAAAAAATTGACATATAATAAATTTATAATTCAAATCTTAACATTTATATATTTTTATTTTTAAATAAAGACATCTTTTATATATATATATATATATATATATATATATAAAGCCTTCAATGGTGTGGTTGCATGAAGAAATTTGTTTTATTATTTTTCGTTAAATAAGTGAGTACTAATTTTTTTTTAAATAAAAGTTTCACAAACAAATTTGGATAATTATGACTTGTAATTAAGTGAATTATAAAATCGATTTATGTAGAAGATTATAAACAATTACTAATTAGTTTTTTTAAACGGTAAAAGATTTTTTTAGTTTCATTCAATAGATTATTTTTTTCTAATTGATTGAACTAGGTTTATTTACATCATATTTAATGAATTCATGAAAATTTATTTTTTCATAAAATTCGAAACTTAACTCAATTAACATATTAGTCACTCTAAGATATAAAATCTAATAAGTTTATAATTCAAGTTCTAGTACCTATAATCCATTTTCCTTATCCCAAGTTTCATCGCTATAGTCTTTTTTATAAAAAAAAAGTTAAAATAATAAAAAATTTATAAATTTTATTTAGATAAATCTCATATATTTTTATTATACTCAAATGAATTCTTAATATTTATTTTGCATCCACGTAAGCCCTTAACTTTTTTTTTAAACCTAAATAAGCCTTTAAAATTTAATTTATATTTAAATGAACTGTTATCATTTAAATTATAAATAAATCAGTTTTTAGTATAAATTAATCTTTTATTTGAAATAAAAATATATTTGGATATAAATCAAAAAATAAAAATTATTTGAGAATAATTAAAATAAAAAAATTTATCTAAATAAAATAGTAAAGTTCAAAGGCTCTATTAATTTTTTAATAAAAAATTTATTTTTTTATAGCCTATCAACTAATTGGAATTCAAAAAGGAGAAAAATAAACTTACTTTACCACTTGAATAACTTCAGTTGGCAATAAATAATTATTATTTTTATACCAAAAAAAAAAAAAAAACGACCCAAAAAAAAAAGGGCCACTGTGGCATTCAGATTTACGAGGTTTACTGGCGGTAAAATCCCCAAATAAAAAGAACCCTTTTTAATTTTTTATTTTTTTTTTATATTCTGTTTGCTTTCTCTTTAATCTTAACTTTGCTGAGTGGAATCTCGATCGACAGCGACTCCAACTTTCCCTTCTGCCAAAAATGGCGATGACAATTGAAGGTAATAATAATCTCTTATTTCTATATTATTTCTCTTTTTTTTTTCCTCTTCGATTCATCCTCGTTGTTTGCCCTGCCCATTCTTTTCAACTAACTGAAAATTTTAACGTTAAAAATTGGTCATTTTCTCAAACAATTTTGAAGGATGCTTTGAGTTTGAATATGATCTTGTAATTAAATAGGGTTATGAAATGAGCTTAAATTGTTGGGCCAAGATCTTCTTTCAAGGAGGGGTCTTGGTTTTTTTTGTGATCAATTGTTTGCAAATTTAATTTGTTTATTTGGCATTGTTTTGTGACTAATTTATTATTATTATTTTTGTTTCCTGGTGCATTTGCCGCTTGGGGTTTGTTGGATGAATCTTGTTAACTGCAGTGTAAGTTGTAATCTTTGTTTGCAATTCTTGGTTTTTATGAAGTTATAAGCGAAGTGGAATTTATTTATTATTTATTATTTTTGGAATATGCAGGCTTGCTGGGCTTGCTTTTATGTTTTCAGCTAGTATACTGTTGCAAATTCTGGTATGTTTTTCTATTCTGATTCAGCTGTAAGCCTATAGCCGGCGGTGGCACTGTATTCTTGTAAATATTATCTGAATAATGATTTATGTGTATTTTACAGTTTGGTATTTAGAATGCATGGCCATCAATACGCTGATGGGTTCTTGTTTTACTTTTTCCTTGTGACAGAAGCAGTGCTAGTGTTCAGATATGTAATTAGCAATATGTTTGAAGCTTTTTTAGGTCATGGTCTTTAAGTCTAAGCAATTCTAATTCACAGAACTTAAACATGCTTCAAACCATGTTATTATGCCATTCATATTGATCTGAGATGATATTCACTCATATCCTGTTAGTGTGCTTGATATCTTGAGAAGAGGAATTGTGATTCATGCTAAGAGACTTTGTCTGCTAAAATTTAGAAGTGGCAATGTCTTGAATTTGAGATTTTTGATTTCCTTTTAAGGTTAAACCGGAGAATTTTGGCAGAAAATATGGGCAAAAGAGCACAACTCTGTTGGATCAAGTTGTAATTGTCAAGTCTCGTGAATAAAGGAATGGTTGTTGGATTTGACCAATTTAGGTTAATTAAAGTCTATTAGGTTTAATTGCTTATGACTAAGGTTGTACAATGAGGTCAAGCACATTGAAGCTCATGGTCTTACACTTGCCTTGGTATACTTATTCTTATCTACTAAACTTATTTACTTGAACCATCATCTCTTGAAGGGAAGGTTGAGATGCTTTGGTTCTGAATGTCTTTAGTGATGGTATGAACCATTTGAGTGAAATCAAACTCCAGAATTTTTGGAGATGTAATATCAAGCTGTCCTTTTTTGTGCCAAAATGGATTTTATAGACCTAGTGGCTGTCTTCCAGTAGAAATTGCTTGTTATAACCTGATGAAAAATTTATTGTTGAAACAATCCTACGGGTCTTTATGGCTGCATATAGCAATTTAATTCCCAGAAGGATCTTTAGGTTCTGAATGTAATTAGTGCTAAAAGCTTAAATTTCTTCAAGATGAACTTGTCTATATTTAAGGTCATTTTGTTCCTTGGACTTGATGTCCTTAAGGGCATTGAAGTGACTAGTACTTTATTTAAGTGGCTCTCCTTACTACCTTCTCTTAATTGCTGTTATGGGGTTGATTTGCTTTCTGGTACCTCTACCAATTGGTCTCAGGTTGAAAAGGAAACAAACATTTTCAGGTAGTGGTTAGGGGATGTGGGTTTTCCCCCCCTGTTTCAAGGATTTGATATTAATCTGAAATTCTGATTTTTCCAAATAAAAGTGAATCTAGGATCAAGAAGTTGCTGGTTGCATTCATCCATCCATTGACTGATGCAACTGTTTGAAGAGCTTAAAGTACTTTTGCTTTCTTCTTAGGCTTGGATTGCAAACTAGTAAATTCACTCAAATTTTTAGTACATCAACTCCCAATAATCCATTGACTAATATTATAGTATTCTTTGTTAATTCTTGTGTCAGGCTTGTGCATTATACAATAACTGGTGGCCAATGCTTTCAGGTGAGACAGGCTATTACTAGTTGGTCATGCTAATTATGCATTGATTTGCATTTAAATTATTGATAATGTGAATCCACTATTATGAACAGCTCTCATGTATGTCCTGGTGCCAATGCCTTGTTTATTCTTTGGAGGTGGGTCGACTCAGTTTCTAATCAGCCGAGATGGTGGGGGGTGAGTACTTATAAATCAAAGTTTTTAAAAACTCTCTCTCTTAATTTTCCTGATGTATTTGAATAGCATAATGGTTTCTTGATTGAGGTCGCTGGTTTCATTGGGAATGTGATATGTGGACTCTTAATAAAATAGTTCCTGAATTTGCCACCTTGTTTTCTTTTTCACCTTTTCTGTTGAGCTTTCTTCCGGAAATTAGCAGGAAGTTCATTGTGTGAGAGACAGAGATAGAGAAATCCCCATGTATATCTTTTACTTTGTTTCTTGTGTAAAAATTTTATTTTCTTTTTGTTGATTTTGTTGCAGATGGATAGATGCTGCCAAATTTCTTACAGGGGCATCTGCGATGGGAAGCTTTGCAATTCCCATTATTCTTAGGCATGCTCACATGATTTCGACTGGTGCAATGTTCATTGAATTTACATCATTCGTCATATTTGTCTGCACCGTCTTGTGTTTTCACCGAGCTAGCCTTGAAGACGACTGGTAACAAATGCTCTTTGGAATTTCTAACGTAACTTACATACATCCTTCAGTGGGATCTCTGATAGTTGATTGCTTGTGCCATGTATGGTCCTTTGGCAAAGGAAAAGAAACAGAAAAGTTTCCATTTGTCAATCTGTCTTATCGTGTATCTTTGACAAAACAGTTGGTTTACCTTGTGCTTGACATGGTTCGCTGTTAGTATTAAAATTCCAAATCACAATTTTAGATGTCTCAACAACGTCAGGTGGGGGACAAGCTGATGAAATTGAAGTGATTAATTTGATTTTTTTTTTTTTTTGGTTATTTTGGTTTTAAAAGTTGGAATGGCAAGAGTGATGAATCAATTAGATGTGTGAATGGACATTGAAATTTTCCCATTCTGAACTCAAACTTTTGAGGCATAATTAAAATTTTTCTGACTTGCCATTGTCATTTTATTTCCACATTCTTTACTCAAACTCTTCAATTTCATGTCTTCAAATTCACTAAATTAATATGGAAGATCATTAGATGAGTCTACTCTGACAGAAAAAAAAAAAAAAAAACAAAAACAAAGGTAATAACGCGCGGCTGACCAAATAATAAATATGTTGTGGCTAGGGGTGTGCAGTCGGTTTAATTCGGTTTGAAAAAATCAATAATCGAATTAATCGATTTTATTTTATCAGTAACCGAACCGATCAACAAAATTTTAATTAATCGATTTAATCGAACCGATCAAAAATCGGTTTGATTCGGTTAATTCGATTAAATAACCGAATTTTTCATCATTTTTTCTCTTATTTTGAATAATTATTTAGCTACAAATTTAATATAATAAAACTCAAATTAACATATCATTCAAATTAAATCACTAAAGAATTTAATAATTTTTACAATATTTTACAATAAAAAAGACAAATAAATACTTATTTAAACTTATTTAATCAAAATAAATTAAATAATAAGTTTTAAAAAGTATTACTTTAACATATATCAAATAACCAACAAAGCCATCAATACATAATAATTGTCATTTCAACACATAAACAAGTTTTTAAAGATCAACAAGCCAACTTAAAAAAGCAAATCAAGCAAATATGCATCTCATAACTTTGGTGTAAAACATAAAAGACATTTTAAGTTGACAAATTGAGTTAACAACTCATACAAAATATAAAACAAGACAAGAACACTCAAAGTTGACAAATGGATATAAAAGTTCATAAAAAAACATAAAACAAGCTAATTAAAAGACATTCCAAGTTCTAACAGCATTCTTCATACATGAACCCCATAACTTTGATGCACATCTTTCATTTTTTCCTAAAATGTTAAAGAGATTAAAACCTTAATTAGTTGTCAATGAATACAATAAATATTTTTTAAATGTAAATATTCATAGAAATTAATAATGAAATTACCTCAAAAGGTCCATGCACCTTTGTTTTAATCAATTACTGGATCTAAGGCAATTTTTGACAAATCTAAAAATATATAAACAAAAAATAACAAAAGTAAGCTTTAAACAAATAAAAAAATAAAAAATAATAATCCTTAAAAAATAAATGATAGTATAAATAAAATATTACCTAAATCCATTTTGTCAAGCTGTATCAAATCATCTTCAGGTTGAAATGAATCAATATTAGAAGATCTACGTAACCAATCTTGAGCACAAATAAGGGCTTGCACAATTTTAGGAGTTAAAGAGCTCCTATATGCATCAAGCACACGACCACCAGTGCTAAAAGCAGATTCGAAAGCAACTGTGGATATAGGAATTGCTAACACATCACGAGCTAGATGGGAAAGGATAGGAAACCTATGGCTATTAAGTTTCCACCAAATTAAAACATCAAAGTCATCACTATCATCATCATCAGGCTCCTCACTCAAATATTTAGTCAATTCTGATTTATGTTCATCTTTGCCATGTTCAATCCTATACCTCTTGTACTTGGACTTAAAGCTTTCCTTTTTTTTTGTCGTTCCATTTCCACTTTCATCATCGGTGGGCTGTGACATTTGGCTCACTTGACTACTTTCACCAACTTGCTCAGACTGAGGTTCTAACATTTTTTTGTATTCATTAAATAAGTCCTTTATTGCTTGTTGTACTTTTTTAATCATCAATGAAGCTTCATCAGAAGAATACATTTTCATGAAGCAATATTCAACAAAAGGAAACTTTTTTGAAGGATCAAGAAGAGAAGCAATATAAACCAACATATTCATTTTCTCTATATTTCCCCAATACTTATCATATTTATCCTTCATTCTCTTTGCCATTGCATTCAACTCAACATCAGGATTTAATTGTCATTCTCGCAAAGTGGAATAAACATCACATATATCATCAATAAAAGTATTAGATGTGACGTAAGAAGTACCTGAAACTTTCACGGTGAGATCATAAAATTATTGCAAGAAAAGGCAAAACTTCCTAACAATTGCCCAATCATTTTAATCGGGTACCCCATCTCCCATCAAAAGCTCACTTCTATAATAAGGATCAACATCATCAAATGCATCAAATGCCCTTTCAAACTTTTGAGCTGCATCCAACATCAAATAAGTAGAATTCCATCTAGTGCTAACATCCAAACACAATAAACTTTTACTTTGAATATGTTCATTCACAATACACTCTTTAAACTTAGCTAACCTGGAAGGTGATTGTCTCACATATCTTATTGCCCCTCTAACACGAGCAATTGTTTCATTCATTTCCTTCAATCCATCACAAACAATAAGATTAACAATATGTGCAATGCATTTCAAATGAAGATATTTGCCTCCCAAAATACTAGTTTCAGCATTGTTAAATTTTTTCCTCAAATATGCAATTGCAACATCATTAGAACTAGCATTATCAACTGTAACAGTAAAAATCTTATCAATCCCCCAATCACGCAAACATTTTTCAACCGCCTTACCAATAGCTTCACCTTTGTGACTAGAAATGGGACAAAAATTTAATATCTTTTTGTTTAGTTTTCAATCTTTGTCTATGAAATGAGCCGTAAGACACATATAATTGACCCTTTGTAATAAGGTCTATGTATCAGTGGTAAGAGATACTCTTGTAAAAGATGATTTCATGATTTGCTTCAAATGAGTCTTTTCATCAATATAAAGCTTATAGCAATCCTTAGCAACTGTCCATCATGATGGTACACGAAATCTAAGACATGCAACTGTCATGCAATGCCTAAATCCTTCCGACTCCACAAATCTAAATGGCAACTCATTCAGAATGATCATTTTAGCTACAGCTTTTCTAACAGCATCTTGATTAAATTTTCAAGTGCATAAAGATTCCACTCCTCCTGATGGCAACACCAATTTTGTTTGAGTACCATCATCCCCACTAACACGAGGAACCTTTTTACAAGAATTTATGTGATTCTTTAAAGCGGTGGTTCCATTCTTTTTAGGATCAGCAAAAAATTCTCTGTCACAATAATTACACCTAGCTTTATGATTACCTTCCTCATTAACAAATTTAGTAAAGTGGTCCCATACCTCTGACCATGACTTAGATGCTCGTCTCATCACTTTAGAATTTGCAGTTGCACTTTTTGTTACCTCATCATATGCAGGAAGTTGAGAGGCCAATTGCGTTTGATTAGTTGTAGAATCCAAAATCATATCATTCACTTCATTTGACATCTTAAAAAAAAAAAAAGCAAGTGATCAAATTATATCCAAACAATAAAAAATAAATAATTAAATTATATTAAAATAATAAATAAAAATAAAATTATATTCAAATAATGAAAAAATAATAAAGTAATATTCACACAATTATTGAACACATTGGATATTCAAATAATGAAATAGTTTGTTAATCAAACTATATATTAGTTGCTTATTTTATCAACAAACAATATAAGTGTCTAGCATAGTTTAGGCTATTTTTATTTTAACTTTTAATTTAAGTATCTAGCATAATTTAGATTAATTAGTTGCTAGATCTAGTAAGAAAGTTAAAACTTAAAAGTGCTAGATCTCTGACAATAGATTTCTTTAAATTCTTTATTCCCAAATAGTTGTGTTTTAAATTTATTTCTCTATGTATACATCCAGTATTTACACACTCTACTTCAAGGTATAAATCACTTAATCTATTTCTGTCTTTCGCTTGTGAGTTGTGGGACCATTCTTGAATCATCTTAGTCTACATCATTACCATGTTGCCATACCATCAGTCATCCCTAAATTACCAAAAGAAAGCAACAAAATCTGCATTTATTAAAGCTGCATCTCATTTCATAACCAAATGATCTCATCAATCCTTTGATTTCATTTCTTCTCATTCATTCCAAGTGTGTTCTTCACACTTTTCACAGCACCCTGAGCCATGCCCTTCATTTGCTCTCCAGTCTGCAACAGTACAAATTCCTATTTCATTAGTTTCCTAACCAAAGCTCAAAATAACGTAAACTTTATCAATTGTCTTTTTAATGTACCTTAAAATGATGTATTATTATTATTGAAAAGCAAAAGAATTGATGAAAGGGAATGACAGATAAAGAAAAAACCTGCTGAAGGAAACCAGTAGTCTGCTGCAAGAAATCAGTAATCTGCTGCAGGAAACCAGCAATCTGCTGCAGGAAACCAGTAGTTTGCTGCAGGAAACTAGTAATCTATTGCAGGAAACCAGCAGACGTAGGAAACCAGCAGTCTGCTGCAGGAAACCAGTAGTCTGCTGTTGTCTTTGCTGAGCAGACTCTTGAGCTGATTGAGTAGCATTTGTTGCCTGGTCTCTAGCTGTATTTGCAGTATCCTTATAATTGCAGAGCTTGAATTCTGCTTGGGGAATAGACTTAACTAAATCAGCAGATAAAATTCATCAATCTGAGAAAGGTGTGTTTCACCACACATTAATTGGTTTTCCCAGTCGGCCTCCATGCTAGAAAATAGCATTTTCTTTTACTTTTTCTTGAGTCCACTGTCCACATCGTCTTAGTCCGAATAGTTGTTGCTTTCTTTTGGTAATTTAGCAAAGCAAGTCGAAACTGGTAGAAACTGTTATTAAAAATCTTGCTCTTTTCATTTTTATAAGTTAAAGTGCTTTCCTCAACTAAAAGGAATATTTTCACAACTTGCTACAGATACTGTAAATCCAATGTGGGGCATGGAAGGTTTTGACTTTTGATCCTTTTGTTCCAAAACCTAGTCAATCAACTGGAGGAGTAAACAAGCCACTGAAAGTCCTAGACCTATTCCTTCCAGGCTAGAGATAGTGTCCATCTATCGAATCACTCTAAACAAGTAAACAACAAAAGCTACTGAAAAATACCAGCAAAAAAAACATTACCGTGAGCACACTTTGGGGCTGAGGTTTGGCTGTTTGGGTTATGCTTTAGCTTAAAACATACAGGAAAAATACAGCTCTAAACATCACGCTAAAAGAAAAAATAAAGGTTATTAAGATTTAAGAACTTACGATGGCGTCTTGGGCAGATTGATCTCTATAACTGTGGATCTTGTGTAGCAAATTAGAGGGAGCAAGAGATTATGAGGCAAGTAGCCAAGCAAGAGAGTAAGAGGGAGGCAAAGATGCAGAAGATTGAAGGAGAGCAAACTGCAAAGGGCAGAACACAATAAGCTGCAACAAAGGAAGAGCAAAGAGCAGAAAGGAGAAACGGCTGGGTGGACTGGATGAGTTATAAAAAAGGGAAGTTAAATTTAGGTTTTTTTAAAGAGAATTTACATATTTATCCTTAGTTATTATAAGATCGGTTAATTCGGTTAATTCGATTATCAATTTTAAAAATCGATAACCAACCGATTTAACTAATTTAACCGATCTTAAAACCGATTATAATCGAAAACCGATTAAATCGAACCGAAATGATCATATTTCATAATTTCGATCGATTAAATCGGTTAAAACCGATATATGCTCACCCCTAGTTGTGGCCATTGTTTAATGAACAATAATCCATTCCGAGTTTATTTTGCACCACACAATTATTAACATAGAAGGAGATTTTGAGTATGAGTCCCTGCCACACAACGATTAAATTTTAAGCCGACATAATCGCCACTGATCTGTTCTTGTTTTGATTTTTTAATCAAAATAAGTAAATATGCTTTTCGCAATAAAAATTCATATTTTATTTTTTTAAGTAAAAAATTAAGTAATGAAAGATTGTCCCATTTTACGACATGAGATGTCATACTACATTTTATTAATAAATTACATATTAAAAAGGACTTTAGGGTAAATTGACTATAAATTTTGTAGAAGTTGAATATTTACATTGAAATTATAAATCACTTACTAATGAAAACATTACAGTTGGACGGTTGGAAATGAGAACCATTGGGGTAGTGAGGATGGAATATAAAGGAGAAGAATTTGATATATAAAAAATAAAATCAATAAATTAAAATTTTTTGTTATATAAATTAAATATATAAAATTTTAATAAATTTTAACATATTTTAAAATAAATATTTTAATAAAATTTTTATTATTTAATAAATTCAATTAAATTTAAATTATAAATAATATTTTAATTACCTTTAAAATAATATTTTTAATTACTTTTTATATATTATTAATTTTTATATTAAAATTTATCTTTAATTAAAATTTTTATTAAATTATTTAAAAAACTTTTACAAATTTCACTTAAAAATTTTATATAAATTTTGTCGAAATCTAAATAAATTTACGATCCACATGCTAACGAGGACTGTTGGAATAAGAAGAATCAAATTTAAATTTTATAAGAGAAAACAACTCGATCAACTTTCATTGATCACATTTTAATTTTTCATGTATATATATATATATAATTTCATAAACATCGAGCTTAAAATATTCCATGATCAAGTACAAAATAAAAATACAGCATATCATCTTCCACTTGACCGTCCAACTGCACTTGAATTTAGAAGAACAAAATCCCCCATTTTAATCAGGAAATATTAAAGGCGCTCCCAAAAGCCCAATAATTAAAAACTTTTAACAATTAATCAAGAAACCCAGTTTTACACCAAATTGCATTTCTGACCTGCCTAAGATCCCTTCCTTTCAAAGTCCTCCCTACTCCTTCAAGCACCAAGAAAGTCGTCTTCGGCGACACTCCAGAACCTTTGGCGACGATTTCATGCGGAGGCAATATCTCCTGCTCTCCCTCCTCATCGTAACAATCAACTTCTAGGAACTTCTTATTCCTTTCCCTCGCCACCGCCATCGACAGCAGAGGCACGTTCACCGGTGCCGACTGTTGCTGCTGGAACTTACTAGAGTATTCTTTTTCCTGTGGTGTCGGCCGAGGAATCGTTGCTCCTACCTTGACGGTTGATGACGAGGAAGGAATTATCGGTTTTCGGTAAAGCATTTGACAGTGGCTTGGTTCCGGCAATGCAGCGAGGATTCCGGAACTCTGCGAAAAAGACAGGCGGCGGTTATGGTAATTGGTTGTGGCGGTGGAAGGTGGCTGGCGGTGGTCCAGAAAATATCGTCCTCCGTGAGTTCGTCACCGTCGTTGGCTGTGGTAGGGGATGGGGACGTCACACCAAGGAAGCGGTCCATTGTTGTAGGATCAGCGAACCATTTGAGAAAAATAAGGCGGAGAATGGAGGAACGAGGAGGAAAAAAAATGGAGAGTGGTATTTTCGGCTTGGGCTCTGGTTGGGATTAAGTGGGAGTAGGGCCCATTGAGTCGTTTTCAACTGGTGACGATGCCGATGGTATTTTTTTTTGGACCCACCTGGCTAAACAACTAATTATCATGGCCTTATCTAGGAACCTCGGTGAAAGGTGGCTATCGTCTACGGTTGGGTCCTTGTGGTCCACTTCTTCTTGCCACTCACTTTGCGCCGCGTCATTCATATTCGTTTTTATTTTTATTTGGATAACTAGTAAAATAACTAAAAAAAAACCAACAGTTATCTAGTTTGATGCCAGAGTATCAAAATTTTAATCTGATAATCAGAGTTTTTTTTTTTAAAGGAATTTGTTAATTTCCAATAATTTTAATTATAAAAAAGAACTAAACTCCCTTTATTTATTTTTTACTTTATCTTTTACAAAAATAAAAAATAGCAAAATCTTATTCCACAAAAAAAAAAAAAACAACCTCAAATGAGAATGGTTTGCACGTGTCACTTGATAGTCCGAACCTTTGGTCTCGAGCCAGGCTCTCAGATAGCGCGTTGAGTGTTGACGGAGAACTCGAGAGTCCCTTTGGCTTCCCGCATATCAATTCAATCTCAGCCCATCAACCACTCTTCCCATCAAAAAAGAAGAAGAAAAAAAAAACTACTCACCTCTGCATTTACCGGGCTCCACAATTCCGGAATAAACCATGATTACTTCGGTAATTACAACTCTGCCACTACCTACTTTCTTTTTTTCTTTGATTTTCGCGTTTTCAGTTATTGTTATTAATCCTTTTCATTTTTCTGGTTGGTTGTGGTAAAAAATGAAAAAATGGAGCAGCAAAGAAGCTTAACTGGGTCGTCGCAGAGCCCTAGATCTCCACCGTCACAGCCGTATCTATCAGTTTCCGTTATGGATCCCGTCAAATTAGGCAATGGCGTCCAAGCTTACATATCCTATCGCGTCATCACCAAGGTAATCGTTGCTAATTATTAAAATATTTTGTTCTTTATTTCTTTTTATTTTTTAATACTCGAATCAAAGTTTTGGATTTTTTGGCGGAAATTTCACTGTTTGAGCAGACCAATTTCCCGGAATACCAAGGCCCGGAAAAGATTGTTATTAGGCGTTACAGTGACTTTGTTTGGCTACGTGATCGCCTTTTTGAGAAGTACAAAGGCTTTTTCATTCCTCCCCTTCCTGAGAAGAGTGCTGTAGGTAAAGAAATTCAACGTTTTTGGCCTTCGTTTTGATTGTTTTCTAGCATTAAGTTAATGATCAATGCTTTTTCATTGTAATTTTGCTTCTTTTTGATTAATTGTTATGTGTCTTGTGATTAAATCTCTGAGCTTGTCTATGAACTACGAAGTAATATAAGTTTTCGCTGTTGCTGTTGCAGAGAAATTTCGATTTAGTGCTGAATTTATTGAGATGAGACGTCAAGCATTGGATGTATTTGTTAATCGGATTGCTTCACACAGTGAGCTTCAACAGAGTGAAGATCTTAGAACCTTTTTGCAGGCAGATGAAGAGGTGATGTATTTAGGGTTTGTTGCGTTGAATGGTTCGATTTAGGTTTTTTTTCTGTGCGTGTTCAAATGATAATCATTAGATCATCCGATATGATTTTTTCCAATGTTGAGTATTATAGCTAATTGTGTCTTTGCATTTAAGGTGCATAAACTCATTTTTAAATATAGAGATGTAGACTATTGTTCTAAAGTTTGATGAGTAGAAGGAAAGTTTTATAGTTATAATACAAATTGTCTCTATAAATTATACATTTTTAACAACTTCTTTGAAGGGGGGTAAGCAATTTGTTCTCTTCATTATAATGTTGAGCTCTTTGATTCCTTTAGAAACTATTGATTATGGCACCCTTTACATTTCTAAATGCACTGTTATCAAAGAGAGCATCACTATTGCTCCCATCCAGGACAGTGCCAGTATTAGTGATTCTTCTGGTAATATATGTTGATGAGGAAGCATTATGATTTTAGTTACTTGAGTAAGCAGTAAGTACCTGTCACCTGTTCATGCTGGAAATTGTCATGCTTACTAACGTAAATTATTTTGTTCTCTGGACAATTGCTGACTAATTTCTGACCATTTTGATGTTCCTATTTTCTGTATTTATGCTTTTTTTAGAATAAAAATTTGATGTTAACTTTGTTGCTACTTTTTAGACAATGGAGAGACTGAGATCTCTAGAGACTGGTATTTTTAAGAAGAAGCCAGCTGATTTGATGCAAATGTTCAAGGTAAATAAGTTCTTCATGACTTTATAATGAGTTAGGATGTCAGTGGAATGACTGTATGGTAGACAGATGTAAATAAAATGTCTACTGACTAATGGGATGTCCAAAGACTTTAATTTGAACATTTCTTATCTGGTAGATAATTTGATTGGTGAATAAGTATAAACAAAAATTCTTGCCATAATGATAAATTCATTTTACAAATTTAACCTCGTTATTTGAGCCACACTTCAAGTTGAGAAGACTTCTAACAGAACTTATAAATCTGTCATATATAATTTGTTGCTTCTTTTCTGAAGCTCACAGGGAACTCTCTACTTGCTTTCTCTAATACCTTGGTGTCCCTTTTTTACTGCTTTAATGTATAATATTTTATGTTTCATTCAATTGAAGTAGTTTCTCAGGCTTGAATCTGACATGTTTATAATATTTAAATTCTTATGTTATTTAACATTAACTTGTCTAGAAATTTACCAGGATGTACAGTCTAAGGTGAGCGATGTTGTTCTTGGAAAGGAAAAACCTGTTGAAGAATCAAATCCTGAATATGAGAAGCTTAAACACTATGTTTTTGAGCTTGAAAATCATTTGGCTGAAGCCCAGAAGCATGCATATCGTCTTGTTAAGAGACACAGAGGTAATTAGGATTTTTGACCCCTGAACACTTTATATCTTTCTCAAGTGTTTATCTCCTATTGGTTTGAATAAAAATTGAACAAATTTTTTTTTTTTTTTTTTTGTTTCTGGTATATTCTCAGAGTTGGGGCAATCTCTATCAGATTTTGGGAAGGCTGCCAAGCTTCTTGGTGCTTGTGAAGGCCAAGCTGTTGGGAAAGCATTTTCGGAAATTGGGGCTAAATCTGAGACACTGGCAGCTAAGCTACAGAAGGAGGTAGGCTAGCTTTTATGGGTGAGCCTTAAGTTTGGTAGTTTGTCTTGCAGCCCTGAGGGCATATGTAAATGTGGCCTGATATATGATGCCCAAACTTTTCCATATTAAGGTATGTAGGTAACACCACATTTTCACAATCTTTGATGGCTACAGGCCCATCAACTCTTGATGAACTTTGAAGAACCCTTGAAAGATTATGTTCGTGCTGTCCAGTCCATAAAGGTGAGTTGGGCTGCTGTCTTGTGCAATGTTTGATGACCAACATAATTTGATTGCAAGCGAAGCATTCCTTGAAAAAATTGCAAGCATAGCTTTCCTTGAAGAAATTATTGAAGCGCTATTTTTTTATGTACAGTACTGAATATAGTTAACTGGGAAAGTACAATTTTATAGCTGATCCTCTGGCATTTGTGTTGCATAATAGGCCACAATAGGAGAGAGAGCTAATGCTTTCAGGCAACAGTGTGAACTGGCTGAAACAATGAAGTTGAAGGAGATAAATCTGTATGCTTCTGATCATCCGTATTTGATGCCTTTTTTCCTCTTTCTATTTTTTCTATCTAGTGTTGCTATTAGCAGTGGCCTCTTTACATAATACTTTGATATGGCAAACAAGCTGCTCAGTCTGACGATCTTTATTAGTTTTATTTCTTAATTAGGTTTGTAATTTGAGCATATCTATTGTTTGCAGTGACAAGCTCATGCTAACACGCTCTGAGAGGGTGCGAGAAGCTGAGCATGAGTACAAGGAGGCAAGTCATTTTATCGAAGCTTTCACTAACATATTCCTATTCAGGCCATATGCTTTTGCCTCTGCTAACATAAGTTTGTGGTTGCAGTTGAAGGAAGAGAGTGAGGAGGCGACAAGAAGATTTGAGACTATTGTGCGACTGATGAGTGAAGAGATTGTACGATTTCAGGAACAGAAAACACAAGATATGGGGATTGCTTTTCATGAATTTGCAAGAGGACAGGCTCGAATGGCAAATAATATCGCCGATGCCTGGCGAAGTCTCCTTCCTAAGCTAGAAGCTTGCTCTGCTTAATGAATGAAGGACTAGTAATCATCATCAAACTTATTGCTCACCTTGGTGGTGCTTAGATTGGAGAAATGGCAGCGTAGTTCTTGCTATGTAAAAACTTGACCATCTGCCTCTGCCATTTTATGTTGTGCCAGTTATGGTTCTTTTCAACGCTTTGTCTCGGTTCTACTTGTACAAATTTTAAGACTGAGTGGCAAGTCGAGTCAATGGTCAACTGTTTTACCGATTAGAGCTGAGAAAAACAAAAAAAAAAGAAAATCTTTCACGTGTATTTCATCCTTCGGTTCATAGTTACAGTTAGACTTACAGTGCAACTGGAAAGTAGTAGTCGAATTCAGGTTCCGTGATTCTCGTTTTCAACTTTTTCTGATACGGAACTGGATTTCTTTTCATTGTGGACGAGGTTGTGCCGATAAGAGTGCTGGAGTATTGTTTTTTTTTTTTTTTTTACATCTATATGTTTGGACGCCGATTATACTAACAGAGCTGGAATAGCTCAGTTGGTTAGAGCGTGTGGCTGTTAACCACAAGGTCGGAGGTTCGAGCCCTCTTTCTAGCGATAAATTTTTCCTGATTTCTTTCTCTTGGGTGTAAAAATAATAATAAAAAAATCATTCGGTAATCAGCGCATTTCATTGCATTGGCGGCGATTGACCTAATTTAGGTTTTTGCTTTTCTTTTGTTTGTTAAAATAATAATAAAAAAATTCTTCAGAAATCGGCGATTTCATTGGCGGCGATTGACCAATTTTCAGGCCACAAGGTCGGAGGTTCGAGCCTTTCTTCTAGCGATAAATTTTTCCCGATTTCTTACTCTTGGGTGTAAAAATAATAATAAAAAAATCATTCGGTAATGAGCGCATTTCATTGCATTGGCGGCGATTGACCTAATTTAGGTGTTTGCTTTTCTTTTGTTTGTTAAAATAATAATAAAAAAATTCTTCAGAAATCGGCGATTGACCAATTTTCAGTTTTGCTGGTTGTACTTGCCCCTTACGTAGAAATGCAGAATTAGTCCTGCTTTCCCGCATGGTCAAAATAATACAAAGGCAGAATAAGCTCCTTAACTTTCAAATAATGAATGATGAGTTGGGTGTTGACTTTCCTACCGCTGAATGTTTCTGCCATGGATGTTTCCGTCCACTTTCCTTCACTAATATATAGAATATTCATCTTTTTGTATAAATACAGATTTCCTTGGGTCAAAGCAGCCGCAATTTCTGTTACAAACCACACAAACTGCCAAAATCCAGGGCAGACAGAAAGCTAACCAAAATCACCAAAATAAAATACAATAATTCAAGTGTTGGCTGGTGTTTGTGGGACTGATATAATAAATAGCTCTGAATACCATTATAGAATCTGTTTTGGTTCATTTTCAGAAATTGATCGTTCTGAATCAGAATTATTAGGCGGCTACCAAGAAGCCTCTGCCCGGCATGCAATTATTCCTAGTTCAAAACATTAACATATCAGGTAAAAATTGCTATGGTACATTTTAACATCGGGTCACGACATGTTGCTCTGAAAGTATCAAGATATGAATCAACAACCAAAAGGTTTTGGGGCCAAATTGATTTGACTTCAGGGGTGTCTTTAATAATAGAAACAGATTTGAAAGATACGCTAAAACAGAAGGGTCCAACTTCGTGCTTTAAGATGGCGTCTTTAAAATTCCAATTCCCGCAAAGTTACCTCTTCTATCAGAGTATCTGATTCTTGTCTTTGTTTCTGTAACAGTGGTCCAACAGTCTCTGCCAAGGAGCTAATCTGCCACTTCCATTACCTCTGAAGGTTTGTCTTTAGAATTCTTGTTACCTTAAGTTTTTGACTGGTAAATGTTAATTGGAAGTTTTTTTTTTTTTAAATGTTGCACGACAGATTATTTCAACAATTATTATACGTGGCATAAACCGAGAAGCATGTCTGTTGTTTTAAATATCGTTAACAACTCGAGGTAAATGTTTTTTTTTTTTTTTTTAATTTTTATTTACAAAGAAGTACCTCTCACAATCTTAAAGCTCTAGGTCTAGCTATTGTTAACATGTCTTCTTGCATAAGTCAGTCGACTTCAATAGAAGAAACATGATCACGTGGTTAGACTCGTCCCTTTCATAGGCCCAATCAGCTATATAATCCGCACAAAAATCCCCTCTATGGATATGATGAATTCTGCAATCTCAGTTTCTGTTAATCAACTGTTGGCATTGGTAAATAACATGGTATAGCGGGTCAATCTTGATCACATTACCATGAGTCAGATTCATTAGTCTCTGAAAACCTCGATCCCATGCTAAGTCAGTCCCATGTAAAGGGTATATGGTTCTGCTCTAAGAATCGATCCCTCGTATCAATTTTTTTGGCGAAGCCAAACACCTAGTACCCATTACAATCCCTTGCAATACCTCCTATAGCCAACTCTCCTAGATTTGAAGATGTAGCACCATCCACATTAATTTAATAAAAGCAGCTGGGAGAGTTCCAAGCAATAAGAAAAATCTGTTTAAAAGTAGTAAAACTTTGAGAATCACAAAAACTAAGAAACTCCCTAGCTCTGGCCAAAACAATATTAGCAGCACAATTTGGCCAAGAAAATCCCTTTTCAAAACAACATTTGTTTCTCCATTTCCAAACATACCAACAACCAAAAGCAAACATAACAGACCAAAGTAACTCCTCAACTAAAACATTCTTTCTGATAAAATTAAACTTAATCCAATCTTGCAAAGTCAAAGAATTAAAGTGATCCAAGGTCGAATCTCGAAGCCAACAAGACCACAACATACTTGAATCTCTGCAATCCCTTAGCATATGTAAAGCCGATTCAACTGGATTTTCACATCTAGGACACATAGTTGAATTAGAAATTACTTTAGTCACACAAGCCTCTCTTGTAAGTATTCTGTTATGCATCACTAACCAAATAAAGAACTTGATTCGAGGTAGCAAATCCAACCCCCAAATCTTCATCCATCAATTTTTGTCCAAAGAAATAACTTTTGTTCGGAATTTTGACTTGCACAATTAAGACCCGTTTAAACTTTTTAATTAGATCTTAATAGGAGCCCAAAATCAATTTTAAGAGTACAATTTAAATTAAAACTTTCGTTAATTAAATAAATAATACAAAAAAGTAACAAAAAAACAAAGTTTGTCAGACAGCCTATTCACACTATTTTTCTTCCCTCCCTGCTGCTTCCTAGAATGATCTCAGAGTCTTATAAAAACCAAACAAATGAATCAAACAAGGGGGAGGCGAATTTTGAGGCTAATTCTTTGAAAACAAAGAAAAAAAAAAAAAAGCCCATGGCCGCACCCTTGTAAACCACTAGAAGCCCCACCACACAGCTTCCACCATCAACCTGCACTGCCAAATCTCCAAAAATCAACAATTTCTCAAACAAAAATTCCCTTGCTTTTTACCAAAAATCAAAACAAACAAAAAAACACAGCCCTCACCAATCGGAGAGGAACCCAGAAGAAGCAATAAAAAAAATCAATCAAAAAATTTTGGTGAACCGTTTGGGGGTGAACGGTTGAAGCCAAAAAAAAACAAAAAGAGAGACCCGTTTGGCGTGGAAGGGAAGGAGGAAAAAGGAAGGAGGGGAAGGAAGACGAGCAGAAGAAGACGAAGGAGAAAGGTAGAAAAGTAAAAATGGGAAAGAGACTTTGACCCAAAAAAGAAAAAAGAAAAGGGAATGTGTTAGAAAGTCAAAAGGGAAGGTTAAAACGTGAGATTGGGAATCGGTCATTAGGGAAAAAGGGGCATAAGAAGCTGCATTTGTGGACCTAACTGAAGCCTATTCCATTATAAGCCCAGTCCAAGAATTTTGGATTTAAGGCCCATAAATTTGTTTGGTATGTTTTCTTATCTTTTGTTTTGATTTATTATATTATTTGTTTTAATATTTTTTATGTTTTAATAATTTTTTTCACCACTAAATATCTTTGAAAATAAATTTGATGTGGATAGTTGACATCTTTAGTACTATAAAAAATTATTAAATAATAATAAAACAAAATAAATAAAATAATAATAATAATAATAATAAATTAGAGAAAGGAAAATTTTATTTTATGGTTATATTTTAAAGTAATTTAAATAGTGATATCTAATAAATCTCTAAATGAAATTTTTTTTTTCAAATACTACAAGCATATTGGAATATTTATATAAAATTTTCAATATAATAAATTTTTTTATAAAATAAAAAAATTAACTAAAAAATTATTAATAAAATAATAAAAAATGAGAAAAAAATTTTATCCAATAATAAAATTTTATGGTATTTCAAATAGTGAAACCAATAAAATCTCTTGATAAAAAAATTTTCTTAAATACTATCAGTATATTGAAATATTTATAAAAATAAAGATTTTTTTTCTTTAAAAAATGCAATAAATAAAAAAATAATTTTTTGAAAGAAAAATAAAATATATGTATCAACATTTTGTTATTTGCATTACACGCATATCTTTTTTTTTTATAAATAAATACGAGCCTTCGAGGATGAGATTTATAAAATATCTGGCTAGTGAGTTTTAATAAATTCCTATATGAAATTTTTTTAAAAAATATTACTAGTATATTAAAATACATTTTGAAACTTTTCAATAACAAAATTGTAATTTATTTTTCTCGAATAAATAATAAAAAATAAAATTATGATGAATAAAATAAATCAAAGAAATTATTGATAAATACCAAATTTAATATCATTTTTGTCAATATTCAAAAGACAATATATAATTAATTAATATCATTTTAAATGGATGCTGTATGGGTGTTAATCTTTCTCCACACGTAATCGACTATCGAAACTAAATTATTTTGTAGATCTTATAATTATTTTTTACATAAATTTAAATTAATTTTAAAATTTTATTAAAAAATTAAAATTTAATAGATAATTAATCACATCTAATTAAAAAAAATTAATGACAACTTTTTTTTATTTTTAAATTTATCTAACGATATCAAAACTATTGTGATAAACATTGGTTTGATTATCACCAAGCAACAACTTATAGGCAGAAGAAACATAAAATATAGCATATGAACTAGCTGACCAAATAAGTTGGTCTTCCTTATTTAGAGACAAGTAAAATAAAGTTAATTGCACGTTAACTTCATCCGAAATATCTCCAATTTTGATCCAATCCCAACCACCGTTGGGGTTCATGGAATCACTAACACAATGCGAATCATCCAATTCAGTTGTTAGTCAATTACATCTTGTCTTGAGAGATTGACTACCCAATCACTTATCACACCAAAAAGAAGTTAGGTTCCCATTGAAAACAAGTTTCCTGGAACTTTAAACCACCAACTCTATACTCCATAAAAGACTTTCCCAGATCTAAGAAGAATTCTGCTTCTTCATTGCCTGGAAAAAGGTTACACCTTTCAAGTACTTAGCATGTAACAGCCTAACCCATAAACCGCCGTCTCCTTCTGCCAATTTACAACCAAGCTTAGCTAGCAAAGCCCTATTCATATCCAAGATCTTTCGAATCCTCAAACCTCATCCCTTTTTGGACGATAAATTTTGACCTGTTTAATTAAAGTCACTTTCCTCACCCATCAAAACCACCGTACAAGAAAATTTTGTTCAGTGCATCAATTTCCTTAGCCACTGATACTAGGAGTTTTTCCGCTTGCATCGTATAATTAGCAATAGAATTGGTGACGGACTATATCAAAATTGCTCTGCTTGTTAAAGACAATTGCTTCACCTTCCAAGAACTAAGGCTGCATTTGGATTGAAACGGAGCTACGTTTACAATGAAAACATGTGCCAACTGCACTGCACAGTGCAAAGAAATGCATTTGGCTTACATGGATGGTGAGGTAAAAATGCATGTTGGTGCTGCAGCTCTAAAATTTAAATGGTGCTTCAAGCTCCAGTGAAAAAAAACTCACCACCAGTGAACCCTATCTTTCCAAATAAGCCCCAATTATCTTTTTATTTTTTTAGATTTTGATGTAGCAATAAAAATGTATTTAGTCTATTTTTGTCCATTTTTATTTTGATTTTTTTATTTAAAAGTTTTTGTCATTTCTTTTTATTTTTTTATTTTTAAATTTTATTTTGAATAAAAATAATTAATATTTTAATATAAAAATAATTATTATCAAAATTTAAAAAATCATTGTTATATATTATTATCAATTTTATTAATTTTTAAATATTTATTAATAAAATTATTATTTTAAATAAAACTAATTTTAGTAATCTTTAATTATTTATTAATTTTATAAATGTAAAATAATTTAAATTTTTTATTTTATATAAATTTTAGTATAATATTTTTATTGGTTATTTTCTATATTTACTATTTCTCATCTCTCCACCACTCTGCCACCATTACAATTATAGACAGACATATATTTGATCATTAATTTTAATTTTATTATTACAATAATTAATTTCATTATTACTGTTATTTTCATCATCATCAAAGTTAATCTCACTATCCATTCAAATACATCTTAAATTTATTTTTCACTTTTTTCCCTAATCCTCTATAATTTTGCCCGGAAGTCCTCAGTGCGTGGAAATCCAAGATAAGTTCCAAAATCCGAACAGTGCTGCATTCTAGCAATAGGGCCAAAGTCGACTATCAAGCGTCTTGAAACATTTGATGATGTAAAGAATTTTGATTTCCCAAAATTCAATTTTTGACCTAAAAAAGCACAAAATCTCTTTAAACAGTCACCACCATAATTGTACATTATTTAGTCAAGCTTTCCCAAGCAAATCATCACAAAGAAAACATGTGAGAGGTGAGGACCATCTTTGGATAGCGTAATCGGATTCCAACTTCTGTCACACACTGCTGTCTGCTATATGTAGTTCGCATAACTGGGAGGAAAATTTTTAACGGCCCGAAAGAGGGTTGGGTTGGATGATGAAGTGGCATGAAGGAAGATGCTAATTAGCTCATCTAAGAAAGTACACAAAATGACGTGGAACGGCTGTACGAACAATAAGTAATCAGAAGTACATTGCCACTAGTCACTGTTTTGTTTTAACAGTGTTCAAGTTTCCCCTTCGAAATTGAAACCGAGCATCGGCCATTGGTTCTATAGCCGATTCATAATTAGAAAATTTTTCTGAACTTTTATTAATCGGGGTTAAAACTCCAGAAATTAGAAATGTTAAAATAAAAATAACGCTTGATATTATTAGAAATGCTTTAAAAATATCATATTTATAAAATAAAAATATAAACGAACTCCTATGAATATAAAAAATAAATCAGATTAATTAATTTTACTCGAAATTTATTGTCAAAGTCATCCACAATTATTTGTTTAATCAAAACAACAATTTAATTTGATCGAATCGTGTAATTTCGTTTGTTTGCTACTGATTTGGCTTTTTGGAAGTGATTGATTGCAAAAATCCAACTTTCCATATGAACAGAGCATGAGGGGCATGCAAAATAAAAGAATAAGATTCCTAAAAACCCCTATTCCGTCATTAAAGTCCCCACACCCACGGCCAAAAAAAAAAATGCGAAAACTTTGGAAAAGCCTCCCAGCCATTTCTGTTTCTTTTCTTTAATGCATGCTTATATGCATTCTCCATTTCCATATAATGTAACTCCCCTTTAGCTTGTAATTTTTTTTTTCTTTTTTGGCTGCGATTACGCCACTTTCAGGCAGACTTGAGTGGCTGAACTGTTGTGGCTTGTTAAGCCCCCATTTTTACTTTCTTTGCTTGTACTTTCTTAGCACTTTACTGTCTTTTCATTTATATTTCAAGTGCTAAGCCCTTACATACACTTAAAGCCTTGTTCTTTTACATTTGAATGAATGGAATTTCAATTTTTGTTTTCAGTTTTGTTTCAGTTTGGTTTTCTTGTGTTTTTCTGCCATGTTTGCTTTGTTTTCATCTTATCTTGGCTCGAGAAGGATAACCCAAGCAAGTACCCATCTTGAGAAATCAGGCAAGGGGGAAAATTACATGATTTACATACTTCCAAATTGGTTGACAAGAAAGAAACATGTTCTATCAGTTGTTTGTTCTTTGAATAATCTGTAAAAAATTTAATAATACATTGCCATTGAGAAAAACTGTATGTGATATTGCCAACTCCATTGTCTTATTGTGAATGCATTGGTTTCTTCATGCAGAAACAATGATGTTATAGCTCTCGAACAAAATATAAGGTGAAGAACAAAATTGTACATCCAGTTACTTCCTCAGGGGCAGTTTTTATTCTATAAATTAATTGAATATGAAACTGAATTACTCCTTGCATTCTTTCATTGCTCATGAGATAAGCCAATAGATATCACTAGAAGGTCCCGAAACTTTAGTTCTGGGTTTCAAAGAAATGGAGAAACCAGCAGATTCAAAACAAACGCTTTTTGTCGGAGAAGATGAATATGATGCTGTTGTTGTGGGGTCTGGATATGGTGGTTCTGTTGCTGCATGTCGGTTGTCAATGGCAGGGGTCAAGGTATGCCTGGTTGAGAAGGGCCGAAAATGGGAAGCTAAGGATTTTCCAACGGACAGTTTCAAGATCATGTCAGCTGTGAGGATGGAGAGTCAGAACTTAGGTGTCAGCTTTGGCCCTAAGGATGCTTTATTTCAGGTCAGTCTTCCTTTCACACTATGGAGGATATTTTAATAGAAAGACTATGTATCTGTACTTAGGGAAGACAATCATTTTTCATTAGTATGGCATGAATTTGAAACCTGTTAAAGTCATATTTTGTTTTAACTATAGTATGAATAAAATTGTGATAATTTATCAATGACATCATAGGTTTATGAACAAAATGATTCACTGGCAGCGGCAGCTTGTGGACTTGGTGGGGGTTCACTAGTGAATGCAGGCGTAATGCTGCCAACACCAGTTCGTACTCGAAGAAATTCAAAATGGCCAAAGGAATGGGAATGGGACTGGGATAGTTGTGAAGCTTCAGCTGCTACCATGATGAGAATACAAAGTGTTCCCGTCCAGTTCCCCATCGCCAAAATTATGAAAGAAATAGATGTTGGGGTGTAGAAGAAATGGTTCAGGATTCAATGAAGCTAAGTATGAATTTTGATCTTGAAGAGTCCTCATCCAGATTACCAAAACATCAAAATGTGGATATCTGCATAGCCTGTGGAAATTGTCTAGCTGGGTGTCCTTATAACGCCAAGAATTCTACTGACAAAAATTATCTTGCATCAGCAATTCAGGCATAATCTCTTTAACTTGATACGTTGTTTTAAGTTGACAGGTTTATTTCTTTATTTCTCTAGTTGCATTTGTGTTAACTGTGAAATGCTTTCAGTTGCTTCTACGATTTCAAGCTGAAAAATTCAAATGCATACCAAAAGACAAGTGTAGGTCAGCTGGCCAATTTAAGAGGTTTTTACTATGATGATGATGATGATAGTCTGAATTCTTGTAACGGGTTGCTATTGAGAATACTTTGTTGTTTCGTATTTTATAAAAGCCTGTGACAGTAAACATCATGTCCAAATGGACCCATGTTCTCATGCATTCTGATAAAATTAGAACTTCTTGTGATGCAGGCAGGATGTATTGTTAAAACAGAGTGTGAAGTTCAGTATGTAGTTAAAAATCCATATGAAACAGGACATGAAGGTGGAGTTGGTGGAAAAAGAAGGTGGCTTGTTTTCTTAAATGAGATCGATTGTATAAAAGCTGATTTTGTGATCCTGTCAGGTATGAAGCAATAGTGAAATAATTTGATATACCTTCAATTTTTTTTTTTCCAAAACCTTATAGGAAGCTTCAATTTCATGCTCCACAGCGGGAGTCCTTGGCACAACTGCAATACTTTTCAAATCACAAATGAGAGGATTAAAACTCTCAGAGTCACTTGGGTCTGGATTCAGCTGTAATGGAAATACTGTTGCTTATCTTGCTGGGAGCAGTGGACCTTTGCATGCTTATGGACTAGATAAAAAGCAACTGTCGAAGACACCTATTCAAGCACGGCCTGGGCCATCCATCTCTTCATCTTACACTTCTTCATTGGGTTTCACAATCCAGGTTCAATATTTTGCTATGCCGAGAAACTTAACTTGTGTTGATTCCACATTAGAATTTAGCTCCTGCCATGGCACTGGCCCTTCTACCGTCTTACTGGCTTTCTATATGGAAAGAGAGAAAGAGAATCAGTTAAAAGAATACTGCAGGATGGTAGAATCATGTGGCCTGGATGGGCATTATTGGTTTCAATTCAACCATCTAAAAGTTGTGTCCTTCATCTACTATTACAATAAATTGTGTACTGGCCACATCATGATTCATATTCTTTTGACTTGTCCATTCACTGGTAGTTTCAAGTTGGGCAGGTTGATTAGTTTGTGTTAGCAACTCATATTGATTTTGTCAAGAAAAGAGTTGCTTACGCATATCTGTAATTTAGACTCTTCTGAAACCGCCTTTTCTTTCTTCTTTGTCTCTCATTTCATTCATTCATTGTCCTTTTTTTTTTTTTCAATGCAGAGTGCTGTACTTCCTACTGCTTATCCTTACATGTTGTTTAAAGGGATTGTAACATACGGATGGCCAACTGGTTACTGGTTCTTTGATGGCGTTATAGATAAGCTGAAACATCTCATAGGTTCTAAGTCGAGCCAAGCAATGGTGCTCGCTGCAATGGGACATGATAAGAGTGATGGGAAAATTATATTAGACAAGGAAACAGATAAAATTTGCTTCAGTCCACCCCATGACCCTTTGCTGGTGAGAAAAATTGAGGCCTTTCAAAAGATTACCAAGAAATTAGGTGGAATTCTCTTCATGTCCAATTACCGAAGCACATCAGTACATCTTCTAGGGGGGTGCAATGCATCATCAGATTTTTCGGATGGTGTTTGTAATCCAAATGGTCAGATTTTTGATGCAGAGGCTCCTGGTCTAGTACACCAGGGCCTCTATGTTTGTGATGCTTCTCTAATTCCGTGCTCTGTTGGTGTAAACCCATCCCTTACTATTGCAGCAGCCGCTGAGCATGTAAGTAAGCACCTTGTGAAGGATACTCTCAGTTATAAAAGTAAAAATTGTATAGATTTTGCTTCTAAAGTGGTTGACCAAAATCCATATACAGAAATACATAATAATTTAAAGAGCAGAGAGAAATCATATGTGTTTGTCAAAGAAATCATGAGGGGTTATGTAGGGGGTATGCCATGCACAGCTTTTCTCAGAATAAGGATAAACTTGCAGAATGAGAACAGCTGTGATGACAGGAATTCGGTTATGAGAAAATCCTGTTCAACTTTAAAGGGGAAAGTTGGAGGTTATGTTGTGCTCAGAGCCATTGAGAAGGATAAGTTGCATGTTATAGATGGGGAAATAGACATGTTTGAAGTAGATTACAAAACCCCTTACACACAATATATGCACTATCGCCTTCTCCTCGCTACTGCTTCTGGTCCAAGGTACAATAACGCATCCATTTGCTTTCCTTTTAATTCTCTCTTCTTTCTTTTGTTCTAAAAAATTTTGTAACATTAATTAAATGCAGATATATTTTTGAGGGAAAGAAGATAATGAATCCTTATCTTTTTGCACTATATTCTTGGAGGGAGACAACAACATTGTATGTGACATTCAAAAAGCTTGATGGCAACTTTACCGGGAAAGCAGGGTTGAACTTAAAAGGAGAGCTTAGAATTTCCACGATTGAATTGCTGAAAAGCATCGTTAGCCTTGAAGGAAACAGAAAAGGAAGATTTATTTATCTTTTCTCATTGAATCTCCTTAGAACTTATATTTTACAAATACCACAAGAAAGTCACAAAAAGTATACCCTGACGGATTCTTACAACAATTCTTATCCTGCGAGCACTTTCTATGAAATAAAAACAGGTATCCAGGAATCCAAACTCGACGTTAAAGATCCTTAGAATTTGCAACTGAATCTTGCTTGCAAGTGATGTGAATGAGGAAAAAGACTTTTTAACAGTGTCAGTTTTATATAAACAAAGGAAGAAAATATTTTGCACTGTAATTTGGAGAAGATTCAAAATTAATACACTGAATTCAGTATTTTTTGGTTGTTTGTTTTATTTTATTATTAACAGGTTATAAGTTCTAATTTTGATTACTTACTCTACATGATGCAGAAGATGGATATACCATCAGCTGTAGGCAGTGGAACTGTAGTCAAAGTGGATGGAAATTCAAGGAAGAAAAGCACCCGGTTCTTCTACTTAATGGACATTCCACTGAGAGTTTCTGTCTGCCAACAGAACCAAATGATTTGATCAGGACTTTACTGGCAGAAGGGCATGAAATATGGTTATTGCAACCAAGAGTTCATGTGTCGAATCCCTCAAACAACTTCACTATTGAAGATATTGGAAGATATGATATACCTGCTGGTAAAATTACAAAAAGCCGTAGATGAGATCAGATACTCATAGATCTAATTGATTTCTGAGTGATAACATTTTTCTTCTACTTTTCTTTGTAGTAATGGGCAAGATCTGTGAATTCCATGGTCCAAGCATGAAGGTGCATGTAGTTGCACACTGTGTTGGAGGCTTGTCCATTCACATAGCTCTCATGGGAGGGCATATCTCTGCAACTCAAATTGCTTCTTTATGTTGCACCAACTCTTCAATGTTCTTCAAGCTTACTACTTTAGCCACAGTCAAAATGTGGCTTCCCTTGGTTCCCGTAAGTTTTCCTCTTAATGCAAAAGCATATATGATTTGGTACAAATAAATGTCAACTTGATCTTGCTTGGGCCTTATACTTCCTTCTAACTCAAGTCAACCTGCAGATGTCAATGGCTTTGCTGGGCAAGAACAAAATCCTGCTTCTGTTAGAGACATCAAAGGCCAGTTTGGGACATCGGCTCCTAATGTGTATAGCCCGTTGGCTACCTCGCTATGAGAGATGCACTTGCAGTGAATGTGAGGTCTTTGCTGGAGTATTTGGCAATGCATTCTGGCATCAAAACATAACCCCCACTATGCATCTCTGGTTAAACAAACAAAGCACAACAAAGCTTCCCATGGCAGCCTTTCCTCACCTCAGGAAAATCTGCAAGTCTGGATTCATTGTGGATAGCAAGGGAAATAACTCATATTTGATTCATCCAGAGAGAATGGCCCTCTCAACGCTATATATCTCTGGTGGACGAAGTATTCTTGTGACTCCAGAAACTTCTTTTCTAGCTAATAAGTACATGAAGTTGCACCAACCTGGTTTTAGACATGAAAGGGTTGTTGTGGATGGTTTTGGGCACTCAGATTTACTGATTGGTGAAGAGTCTCCCAAAGAAGTTTTCCCTCACATTTTATCTCACATAAAGTTATCTGAAGAAGGGAAAAATATTGTGATGATTCCCAAGGAAAAGAAAGGCAGCAAAGATGCCTTGGATTGGGCTACGGATCCTTACCCCGGATATGGAGGATCTGAAAGTTGTTGGTTTTCACTTTTGGTGGTTGTTTTCTCGGTTTTAGTTTTAGTTTTTATGTTGTTATCGTCATTCATATAATCTTTTCAATCGGATCAGATAAACCTCAAAGTTTCAATTCATCGAGTTAATGGTTTAATCACAGATCATTGAAAATAATAGGATATTATAAGTTGCATCTTCATGTAAAGCTATTAATATTTGCCAATGTGCATTGTGCATCACTGAAAATAATTTGTCAACTAATTTTTTATTTGCTAGGTGTTATGCTCGTTTGTATATATCCTGTATTTGGGTTCCGGTAGGTTGATCTTCTGAATTTGTTTTTGTTGCAATGAACAAAATATTCCTTTCTGTTGTTGCAGTTGAGGCCCAAGAAGAAGACCAAGTAAACTATGACTCTGGTTATCTCGTATGCTTTAAAGGAATTGGAAAATTTTCCATTTAGTTTTTGCTTTTCTATTTTGTTGAAATTTGATATCTGTATTTGGCAGTTGATGAAGAATTTGAGTTAAATTGAGGTTCAAATTTATGTTTGACTATTTGAATTGCAGTAATCTTCACAAAATGTTGATATTATGGTTTCAATTGATGAAATCCTTGGGCAGTTGATCAAGTCTTTTTTTTTCTTTTCTATTTTAAATACTAATTTACTTTCGGATTGGGCTAGCAAGTAATATAAATAGATGAACAACACGAGAGATAAGGAGTCTCTAGCACTTAATTGATTGTCATGATTTTTAATATTAAAAAATATAATTTTAAAATATAAAAAATAAAAATTTTAAATATTAACAAAAGAAAATATACATCGAAATTAACTTCAATTCAGCAGATTTGGTTTAGACTTTTGAGGCAATGTTTAGAAAAATACCAAAAATAAAGAAGGTACGAATTCCATTTATATTGGACAATCTGTGCTTGTCGTGATGAAATTGTCTAGCACTACGCAGTATTCAACATATCGCATCATTACAGAAACTGACAAATTAATTGTTGATCGTAAGCCTCAGATTTTGCTTTCTGATTTTCATAAAGAGAAAAAAAAAAGCCATTTTGTTCAAGCAAAATAACCTAACTAATCAGGCAAATCTTACAGGAAAAAATGAAAAAGATGAAGCTGCCATCATCGGATAGAAAAGAAAATCATTCTTATTCATTAATTTCATTAGGATGATCATAAAGAAAAGCAGCAATCAAGAATTGCCATGGGTGTGGCATGTGCGTACAATATTCTTATTTTCTAAGTGATTTGATTCAAAGGGCTTAAAGCTTAAGCTCATCGACCAGGGACTTGCTATCCAGTCCTTTTGTTGTAGAAGTTATTAACAAAATCAGCCTTGGTGAATTGACGATGACGAGGTTGTTTCTCTGCTGACACCAACTCTGACAAAGGTCCATACCCAGATTCTTCCCATTTGCTAAAATTCAGAAACTCGACCACTGAGATTCGTGGCTCTTCGCATGAATTAGCTCGAACTCGATGCTGAAAACTGTTGTATTCACCATTGGAAATGATCTGCATGCGCTCCAATACAAGAAAATCAATTCAAACTACTAAATTTAACTTGATCTGATCTTCTGCTTCTGACTATTAATTCTTTAAACTCTCTAACAAGAAATAAAGAAAAAGTTGTTGATAATTTTATACTCACCTGAAGCAAGTCGCCGATATTTATTATCAATGCTCCAAGAAGGGGCTTCACATCCGCCCATTCTTCGCCATGTTTCACTTGCAACCCTGAAACCTGGTTCTGAAGCAAAACTGTTAGGGTAGCTGGATCTGTATGTGGGGTGAGCCCTAGTGTGTGATTAGGTTGAGGACAATACGGGTAGTAGATACCCACAAAAACCCTCTCACCGGAAAGGGTCATGTCCCTAAACTTGCTAGATTCTAATCCTATCCCTTCACACAACAGCTCCATCACATCTTCAGCAACTTTCTTGGCGCAACAGTCCCATTCAAGTGACTCTTTTCTCAATATCTCTGGTATATCTTCGACCTTTGCACTTTGTTCTTTTGGTCACATCCAAATCTGAAGATAGTCATGCCAGGTAGCTGCTTTGGCACGATGCAGATCGTTATTCCTGGAATAAAGCATGCCACTTCTCTCTTCACGGCTATGGTACTTAGCCTTGATTTCTTTCGGCTGTTCGTGAAATGATTTGAATGCTTGAATAGTCTCCTCCAGTAGTGAAACAGGGATTTCATGATTGATTACTTGGAAAAAAACCCCATTAACGTGCTGCTTCTTTGATTTGCTGAACGAGTTTGGGACGGTGAGCTTGTGAGGTGATGTTTCCCAGGTCGATTACAGGGATGCTAGTGTTTGTCTGATAAGGATTAAGAGTGGAAAGAGTTTCAGGTAGTTGTATAAAATTTTGGGAATGGAAGCTATGCCTGAATCTATCAAGCCCTTGTCTCCACCTTTGGACGATCAAATTCTTTATTATCTTTCATCCGATCATCATTTGAAGTAATTACATCAGTAGTAGCAGCTGCCATTTTCTTGAACCTGTTTGTTTCGAAGGATTTCTGTTTCATACAAATTTTTCACTCCGTCGTTGAGATATAAATTATATGGGCAAAATAATTAATGTTTTTGTGCCCATCTTTGTAGAAAAATGGGGAAGACGATTGAACACCTAATCTGCTTTGTCACAAAAAAATCATTACATATGTTTTGTTTCAAAAGTCAATCAAGTAAAAGCACGAACAATTGCTTATTTTCACGAAATTTTAAAAATTTTATTTGAGTATCTTAATATTAAATTAAAATTTTTTTAAAAAAAACAACTTTAAAATTAAAAACACTAACAGTTTTAGATAAAAAAAATTTAATTTTGAGATATTTAAAAAGGCAAAAAGGGTGTATATATATACATATATATATATATGTTATAAAGTTTTTTAACTTTGTGAGTATCACCATCTTAGTTTTGTTTATGGGGTCAAAAATGTTCACGTTTAGTATATCAAATAATTTTTGGTAAGAGAAATTATCAAATATACTACCAATAAAATTTTGGGTGATATATATTTGTTAATATATATTTTAAAAAATAAAACATGTACATGGTCACCATTTTAACTCCATCATTATCAATGTATCAAATATTTTTTTTTTATTTTAATTAAGTCAAAGTCCATGAGTTTTGTTTTTGTTAAAATGATTAAATAAACAAAAATTGTTAATTAGCTTTTAGTGACACTTATTAAGATCATATTTTTAAAAAAATATTGTAATTAATGCAATATTGTTAAATAAACTCACATTTGAAAACCGAAATTGATGAATAAATTCAATGAGAAAATGAATATCAAGCAAGCAAGATTAAAATAGTATCTATAAAATTTTTTATTAACACTTATTTATTTCTGAGTGTCGATTTTTAATAAAATAAAACATCAAAACTTATTAAAATTATATATATATATATAACAAAGATCTTTTAAATTAATGTTTTATTAAATTATTTTTAAATTAAGGAAGGCTTATGAAACGTTACCTAAATTAATCTTGCAGCTCTTGATAAAATCGTTTTGCATTTTATGAGTGTTTTATTTCGTGTTATACGAGTCACCCATATTTTCAAGAAGGTAGTATATATGTGGTTATCTATCATGATCAGGATTAATTGACGACAAAAGCAATGTTGTTTTAGGTAATATTCATTTTTGTTTAATATGATTTTTTTTATAGCTTAATTCTATGAATTTGTGAATTTGAACTTTCTTTAAAAATCAATTTCAGATATTGTCCAAAAAAAGAAAAGAAAAAAAAAACAATGGCTACATTTTTAGTAGTTCACTATTCATAATTATTTTTTAAAATATTTAAATTTATTATATAGATTTTGATCTTAGCATTTCCAATAAAAATAAAATGACAAAAAAATGTATAAAATATTTGTCCTTAAAATTTGCATGATTTACATACATTTTCATTATTTCTTTCTTACATTGAAGCCATGGCATAATTTATGATAACTATGGTGGAATTTATGCATAGTTTAAAATATAATGCATCTCACATTGGATATAAAAATTTAATTATTGATGAATAAAATTAATTTTTGTATTAATTTTATTTATATTTTAAATAATTATGTTGAACATAAATAACTATCATATGACAAATTGTCATAACTATTTGAATATAAATAGATTTTTATTCATAAAGGTCATGATTATACAACAATTCATAACCATTTGAATAAAAATTTATGTCTATCTATTCATTATAAATAGATTTTTTAGTATAACAATTTTTACTGTTTCTGATTTGAAGAGTTTTAAGACTTTATAGTATTCTAGTGGCATAATTGCCTTTTAAAAAATATTTTTTATGCCTCAAAGCCATGATTATTTTTTATTTTTTTCTCTTATTTATTTTTTCTAACAATTTAAAAATAATTATGAAATTTATATTTCACATGAGGAAAGAAAAGAAATTGGCAAAGTTGGTAAAATCGACTTTTGAAACAAGCATGAAAAGCTTCAATTATTCAAA